AGCAACAGAAGTTCAGAAATATAATACTGCTGCACTATTTTATTATTATATTATATTTATCGTCATTATTTCAATTTTTGAGCTAAGTTTATAAAAATATTTTGATAAAAAATGGCGTTGCTTAGTTTTGAGTTCTATAAATTTTATTAGTTTGCCTCGTGCAATTCAAAATTTGTGCACTTCCGATGCTTGTTTAAATGTCCGCTCAAACGTGTTTAATTGGCGCCGCAACAGCCATCTTTGCCCACGAAATTTAATTCCTATCGCATCCAACAGATAAATATTATTGTTTGATAAGCTTGCGCTCATTAATTGATCGATTTAAGGTTACAATGTAGGTTTGCAGTCTATTGAGAAAGGATTGCTGTCTACTGACCTAGGATTGCTGTCTACTGAAATAAGATTGCTGTCTACTAAGCAAGGTTTGTTGGCTACTAAGCAAGGGTTGCTGTCTACTAAGCAAGGATTGCAGTTTACTCAGCAAGGTTTGCTGTCTACTAAGCAAGGATTGCAGTTTACTCAGCAAGGTTTGCGGTCTACTAAGCAATGATTGCAGTTTACTCAGCGAGGTTTGCTGTCTACTAAGCAAGGATTGCAGTTTACTCAGCAAGAATTGCTGCCTACTAAGCAAGGATTGCTATATCTTAACATTGATCTTCGTCTGCGCAGCATTGAAGTTACCGGAGTTGCGAGCTCGTGTCTTGTGCATTTTATTTTCCAACTCTGAGTCGTTTGCTGCAATTCTGTAGTTAATATTATTTCAATATCTTTATGGACGATTGTTTTACTTATTATAACTTCACTTTATTTTTTTAACTTCTTAAATTCCCATCTTTTCTCGGTTCCCATTTCTTTGTTTTTGCTGAATTTGTTTTGAATTTCGAGCGGCCGGTATCTGTTCAATGGCATTCTTCTCCAGTCAAACGAGATAGAAAAAAAGCTACATCATAGTTATATACATCTCAGAATTTAATTGGCGGGTAACGGCCTTAATAGAAGCTTTTTGTTTTCCACTTGAAAAAAAACGAGCTGTGGAGCAACGTTCTTAAGAATGAACGCCATTTATAGTCTGATGCATGCTCTCAACACCAGCGCCAGATGCAAGGCATACTGTTGTAAGCATATTAGGTCGGTAAGAACACTCTAAGGCAAACATACACAGGTTATTTGTGGTTAAATATATATATATATATATACTGTTTTTAGTGGAGCATACGGTTTTAATTGCTCTATATTTCTAATGTCTATCGCTACCTATAATTCTTCAACGGTTCAAATCATTTCTTACAATCATGAATGATTCGTTTAGATTAGCTTGTGCAAAGAATTTTTTACATTCTGAATCGTTATGTGTGATTGGTTCTATCTGCCCGACACCTTAATGCCTATAATTGCCATATACCTATAATTCTGCAACGGTTCAAATTAATTCCCATAATAATAAGTAATTGGTTTGCATTGGCAATGGTATAATAACATTTACCCAATTTTGCATCGATATATATGTTTTAGAATTCAAAAAGAAATGAATCTGGTTAGTAATAATGTAACAAAAAACGTTTAATGTATATTTTTGTAGACTTCATGCGTTAACACGTTCAACTGAATTCATGAATACTTAAATAAGGTATAGAAGAAGTCTCTAATCAAATCACGTTGATTTTTTCGCATTGGACTTTATAATTTTTTTCAGTGACAGTGCACATTTTCTTGGAGCAGTTGAGACGTCAGCAGAGCATGTAAGATTAATTAAGTTCAATTTGAATTAGGTCAGGAGTTGACAGGTGACATGGCGGACGATAAGCGAGACATGGCGACAAAAAGCGGATAGCTTGCCCACGCCGAGCCACAAAAATCCATGTCTTGTCTTGGCTGACTTTAACCATGGTTGAACTATCTAACTTTAACCACGAGTGAAAAACATACACACAATAATACATGCTCAATTTCATAGATTAATGAATGCTCTATTGCATACTGAATTTTTTTCCACGTAATGTATATTTTCACATAAATCATTAGCAATGAATGTTAGTGGTTATTATCATTATTTTCTTGCTTGAACAATTTTCATGTAGAAAAACATTACAATATTTCTGCCAGGAAACTTAATATTACGAATATAAAGGCCAAGGTGCAATGTTGCAATATAAAAAGGTGCAATGTTATGTGGCTAATAGAATACATAAAATTTTTATTGATGAGCAGGGAATTAATGTGTATATTCAGTAAAGATTATGCATTCGCGGAATTGAGTGCAACGTTGCAACTTTAAATAATAGCAACGTTCTAATATAAAAAGTTACCCATGTAAAAAAACGAACTGAGCGATGCTCGTACACAACATTTATTCTCTTGGAGTTTATGTTCGCAATCTCGAACACAAGCTTTAGTCTCCAGTAAAAGATTTTGGATCGAACCATAATCTTCTTGAAGTGTCCTTAGTATTTTTTCTTACAATTTTTTCGTGTAATGTTACAAACTCGGGCACGATTTTCAGCGTTGCGCAGAGTGCCCTTGATAATCGCGGAGTCACGTTCCACCAGCACGATTACCGACAAAAAATTGAACCTGGTTCGCTCTGAAGCTACATAAATACGTCGTCAAGACGAGTCTGCCTCAGTGAGCAACCGGTTCACAGAGCCGCCACGACTCACCTCGATCACTCGATCGGACGACTTCGAGATCGATCTGACAGCGTTGCGTGATTCATCACAGGAAATTATCTATTTCTTGATTTGCTTTATCACAGAAATAAGTCACGGAGATATGATGCTCTTTCGCATTTCGTTATCATTCTGTTTGAAACTTGCCGCGACTGATACACTAATTTAATTATATAATACGATAATTGTTCCACAATTTTAACATAAATTTCTAGCTTTAATGATTTTTTAATAATAATTTTTTGTTACGAAAAGGAGTTTCTGTCAGTCAGTCTCAATTTACGAATATAACTTGTTATTAATAAGGATAGCTAACAATTCACAAGTGCATTGTGTTCTCATCGAAAAATGCGAATCGTTAGCTGAGAGTTTATTTCCGGGGGATGTTACTAATGAAAGTAATGCTTTTGTTCGAGTGATTTATATATTAGAGTGTGTCTCTTCAGTATGACTTTCATACGTTCAAAATATCTTTAAAAATTTATTTGTTATGACATTCTACTTTAGAACCAATGCATTTTCGAGGATTAATTTGTGCAGACGAATTGCCAGCAATATTTGAATGTCGACAGAATACATACGTGACAATGTATTTATATGTTTTTATCTGTGAGCAGCTTTTGCAAAAAGCTAATATATGTCAATCAAATATTTTTCTATTATGTTAGCTGTCAAGTTCAAAAAGAAAACACAGTTGTTGTTTTTATCATCAAATTCGATTAACATCATCATGTGAAAATAAAAGATTCTTCATACATATTTGCAAACTCTCCGGTTTTCAGCCATGACTGCATGTTTGTTTGAACATGTTTGGGCATGTTTGAGCATACTTAAGCATGCTTGCTGTCACAACACTGACTAGTGCACATCATTGTTTTGCAGTTAGCGTTTGAGTTTTTAACGGAACCATGGCGCTATAAGGCTTTAAGCAAGTCATTGTCTTGTCAATATCGAAACTCTATGAGGTCATGGAACTTTCTATCCCAACGACCAACGACTTGAAGTCATGTTGAAATTATAAACAAGGAATCATTATTCATTTATATATATTTTTATTATCGCAGAACGCAATTTTTCACAAAGTTTTATAACTCAGTTTTACAAAGAAAAAAATACTTTGCGGGTCGTTACTGAAAAATTCTGTGATTATCTAAAATGAATTTACACTCAATTGCAATACACAGGAGCTTCCTGAGCAAAGTAGAAAATCATATCAGAAATTATAGTATTTATTAAAAATATCAGCTAATTAAAGTTATTAGGTAATTAAAATTAATAGTTAATTATAGTTAATTTTTAAGTAAAAGTTAATTATAGAATTTATTTCTCTAAATGCTCATTAGCAAAATAAGTCAAGTTCTGATCCCTTAGCAAAAAGCATTTCAAACATTGAGGGTAAATTTGTTGTCGGAAGCTTTCTTTTGGAGCAAATCTCAAATTTGCCTGCATAGAGTACGCAAGATCGCTTCTAATGGCTCGAGTTCCTAGCTTCGGGATCGAGTTTCTAGTTAAATAATCGATTTTTGAGTCAGAGGTAGAGTTTCTAAGTAAGCATCAAGTTTCTAATTACGGAATCGAGTTTCTAGTTGGGATCGAGTTGCTATATACATAGTTACATAATCGAGTTTTTTGCAGGGGATCAATTGTTTCCAGTTAAGATATCGAGTTTCTAGCTACGAAATTGTGGTCGCAGTTTGCCACAGAACACTGTGCCCATTTACAGACTTGGACGTGCAGGCCCCGAAGTTTTGCACATTTACTACCGTCATGTAGGATTACATTATTACATGAGGTCTAAAAGGCTATTTAGAATTGTGTAAAAAAACGAAAAGTATATTTTAAAGATATTTTCATTTGAAAAAAACGTGTTGTGCCTTTAGGTATCCATAAAACCGTAACTTATTTCAACCTTATGCTAAACACTGAACTTTGAGCAATATTCTCGTCACCAAAGACTCATGGGATTTATCCTTAACAGTCAATTACGACAGCATGCTCGTTTAAATTTTCTTTTCCAGTCGCTTCATACCCTTACAAAATTTATAGTCGTCCCAGCTTCTGGTAATCAAAATCAGAAGCTACCGCGTCTGTAAATTTTAACTTGGTATGAGTCATGTTGGCTACTATATATATATATTTTTTTATAGTTGGGGTTAAGACTTGTGGCGACAAATGCGCCCACCAGCCTGTTCTCTGTCAGAATACTATATTGCATAACATGCGAAGCTGATTTAATTCTCATTTATATATTTCAGTGTCATTCTTATTGTACCATAAATATTTAGTGTTCTGTTTCACAATTGTTATTAATTTATAAATTCTATTCCTCCTAAGGTTGAGAGCCATGAAAAGTACGGATGATGCTGCACGGCCGGGCCATGTTTCTGCTGCTACTCGTGGCTGTTCATCCTTGCACTGCCTTCAGCATCCGGCGTGACAATCCTATAACTATAGCGAAATCCTATAATTATCGTGACACTACCAGGTTCAACTTAACTGCCACCGAAAGCAATGAACACAAAACGTATTCATCAACCAGAAATTCAACACAGAAAAACATTATTTCTTCTGTCTTTACATCCTCGGAGACGTTATTTAAACCTGATATCATACAAGAAAAAAGTGTAGGCTTATCAGAGTGTTGTTTAGAAAATCGTGATGATGTAGTCGTCGAAATCAACGGTTCCTTGTCAAGATCTCGGTCATCTTTTAAAAGCCCGACTGTCAGAAAATTTAGATATTTCAATGTATTAAACGCACAAAATAATCTAACTTCAAACGTAAGACTATACAGTTCTTTATTTAGTGATCACGGTTCTGGGAATTTAGTGTTTCACGAATTCCCTAGAATGTCAAACATATCTAAATTATCTAATTCTAAGACTCGGACGAAATTCAGGAAGCGCTCCTTGTTCGATGCTATAAATCCTGACGGCTCCTATAAAGATGCCATTAGCGGAAACTATTTTGATCTTAATTTGAATAATAGTCAGAGTATCGATAAAATTCTAACTAATATACCTGCACCGAGGCATTATGTCGGGCATTATCTTAAGCTAAGAAATAATAATTATAATATGCCTCCGGAAGCTTTGGGGAAATTCCAGGGAAAAAATCCAAATTTCGTATCTCGAAAAAAAGTCCCTGGTTCAAGGGCCGGAATTTCGGAGTTCGATAGAAACTCTCAAGCACCTAGAACCGAAATGAATAAAACTCTTATAAATAGGCGTTCATGTTGCAATCATTCTTTATTTAATTCAATTGCGAGTATGAGACCGAAAGACAACGAATTACTAACCCAGACTGTCATCCGGCAACAAAGCGCCTTTTTGAGATCCGAGAATTTTTCACAGAATCTGGAAAACTCCAATCGCAGTTACGAGACGAGAAAATATCGTATCAATCATGGAATTCCCGAGAAAGATAATTCACTGAAGCAAATTCCAGAAAAGTTTTATCATCCCTTCAGCAGTTTAAGCAGAAACGAAATAAAATTTAATAAAACTAATGCCGTCGAGGTGTTTGTAAACTTAAAATCATCTAAAAATACGACCCAACCTTCGCGAGTGAAAGAGACGCATGAAGTGCTTGATTCAATCGACAATTTTCACCACACAGCGAAGAGTCAAAATATGCTCACCGGGACCGAAAGATTAAATAGTAGACCTCTTTCAACAGTCCAAGAAAACATTGGCAAGTTTTCTAAATTCGAAGAAAACTTAGGCCCATTTTCTTCAGTCGATGAAAATTTGGGGCGGTTCTTAACTGAGCAAGAAAACATTGGCCAACGACACTCGTTGTTTGACGAGGTGCTTGCAGAAATGCAACTTTCTTCCAGCAGTTCAGGTGCTAAGTTATTTTCGTCAATTGTGCCACAATTGCGACAAAATTAAAACTAATAATAGTTTAATAATAGTTTAATGATGAAATCAATAATAATTTATTTTATTCAATTATCTAAAAATAGCACAGAAACGTCCTCAAAGTTTCTTCCTATATATTCGATTGTAGATGGCAGAAATTTGAGTCATTTTGGTGTGATAATAGAAATCATATTATACATAAAACATAATATTAATTTAAATTTTATATTTTTGGTAGACCAATCCCGGATATGTTTACAAATTAACTAATCCATTTTTTCATTTGTCAAACCCTATTTTTTCCTATTTATTTTTGCACAAAAGTTATATTTTGGATCTTTTAGCTATTTTTCACAAACATTTTTTCGTTCCAATCAACCATATCTGGTTATTCAATCACATTTCATACAACCAAATCTGGTTATTCAACCGCATTTCATTCAACCATGTTATGTTAATCAACCACATTTCATTCAACCATATCTGGTTATTCAACCACATTTCATACAACCATATTTGGTTATTCAACCACACTTCATTCAACCATATCTGGTTATTCAACTACATTTCATTCAACCATGTTTGGATATTCAAACATATTTAATTCAACCCTATCTGTTTAATCAATCACATTTCAATCAACGCACCATATCCGGTTATTCAAATACGTTTCATTCAGCCATGTTATGTTATTCAACATCATCAATGTCAAGTTAATTTCATTCAACCATACCTGGTTATTGAACCACATTTCTTTCAACCATGTTCGCTTATTCAATCACATTTAATTCAGCCATATTTCATTCAACCACGTTTTGTTATTCAACCACATTTAATTCAACCATGTTTCAGTCAACCATGTTTGTTTATTCAACCGCATTTCTTTCAACCATACATGGTTATTCAACCACATTTCTTTCAACCATGTTCGCTTATTCAATCACATTTAATTCGACCATATTTCATTCAACCATGTTATGTTATTAACCACTTTTTATTCAACCATATACTTTCCTGACAGGTTTGGCTTCACCATCACCGGAGTTATCTGGCCCCGAGGACGCAGGGTTGGTCAGAAGTACACCGGACGCGGAGGTCAGCCCAGGATTGTTCGAAGGAGACATCGCCTTAGAGTCTGCCGAGGTATGAACTGGTCGGCATGTTTGCTTGTAACGTTCAGGTCTATAAAATGAACCAACCCTTCAAGCAAATGCCGTTCAAACAATATTGATTGCTGGTTAACTTGTCGGGCATGCTTGCTTGTAGAGTTCAGGTTTATAAAATGAACCCTTCAAGCAAATGCCGTTCAGACAATGTTGATTGCTAGTTAACTTGTCAGGTATGATTGTAACGTTCAGGTCAATAAAATGAACCCTTCAAGCAAATGCCGTTCAAACAATGTTGATTGCTAGTTAACTTGTCAGGCATGATTGCTTGTAGCGTTCAGATCTATAAAATGAACCCTTTAAGCAAATGCCGTTCAAACAATGTTGATTGCTTGTTAACTGGTCGGGCATGTTTGCTTGTAGAGTTCAGGGTCCATACTTTCAAAAAAAGTTAAGAGTTCGTAAGTTCATCAGCCAATCATCGACGGCCTTTCAAGCAAAATCCACAAATCATAGACAAGAAAATAGAGCGTAAGTACTTACATTCACTTAGCGAGTTTTGAAAGTATGGCCCAGGTCTATAAAATGTACCCTTCAAGCAAATGCCGTTGAAACTATGTTGATTACTAGTTGATTTCGCTCAATCAACGTATAATAAACGTTATTTGAATTTCAAATGCTTGGGGTGGGGACACAGTGAAAAGAAGATGAATATTATATCGCTACAATAAAAAATTTACCGCTGCCATAATTTCACTTCAAGTACAAAACATGAAATGTGTTGCGCTAAATTTCAACTTCCCCTTTCATTCTTCGTATGATGTTAATTTCTATTCAGATTTAAAGTCTCTTGTGAAGGCTGTATTTATTAATATAATTTTCGTCAATAAGAGGTAAATTTTTCGTCAAAATAGGTAAAACTGCACAGAAAGAAAATAAGTAAAATATTTCAAATATTAAAAAATAATTGTTCTATGGTACTATTATCCAATGCGCACAGTTTCGTCAGTTTAGCTAATTATCGATAAAAATGAACTAATAATATTTGTTGTATTTTGAGGATGAAGCTGTTCTCAAGGTGAGCGGCAACTGGGACATCTTTCCTGATAAGCGCTGGCCCAACGGTGTCGTTCCGTACGCTGTGTCTCCTCAATACAGTGCGTATGTGTACTTAATACATTGTTTCTGTATACTGGATATTGGATTTATGTATACTTAACACGTTGACTACGTATTGGTACATATGTGTACCACGAAATGTATTTCTCCAGGAGTTAGTGGTACATAATTCAGGTTGCCTAAAATCGGCCAAATCCGAGAACAAAAAAGGCCAAAAAAGGCCGATAATTCAATGTATACTAGTTTATTTGTACGTTCCGCTATAAAAATTCCATTCATTTTTTTTTTGCAGTATTTAAAATTTAATTAGGAAGTACCCCTATCATAAATTTTAGCCGGCCAACGCAATTGAGAAAAACTAAATCACGGAATTTGTCCGGAAAAAATTATCGTCTGGCAACCCTGCTTTAAAAAAGTACAAAAAATGAAATAATAGTACAAGATAAAGCAATCTTAGTCAACGTGTTAAGGTTGAACTTTACGGTATATATTATTTGTTTTTGTATGAAGTATATTTTTTGTTATAGGTGTCTTGTTCTCTGTAAAATTCGGAAACTAGTATTTTTGGTTTATGTATACCGTATACGTATTATTCATACATTCGCTTTTTGAATCTTCATAAGCTTTTAATACTCAATTTTTTTAAGTTAAGTTTTTTGTCTTTGTTGAAAATGCACTAAAGTTAAACAATGCACAAACGTCAGGCAATTCATGCGTCAGTATTTTGGGTAATTGTAGAGTTGCTAGCAGACCAGAGTTTCTGACACCACTAACAGAATGAATATGAATATACAAAAATTATATTATTCATATTTATAGTATATATGCATATAATACTAGTATATAAAGTGATAATCGAATATACCAGTATTGGATGACTGAATTTCTTTTATACAAAAGTGATGCGCAAACAAATAACTAGAAAATCTTTATGAAAATGCATTCTCTGGTTTTTAATCTAGTTTAAACAAATTTCGAATAGTCCAGACATCTGCTAATTCACTTGGGATACTCGACTGGAGCCATTGCTAACGGGAATTTTCATTACTGCAATCCTGAGTTATTTACTCGTACTTTTATTATCATAAAAAGTTTTCTATCAATAACAGGCATAATTGATGAAGGTATTGATTAATAATCATCTATTGCAAACGTGTTCATGTATTAATGTAGTATTAACAGTTACTGTCTCTGTGACTGTCTTAATGTAGATCAAATCTATATGGTAAAATTAAATAATTTACATCACTAATTAATGTAAGTATTGTCAGATAATTTCATTTCTGTTCGCCACTTATTCCAATATCTCATATGAAACTGTGCGTCCCTTGCATATAAAACTTTGTGTTCTTTACTAATAAAACTTTGCCACCCTTACATTTAAAACTCTGCAACCATCACAAATACAACTTTGCTACCATCACAAATAATACTGTACTTTGCCACCTTCACATATAAAACTTTGCAACCATAACATATAAAAATTTGCCACCATCACAAATGACATTTAATTAACTAACCACTGTTTCTGCAACTTTTCCGTTACCAGCGCCAGAGGAACGCCTCATGATCGACACGGCCATCAACACGCTGAATTTTCTGTCTTGTGTTAAACTCGTCCCGTGGGACGGACGGAGTGAGGACTACCTCTTCATCCTGTCCGTCCCTGACCCCAGCGGGTGAGTCAGGTCCCACATGTCGCCGGGTGAGATAGGTCCCACATGTCGGTGGGTGAGTCCGGTCCCACATACCGGTGGGTGAGTCCGGTCCCACATGTCGGCGGGTGAGTCCGGTCCCACATGCCGGCGGGTGAGTCAGGTCCCATATGCCGGCGGGTGAGTCAGGTCACGCATGTCGCCGAGTGAGTCAAACTCTCGCACACAACGGCGGGTGAGCCCTGTTGCTCAGCCTCGCGGGTGAGCCCTAAAATTTCCCACACAGTGGCGGGTGAGCCATAATGTTTCCCACACAATGGCGGGTGAGCCATAATGTTTCCCACACAATGGCGGGTGAGCCATAATGTTTCCCACACAATGGCGGGTGAGGCATAATGTTTTCCACACAATGGCGGGTGAGCCATAATGTTTCTCACACGATGGCGGGTGAGCCATAATGTTTACCACACAATGGCGGGTGAGCCATAATGTTTCCCACACAATGGTGGATGAGCCATAATGTTTACCACACAATGGCGGGTGAGCCATAATGTTTCCCACACAATGGTGGATGAGCGATTAACTTTTTCACACAGCGGGAGGTGACATCATTTTCGTTTACAACCCTATTTTTCTTCAGATTTTTGGCTGAGTTTTTTTTTAATATACATTCTTGGATTGAATTTTATCAGAATTTTACTCGTGATACTTACACTTTTTCCTTTAATTTTTTCTCACACTTCAAGTATGCACAATTATTTTTTAAAATTCTACCTAAATTTCTTATTTATTGAACTTGGTAACTGCTGTTTTCGTAAATTTTTTCAAATGTATAAATAAATCCCCACGTCGAGCAGTTGCTGGTCGTACGTGGGGCGCAAAGGAGGCCAGCAGATCGTGGGCCTGCAGCAGGCTGATGCCAGGTGATAATTATGTTATGAGTGAAGCTTAATATTTTAATATTCATAACTATGTTAATACTTAATAGACTTTTCTTACCTGCTGGATGAACAGACAAGACAAATAAAAACGGGACAAGATTAATATTTTAATCTTCATATTTATATTAATGCGTTATAGACTCTTCTTACCTGATGGATGAAGAGACAAGACAAATAAAAACGGAACAAGCTTAATATTTTAATCTTCATATTTATATTAATACTTACTAGGCTATTCTTGCCTGAGGGGTAAAAGTACAAGACAAATAAAACGGAACAAGCTTAATATTTTAATCTTCATGTTTATATTAATGCGTAATAGACTATTCTTATCTATGTGTCAAATAGACAAGACAAAAACGAGACAAGTTTAAAATTTTAACTCTTATATCTGTATTAATATATATGCAACTATAAAAGCTAAATATGTTAATATTCATATTTATATTAAATACAAACTAGATAATTCTTACTTGAGGGGCAAATAGACTCGACCAATACCAACTGGAAAAGCCTAATTTTCAACATTCATATCTGTATTAAATACCAAATAGACCCTGGTATCTCTTTCATAATATAAATAGAGTGCCATTCGTCTTCCTCTCCAGCCATCCAGGTGCCCAGGAATAATTATAGGTTAAATTACTAATTAAGTTAATTTTGATTTCATTTTAGCATCATGTTAAGTCATTTCAAGGCTTTGCATGACTCATGAGGTCATAGTTTTGATTTTCAAGCATTCCTGAAAACACTCAGAAAGAATAATAAATTAAATGCACACTGCTACTAATGAGTTTCAAAATATACACTCAATAATGAACAAATTAAAAGCACAATTACGACACTTCGGGAAACTCATCAAAAAAGTAATAACTATTTATAATCAGCTTATTTGTTTGAATTACCTGTCTATTTATGTGCATGATGTATTCATTTGTATGCATGGTCTGCATGGATATATGAACTATTTGTGAATGCATGATCTGTGTGCGTATGCATGAACTGTGAGCGTATGTATGATATGTGTAAATAGTCATGATCCTCGTGTGTCTCTGTATGATGTGTCCATCGAGGAAGCAGATACATAAAGAAACAAGCCACTTCTTGAAATTAAGTTTGGTAGCTTGGTAGCCTGGTCCGGTCAAAGAATTTAGCCTTACGCTAAATTCTTTATTAACTTACGATTATGTTCATGTATATGACCATGTATATGGCCATGTATGTGTCCATGTATATGGCCTCGCGCAGGTCTTAATACTTATGTGTCCATGTATATGGTCTCGCGCAGGTCTTAATACTTACGTGTTCATATATATTGTCTCGCGCAGGTCTTAATACTTACGTGTTCATGTATATTGTCTCGCGCAGGTCTTTGTAGGCCATAACATCATGCCATGTAGGTCATAACATCATGCCATGTAGGGTTATAACATCATGCCATGTAGGTCATAACATCATGCCACGTAGGTCATAATATCATGCCATGTAGGTCATAATGTCATGCCATATCAGGCAACATCATGCCATGTCATGCCATGGCAGGCTTGATGCACAAAATCATGTCATTTCTCTATTAACTATTCATACGGAAAATTGAGCCTGTTTTTTTCTTAAAACTCTGAATTATTGTGTTTACCCTTAGGTTAAATTTTATGTGATGTCACATTACTGTACGAGTTGTTATATGTATGCTTGTTACGTAGATTCTCATTATTATAGTGCCAACATGCAATAAGATATTTAAATGTGCGTTTCAGTCTCCGTGGAGTTTTCAATATTCTGAAACATTTTTTTTCGAAAACTCCATCCAAAATTAGAAAAATTAAAAGAAACCTTTCAAATTTTCCTTTTTCGATGGTCGTTAAAATATTGTTTTCGAAAACTCAATTGTAATTAACAGCGTTGATGCAATTAACGTAAAAGTAAACGCAATTATGTTTCAGACTCTGAAAGCAATTTCCGGAAGCAGAGCCTACTGCAGACTTCCTACGCCTTTAAATACGACTACAACTCAGTGATGCATTACGGCACGCACTACTTCAGGTAACTTAACCTAACTTAACTATTCTATCTACCTGAAACTTTTTCAGATTTCAGTTAATACTATTACTATTTTTAGGCCGAAACAGTTAAATTATTATAACAAAAATGACAACAATAATAAAATTGCAACCACATATTAAAAGCTATGATTCAATACTGCAGATACAAAATCATTATTGGTTGAATCGATAAAGAATGATGACACTGTTTTTCGTCCTCCAGTAAAGATGGCGTGAGCCCCACAATTCTGCCCCTGGTTCCTAGCGTGAGCATCGGGCAGCGTGAGATGCTCAGCAAGCGTGACTGTCTCAAGCTAAACGCCATGTACGGGTGTATAGGTCGCCATGTGCACACCCATCACATGTACACCGCCTTCTGTAACACTCTTGCCTTCTGAGCAAGCGTGACTGTCTCAAGCTAAACGCCATGTACGGGTGTATAGGTCGCCATGTGCACACCCATCACATGTACACCGCCTTCTGTAACACTCTTGCCTTCTGAGCAAGCGTGACTGTCTCAAGCTAAACGCCATGTACGGGTGTATAGGTCCCATGTACACACTACACACCCATCACGTGTACACTTGTACAGTGTACTGTACTCCGTCTTCTGACGATTGCGTGCTGAGCTGAGCAAGACAACGAACAATTGAATTCTTCATATAATATCCATGCGGGAACTAAAGTGTTCCTTGCGGTTGAAAGTCTCGACTTGAGTGAGACTCAATTTGATACATCCACGCCCTCCTGCCTCCACCATCGCATTCAAAACTTTTTCCTTACGTTTTGCACAAAACTTCTTTACAATACTGACCATGGTACAGCATCTCAGATACGGTAGAGCAACAATTACTCTCTGAATAAAATGAAAAACTTTTGATCCAGCGGCATAAACCGAGAAGGAACAACAGCAAAACACTCTTCTTATGTACCTTATTGTAAAAAAAATTAGAAAGCAATTTTCATTATTTTATTTTAAAAATGAATAAAATAGTGAAATCAATCTAAGCTTTTTCTCACACTTTGAAATATATTCTTAATTAATGTTAACAAGCGAACTCTCTTTTACATGTTGAACCTATCGTTGCCTATAGATTTTCGCTCATATATACCATAATACCGAATCCTACAAGTGCTACAAAAATTGTACATTTACATCTGATTCCATTGTTTGATTTTTCCTGGAAAACGTTATTTTATGCTTAAGCTGCTCGGGAGAAGCTAATCATGGTTTGCAGTTTTATTTAAAGGCATATCTCTGACGCTCAACTGTGATATGCAATTCAGTATTCTACAGTATCGATGTTTAAATGTGAGAACGAGGTCAGCTTAAGCACATTAGCATACAGAGAACTATTCCAATTTGATTTTCAGTGCTCTTTTGCTGGGTAGTTGTTGAGCAATACGCAATGTAATATATATCAACAGCAAATTACAATTTATAAGCTGAAAAATAAATATGTAATTCTAGATGAGTGCTATGATCCAAAAAATGATACAAAAAGTAATCACCACGTCTATGGTACAAAAGTACTATTTGGTGATTTGGTGAAGTGTCACCATTGAAGTCAGAGCTAATGAAAATGCATCGTTATTATGCGAGTCCAAGTGACATGCTAATTTATTTATGAGAGCTTTAGAATGTGGATAAATTGCATCTATTTCGAAATAGTGCCGTAGAAAAATATATTTTCGTTAGTAATTTTTAAGATGTCATATATATATAACGAAGTCGTGCACCACCAATTTTGTGCACCAATAAGCCCTGAATCGAACGCCTTGGATCTCTCCGGGCATTCACCAATCAGCAGTGAATCACTCGGCTTTATCCTCCTCCGGCCTTGCATAAAACCTGCCGTGCACCACCAGGCCGGGGATCGAATATGACTTCCGGGCATCGTTATAATTACATAATTACAGAATTTAACGATGCAAGGAAGTCATATACGATCCGCCGCCTGGTGGTGCACGGAAGGTTCTACGCGAGGCCAGAGGAAGACAAAGACGAGTGGTTCACGGCTGATTGGTGGATGTCCGGATAGATCCAAGGCGTTCGATTCAGGGTTTATTGGTGCACAAAATTGGTGGTGCACGGCTGCGCTCCCAGAAAAATGAGATTTGCTCATTCAGCGATGCTACGTCAAATAGACTATAATAAAAGCGAAAGTAATCAGTATTGTAAGCCAGTTAATCATGGCCAGTCTTAATATCTATAGCGTATGATAACCCTGTAATTGTTTTAAGCTATTGTAATAACAAATTATTATATTATGTAATTCACGATAATTCTGTTACACATTGCTAATTTCCAATAAGCCCTCCGGCATGACAAGTTGACAACCCACGCCCAGGCCTCTCAGCGCTGGGTTTTTCCACCAAGATCTGGGTTTTTTGACCGTCACCTGGGTGTATTTTTCTTTTAAATGTCAAAATCTGGGTTTTTTCGTCAGACATGTTAATTTTAGCCAATAATATAATTGAAATATTCTCAATGCCTTAGATTTGATTATGCAGTCAATACACAATGAATGGAGCAGCGCAGTAACCGTCAGACTATATATTTTTCCTAGCTGACAGACGTTAGTGGTATTGAACGCGTTCATTACCAGTATTGAACGCGTTCATACCAGTCAAAGCAACGGTTCCCAACTTATCAGCGCACACTGCACAGCCACGCCTGACGCCACGCCTTACATTTTATGGTGCACTAACAAAGGGTTCTTTCTCTTGTTGTGTTATGGTAAAATACCTAAAATATCCACTGGGTGAGTTATAGTTTATTAATTGTGTTAGCATTTATTGTAGTGTACTTATTTTTTGTTGTACTTATAGTGCAAAACGAACATTGTGGACTAGGAATTTTGATTAGAAAGTAGCTATAAGTGTCTTCGAGACTTCGACCAACCTTGGCCTCAGCCCTCAGGCCAAGGCTAGTTCTGTACTGAGACCGTCTTTGTTCGCCAATCATAGGTCTCACCTTTACTTGCTTAACATGAAGAACTCCTCACATAATTCTTCCTGTAATTTTTATTAGGTTGCTTTTCTAGGCGTCTTATTTCGCGGCCACTCGGCCAGTCTGTTAAATTCCTGGCACTATAATGACCGAAAAAATTTTGTCATCTATCCTGCATCAACCTCTTGATTACCTACCCTAATTCTCTGTGCCTTCTCAACACCAATTTTGTCTTCCAAGTCAGTTACCTAAAAGCACTTCACTTCTTATTAGTGACAGTGAGCAAGGTGTGGTCAGGTGAGTCAGAAGTTCAGAACATAGGTAGGTACTAGGTAGGTACAGTACTATATCACTGATTACTGTCACACTTGTTGAAATTTTTTAGTGATTTTAAATATTGAAAATTTATCACTATTATTATTCAACTTTATTAAGTATTATTATTAAAATTTTTATTATTTAGACAGTCACTAGTCACTACTGTAGGAAAAAATAGGTATGCTCATTATTGCTCAATTTGAAAACTGGTATTTGGCACCCACTTGCCACTTGGCAGTTATTGAATTGCTTATGTCTCACAAATCTGAGACTGAGGTCAGCTAATTTTAATTTTTAGGTTCTCATTGCTTCATCACTGCATAACAAGTGTTACATTCTCATTTCTATCCTCATTTTGTCTCATTCCTTTCCTCACTGTCTCATTTAATTAGCTAAAGGTTGTTTCAATCTTTTACTAGGAAAAATTTTCTAATTATTTAATTTATTTGCTAATTTCAAATTTCACAAAAAAAGATGCCTTTTGTCAATGCAGCCTTGGTATTAGGTATAAGGAATAATAGAAAATATTATGATAATGTTCATTCAGATGTAATTGAATTTCTAATTATACTATTCACTTTTTTTCCTTGGCTTTGTGTGTGATATTTCCTCTGTGGTGATATTTTCTCTTTTTGTTTTGCATTTTTATATTGCTAGCAAGCGATGCCAATAATTTTGTTAGCAAACCAATTACTCAATTTATAGTATTTTTTCCTCGTTGAACATAAATGACTAATGTGCATATTCATGTACATGTTCCTTTAAATCCTGACCAGTAAAACTGACTAATTTAAAAGTACTAAATCCTGGCAAGTTAGGTGTCTGATAAAACTAAGAAGTCAAATTTCATATCACTAATAAAATAATCAGTATAAAAACTACGTACAAATTTCAATTATTACAGAATAAATTTTCAATAGGCCAATTGAAATTTTAAAATTTTAATTAATTACCTAAATGACACATTCAAAGGATAGATTTGATGCTACTATGATTATAGCCTCATGAAATAGGGAGATCATTGACAAGGATTTCAGCTGGAATTTTCCAGTGAACTTGAGATATGAGACTGGTAATAGTCCGAGACTCTGAGTATAAATGATGCTTCTTCTAACGTGTTATTTTGCCTACAGGAACCACCACAGCACTACAATTCAATTGGACCAGTAACAGCGCAATACAGCTACAAAACTTCAATATCATCAGCAGAAAAACAAACACTACCTAAGCAAAAACTATATTTTTTACCCGTAGTGTAGAGAGGTATAGAAAGTGAAATCCGACTTAAGCGAGTAACCGCTCTTAGGTCTCAAATTGCATTTGGTTAAGAATTTTTCCGGTGACCTAAGTCAATTTTTTTTGTTAAGGGGCTCGAAATACGACCAGGTGGTGGCAACAATGGCGGAAGTGATAGCATTGACAGAAGCCTTGGTAGTAGCTGGGGCTTTGTTAGCGGAAGTTATTACCACTGTGGCAGCAACGATTGCGGCAGTTGCAAAAGCTGTGGCCGCACTTACCATAGCGATTTCAGCGGCTACTGGGGCAATCATAATGTTGACTAAAGCGATCTATGCTCTTAAGGATGCGATAATAGGTCTACTAGATGCGATTAGGGATTTCGCGTGGTTCGATGACGAATGCAAGGGTATCTATTGGAAATACAGCTAACTTTCTGGGCAGCTTTGTCTACTCGTAACTTTGAAGGACCGTGGACGGCTGAATTCATTATACCTAATAACGGAGTTGCATAATTTAATTTACAGATATTAATCATGGATAAAAAATGTATAAAAAAATATTTACTTGATGTCCATGTTTTACTTATGAAGTACCAATATAGAACATTAAAAAGTGAACATTTTCTTTGGCGTTTGAAAATTTTCTTTCAGAGACAGAGTTCGTCCAGTATAACATAACATAACATAGTGATGTCGGCTGTGAAGTGTAGGCCTGATGTGGCCTGTCGCCGATTCTTTTCCATTTCGTGCCTTGTTCATAGATCTAAACTCGTGTCATTTGACCTCAACACTTGTCAGACTGACAGGGCGATAGTTGCCGGGGCTGCTTTTGTCACCTTTTTTGAACAATGGTGTTACTTGAGCTTCTTTCCAGTCGGACGGCAAAGTTCCTTCGTTCAAGGTTTTTTGAAAGAATACTGTCAATGGGCCGGCCAGAACGGATGCTAATTCTTTGAGCAATCTGGGATGGAAGTATAGAAACACTCTTGTTTCGATCACACCAGTAACACCCCAGCATTGAAACACTCTTGGCCTTCATAAATTCTCGTGACTGAGCCCGCATTCTACAAATCTCAGCTTAAAGCTCTGAATTCACCTAGCAATTTCAATTCGTGTAATTTTTTGATGTAGCAACAATCTATTCGCTGTACTTTCAACATGTGACATGATTCGATGAGAATTCGTATAATGTGCATTTAATATGATTGGGCATTCTGTTTTTTTTTGCATTATACTATCGATATGGATCGCACCTAAACTTTTTCTTGTTTTTCCAGCAACGTTTCAGTCTAACAATATCTACTAAAGATATCCTGTTTGCTGGTTATATTTGTGACATGAAATTATTTTTTTTCTAATTCAGAGTTTTTTTATCGTTTTTGGAGTCAAAGTTTAACGTTTATTCATTTCTCGTGTGCTCTGATGTCATTTTTCTTCACCAGGATACTCTTCATGCGTAACTTTAAGCCTTCAAGGAATTCTACTCAGAAATATTGTTTGATTTAAAGTAACTCGCCATGATTGTTGATAAGTTGACAATGTTTGTTTTTTTATATTCAGTTAGGTGAGTTAGGTTAAGTTAGGTAGGTTTTCTATGTCCTGATTCGACACCTAACCTTTAGGTATTGATCAAAACCCTGATTATAAATTGGCTATACATATCCCTCCTAAATAGTGATCTAATTTTAAACTCTTTACGCCTTTATTTGGCATTTGACTAGACGTCTGTCTCCGGAAGTTTGTTCTTTATGGTGCTGTTCGATTAATCAAGGTGTTATTCATTCCTCAATTCATATTGGGCTTCCTCATGCCACAAATTCTAGCGTGGCTGATGCGAGATTTAACTTAAACTTGTCTTATGATTCAGTGTCAAAGTTTCCTGAAACTCCTATCTCTTCGATACACCTGTGTTATTTGAGCCACGTCTCCGAACGAGACCGTCAGACCTTTTTTTATTACGAGCGATGTGAAAATTCAAAAGATAGGTACACCAATTGGTGACTGCAAAAGCCTCGGTCTCTTCTAGTTACTACTAACTCTATTTCATAACCATGGAAAAGTTTATAATATACGAGTGTCTGTAGTAGTAACGTTTTATGTTATAATTTGGGTCTTCGATAACCAAGTCGATTTTTATCATATTCCGCTGGCTCTTAGACTTATTTGCAAAGTCATGTTAAAGATCGCTGTGCTTTAGTATTTAAATAAAATTAATTTTTTTTTGTATTCGGTGATTCAAGCCCCGGAATTTTAAGTTTCCTCGTAAAGTATGTTGATGATATAAAATTGGGATATTAAATTCGATGTTCACAAAAATTCTATGTTCACAAGTACTCATATCTGCGAATAAGGTATTGAATACTGTATCAAAAAGTGTGCTTTGTACTTACGAATAACTATATATTCGTATAACTACTTTCATATACTGCTTTATACATTATGAATAAAAATAAGCTCAGCTTGTGTTTCTCCACATTTAGTTATGCCGAAGCAATCAAATTAAGAGGGCTCCTCTCCTTAGTAAATAGTGAGCAATAAGCACTTTAGTGATATAAGCATGATGCAATTATTGCATCATTACGCAATAACGCAATAGATTAGGAACAGTTCACCAGCAGCCATTTTATACAATACAGAACTGATGCCTTTCGCTACCGGATTTCTCCTACGTAGTACGCAAAGTGAGCGTCGAAATACTTTGCTCCAAAAGAACAGTACATTGAAGGAACTCTGTTCATTTCACACTATTTTCAATTTATTTTACTCATGTTTAATTATTATTTTTGCTCAGTATCATATTTGATGATCTTCAAGAGAAATCTCAACGGAAAGAGAGCACACATGGGAACTGCATGAAAACATGGATAAAAATGCTGTTACTTCTACTTCCTTGTCCACGAAAAACATCTGGACAACCAATTTACCATCTACAACAATTTAATAATGCTTAGACAGTTTAATTGGTTTGGAGTTTGATATTGTTTCAGATTTAAAATAAACGCTGAAAATTTTGATATTGTTAAGCATGTTATAGTTTTACTAATTCCAATAAACTACAAACACTTGGAATATTGATGAGATCATTCTTTATCTATCACTTTTTTGTTAAGGCACTCGAAAAACCAGTACAGTGTACAACATCACCAGTATAAGTTCCACCCTGAGCTTCAAAATTTACAATTAAAGCAAATTTACCCTTCTTAATTAAAATCGTTCCCAGACTGTAAACAGCGAAACGTTAGCCTACGATACATATATAGTTTGATCGTACTCGACAAATCATTATCATTCACTCATGCAAGAACTTCTAACTCCTTTTTTTAATAAAACCAAGTTTTGAAACTTTTACAAAAACTCATCGACGTCTGCGCAAGAAGAAGCATTGCATTGATTATACGCAGCCCGGCTGGGCAGGTTCAAGCTATGATTTTGTAGGGGCGACTTCATGAAATATGGCAGCGCCTCTCCCACTTCCTAAAGGCTCTTGAAATTTTGCGCTTTGGCGGACGGGCCAAGTTTACAGTTTTTGTGTAAGGGAATGAAGGGAATCCCTTAAGGGTCCATGAAAGGAATTCATTTAATTCATCCCAGCTCCAAGTCTAGTAAACCAATATATCTCCTGGCCTGCTTGCACAGAAAAGAAGTGGCCTCGACAGTGTATGTACACTCTTCAACAAAGATGTAAGGTCGGTAGACTCGAAGGGATGTTAATTAATCAGAGATTGAGGGGTGTTGAGCCGTTAGGTCATGAAAATTGTTAAATCGTCGATGTAGTGGAGTCAGTTCAATAAATCAGCCAATATCCATAAATTTGTTGATTTGGTAGTTGTAAGCTCATACGTTGTAAAACTTTTATAGTACTGTGGCCATTATAGGTTGTGAGGTCATTTAAATCGCTTACGTTGAGTGGTTTTTAGAGTCGTGAAGTTTTATGGTAGTTCAAGTGGTGAGGCAGTCAGAGTCTTAAAGCCATTAAAGTCATAAATTCGTCAAAGCAATAAGGCTATCTACAGTAAGTCAAAAGGTCTTCACATTTTGCCATGCGCGAGCTTGGCACCGTCCTGCCTTCTGAGCCAGGCCTTCAGTTCCTCAACCCTGGCGTGCAGATCAGCTGCTCCTGACGTGGCTGGATATTCCTTAGGATTTGCTGGACCAAATCCAGACTGAAATTCATTTCCGGTTGACATCGAGGCACTTCTGGTTCCTGGAACTGCAATTCCAGGCGTTATCCCAGTTCCATACGGTATTAAAGTTCCAGTTCCATAGGGTATTCCAGTTCCCGGTGCCATTCCCATTCCAGATACTGGATCCAAGCCAGCGTGCAGAGGCCAGCCAGCTGGACCCGCCAGAGGGGCGACTCGGTCTGGTGGATAAATTAATTAATTTAACTTTGCCGTCAATAGTTATTTGGTATCAGTAAAAACCTATAGATGGAGAGCGACTTGTATATTACATCGAAAATATTACTAGAATTTATCAAACATCCCAATTTTCGGGCAGGATAAATTAACATTTTATCGCTATCTATTTTATCAATCATTATGAGAACCAAACTCTGCTATATAACAAGAAGCGATCGTTACTTATTTCAAAACGCAAAAGTTTAATTGAGAAATTAATATAATGAATAATTAAAGTTCAATAAATGTAATACATATGATACAAGTTCAATTATTCACATGAGTGATGAATGTGAAAAATGTTCAAACATCTGATTCATATGTGTGATGCATATGGTTTTTAATCTTATGAGTAACGTGCCCTCGAAGTTCTTTTGAACCAGACGCCACAATAAATGCTTCTTCGAATAATAATTATAATGTTATGTTCAGTTGCTAACAATAATAATAATAATGTTCAGTTGTTCACATAAGTAATGAATGTGAAATGTGTTCCCATAAGTAATAAATGTGAAACATATTCACACATTTGATAGTTATTCACACAGCTTAACATGTCGTACAAATAACCTGTTCCGAAGTAAGACAACCAACGGTCTGCCACGAGTCTTTCACCACCAATGAGCGGGTCTGAGGCGCCTGCTACATGGCCCTGCCTGAATCTAACATCACCATCTGAAATTAGAAAATTATCACAATATTAATTTTCGTATTTAAATTCGGATTTCTGTTTAAATGCGTTTCAAATTTAAGATTTTTAATATTTTTTGTAATTTTTCATATGATGGAGAAATACGAAGATGTTAAGTTTTCTTGTCGCATCGTGATAAACAAAGATTCTTTAAATTCATTATGGATTCAAGTTACCTGTTTTTTTGTCACTGTATACATTTAATAGTCAAATACTTAATGATTATACAATAAAAAAGTTGTATAAATTAATACCAAGGTGCCCGCCATGAAACTTACGTATCTATACATACAACACAATTGCATAAGGTAAATTTTTAATGCCGTTAACTTAGAAATTTTAATACCTATATGGACATATGGCATGAATTCCTATATTTATTTCATTATTGCGATTAGGTTGATGAGCCTCACTTGTTGATTTATTAATTGACATTGCTCTGAGCACGATTAAACGAGTAAATTTATTTTAAAATGTTGATTTCGTAGGTAAAATCCAGCTACACATTAAACTTTCCTTCATCATGCACAAAAAGTTCGGATCACAATTGTGGTGCGTACGCACGAAGTTCAGAGCAACATTGTGGTGCGCACATACGAAGTTCAGAGCAAAAATGTGCACGCACAAAATTCAGAGCATAAATGAGGCACGAACGAACAAAGTTCAGAGCATAAATTTGGTGTGTACAAACAAGTTTCAGAGCATAGGTATGGTGCGCGCATACGATGTTCAGAGCATAAATGCGCACCGATTTGCCGTGCTCTTCCATCGCTGAAATGCTCCCCGCGGTGACCAGACAATGTCACAGCCCCGTCAATGCTGTGTCGACGTGAAGAAGGTTTGGCAATTCGTCCAACTGGCCCTCGGTCCTTATTCTTCCGTCTGCCTCTAAGTTTTGCTGAGCATGAGGTAAAAAAATCACGATACTGGGTCATAAAAAAAATAATTTTTTATTGTTTCCTAGATTCCGACTCGCTACTGAAATCTGTTTAATGAAATCCTACAATATAGGTAATTATTACGGATGAATAAGTTTTCTTACTCAAAAAGGTATTATCCACATCGAATGCGGCATTTTTTCTCATAAAACGATCTCGTTTTTTTAAATATCTAACCATAAATTTAATTAACGGATTCTTGTAGTCGTACTTATTAATCTATCAAGATCAGCGTCTTCCGAATCGGTGTCGCTGAGCATTGGGATCCCAGATGCGACAGCTTCGTCATCGACCTGCAAGGAGTACGGGTGAAACATTAGTTATTTATGCCATGCAGTCAAACTACGAAGTAGGTACAAACGTGCAGTGCGGTAAAGATTACGCAAAATTTCTGCTCTAACTATCAGAGATAAATGTAGATAGCAGACAAAAAGAGATAAAATTTATACACAATTAGTATTAGTTCATAATAATATGTTGTTTAATTCAGGGCGAGTTTAGTAAAAAAATCTATCGAAACTCAAATAAGAAGACACAGAAAATTATTTAGGAGGACATGAATCAGACTTTGAAGTAAAACCCGAGGGTCGAGTGCAGTGCGCATATAGGATGCATCATTAAACCTACTGCGACAAATTTCTTATGCCTTAGAACTTCTTTTGCATCTCACCGGTCGTGTGGGAATGAGCGGATTCAATTCCAAGTCTTCGAGGAAATAATCTTCGAAACTCTCACGCAAATTTAATGCCAAATTGAGAGTGGATGAAGCAGGGCCAAGTCTTCTTGAATTCAACAAAGTTTCGGTATCCCTTGTGAGTCGAATGCTTTTTAGCAGAAGAGGGTCGTCGGCCCAGGCATATGTCGGTTCCAGTAGATCCAACAGTTCGGTTGAACCTCGAAGTGAGCGGTTGTTAGGTTTCTTCGATTTTTGATTCCGGTACGGAGGAGGTTTCGAGAAATTCTCTCTTGGACGAATTAACGTGGTCTTCGAAGTTTTAACCGATTTTTCGCTTTCTGTGTTTGTTGAAGAAGTGGAGAAATTTCGGAAGGAATTTTCTGATTTATTTTCACCATTTGAGCTTGGTGAGGAGTCGTCAGACGAAATATTGTTATTGCCATGATTCGTATGCGACTGTTTCGAAGCAGCAGCAACGTCTATACTTTCCGTCGAAGAACTTTCTTCGGATATCTCGTACGTATGATTTGAATGAATGTCATCGCCCGGAGGTTCCTTCGCTCCTGAAGAAAAAGGTATGTCTAACTGTGGTTGAGCATCAGTTAAATTCTTCTGACGACGTCTCTCTTGATCTTTCTTCACCAGAAGCACTTCTTCTTTGGTTAGCAGAACATTTTTAGAAACTGAATGGGCTGAAGAACCCTCGTTAGAAGAACTCTCATTAGAAGAATCCTCGTTAGAAGAATCCTCTTTGGGAGAGCTACTCTTAGGAGAACTCTCATGCTCTGAAAAAGATTCATGCTCGGTAAACATTAATGGTCTTTCAAACTTTCCCGTTTTGCTCACATAAGCTTTCGTGGGACTTCCAGTTTCTCTGGATCGCGATTCACTGATGGTTTCGCCTTTCTTACTTAGATTTTCTTCAAAAACAATTTTCTTACCATGTAACTTGTACTGAGGATGTAACTTGCGATGACCGGAGTTTTTAGACCCAGAGTGCTGATTATTATCGGTAAAGTTTTCGTAGGGAGATGAAGACAAATTACTTTCTTCTAGAATAGTTTTAAACCCTTTAACCCTCTCTCCCAGCTGCTTCCTTATGTTCTGAACATTTTCCTCTTTGTGCTTAAGCATTTGTAGGTGCGATTCAACACTTTCTTTAGCAGAGTCAATGAGATTCAGTGTAGGTGTTGGATCACATTCATCTGGTTGAAAAGCCTTACTGCCTCTTCCCTTCTGCTTCTTCCCTTTTCCTTTGAATTCAAACAAACTCCTGAAATGTTCATCTAAAACCTTGGACGTAATGAACTCTTCATCATCCTCAACCTCTGAATCTTGATGGTCTGGAAGTTGAGATTGCATCTGTCGTCGGAGAAGAGACAGTTGGTTCTCCCACTCGTTCTTTTTGCGGACGAGTTCACTTCTTATTTGCGAGTCTACCTCGTCGATATCTCGCTTGTGGCGTCGTCTGAGTTCGCTCAACTCGTCTTCATGCTGGCGATTCAATCTTGACATCTGAGCTTCATGGCTTTCTTTGATGAGATTCTTTCTCTCTTCAGTCAATCGGATCTGAAACTCCTCCTGGAAGCCAAAACAAAAAAAATTATTTAATATCGCCCATTTATCCATACGGTACACAAGCGTAATTTGAGCTAATTCTTGTGACTGCATGTAAACGTTTATCGCTGCTCTAGCCCCTAAAAAAACTTTACGTCTATGGAGATTTAACTTAACAGCGAAATTTTTTGCCATAAATCGTCGGTAATTGTTAATTCTCCATATCCTATTTTCACAAAGAACTCACCTGGTCTTTCAGCTGCTGCCGTAACTTGTTCATGTTGATCTCGTGTTCACGGGCAAGTTGCTTCATTTGTTCTTCATGACAGAACTTTAGTTCAAGTTCACGCTTCCGTAGAACAGCGCCCATATTCCTGTCGAGCTCGCCAGAGATTGCTGATAACTCAGCGCTGAAAATGAAACAATTGCACCAGGCAATTAAAAATTAAAAAGTCCCATGACCATTTAAAAAATTTATGATCATTGATTTAGGATACTACTACTAGACAACAATATATTTTATTCTAAGTGTCACAACTACATCTTCCATCATTGTGATAGTTCAGATAATTCGTAATATAAAGGTATCATAGCGATATTATATAATAAACTTTAGAGTATTTTCAGTACAATATTTTGTTTTCTACAAAGCAGTTGTCATAATTTTCATCTAAAAATATTGTTTATTTGCATCTTTTCCGCATCAGTGGTCAATTTTACATATAATGTATGGAATACCTCATTGGCGACACGTTGTTGACAGTTGTTGACAGGAGCGGATTGACAGTTGTTGACATGAGCGAATTCTGTAAGCACAAAAACAAATCTTACATTTTTACCCATGATAAGCTTTCCGACAAATTAGTACAAATATCCCTGATGATTGGTACCTGCTTGATGATCAAAATATTACTTTTAGAATTTACAATATGTAGTTACGCTCAGGAACTGACAGCGCAAATTTATTAGCCAATATGATAGTTCTTAATGAGAAAAAAACATCAGAAGTCGAAGAAATTTGCCTGCTACAACATGAAAAACATCCAACTGCTATTTTCCGAATTTGTTATAAACGTGCAGCTGTAGGCCAAAAATTCCTACTATGGACATTTTTTTTATTGTTAAATTCTTCAATAAAAATAATTTTAACCGATCTCGCATTGAATTTCTTCAATTTATTTGCTGTTGTAACACATATCATTAAAATGTGAACAAATTTGGACTATTAACAAACATAGGCTGGAATGACCTAGAGAAGACAACGCAAAATAATTGCAACGAAATAACACTGATTGAAACGGCATTGATCAAGCAAATAAAACGTAATTGAAAACAAATATTACCTGGAAAGGATGCATGGTTATAATAAACTTGTATTGCTGATTTATAAAATTCAATGATAATAACTTTATATCCCAATATGTAAAAAACTTGTAACTGAGTAATAAAATTCAAATACGAGTTTATAACTAAACCAATATCGTGCGAATATTTGACTATTGTGCGAATATTTGACTGATATTTGTAATCCTATGTAACTGAGTCATAGAATTCAAATACGAGCTTATAACTAGACCAATATTGTGCGAATATTTGACTATTCTGCGAATATTTGACTTATATCCTATATCGCTTCTAAATAATTTTCGTTGTAAGCTGGTAACTCACGGGGAGAGGGGCCGGCGCTGCAGGATAAACCGTGGACTGTAGGGCCAGGGCTCGTGCTAAGGCTTCTGTTAGAGCAGCGCTGTCGATGTTTGTGGGACTATTTAGTCTTATTTAGTCTCAATATATACATTGTTACTTATTTAACAATCTTATATGAGATGTATATTATATCTTATTGAGTAATAAATATCAATATTATAGATACTGTCATGTAATTTGCAATAATCATCATTATAATTGCATTGTTAGAGGGAACCTAGATTTTCCCTAATTCTAAGATTTCTGCCTGATCGGGACCCAGATTTCCAACTTAGAGGTAATGGTAGTTCTTATTTTTATAAGCTGTAGTTCGGCAATTAAATGACTTGGGATCTCTTTGTTCTTATGCGCGGCAAATTGAGTTTATGAAAGTTGCGATTGCTGCTTCTTATAAGCGACAATTTGGTTATTATATGATCGACTTGGTATCCCATTGTTCTGATACGTGACAGCTTTGGTTAATGAAAGTTATTATTGCTTCATCTTATAAGCGGAAGTTTGATATTGATAAAATTTGGGCTAACTTCGTTAAAATGATTTGCAGTTCGATGGTTATTACATAAAGTTGGGATCACTTCGTCTTATGAGCGGCAGTTTAATGTTATGAGAACTATGAATTCGATTTTTCTCATAAGTTGCAATTCGTCATAATTAATAAATTAATCGGCGTAGCAATATTATTTTGATTTTTAACTAGTAAATATCAGGTTAAAAAGTAGTTTTTATGACGATGATACACTTGTTAGTAACTACAATGTATAAGGATTGGGAGCTACACTAATTTTCTTTTGAAAGGTATTATTTTTTGGAGATTAATGCGCAATGGAGTAATAATGACATCGGTTAAATAGTTATCGATAATAACTTTGAAAAAATTGACTTTTACGAGGCTAATTATGGTTATATATGGTAATTGTAGTGTGAGATGATAGCAGGTACTCACAATGAGGTATTAGACAGCCCGCTACCGTTCACCGTCTCCTCACTGCGGTCTGTCCCACGCACCTGGAAACTTTGACGAAAACACACATGATGCAAAGTACGAAACAACACGTCATAATTAAAAGTTCGTTATGATGAGCACTTGACACTTAACTTACTTAATTGGAAATTCGATTGAAGCCTACATATTTCAGAGTAAGTGACATACTACTCATGAAAATCAAAAGTTTAACAGAACCTTACATGATGACGAGAAAGCGACACTTCACACGTGGTCAAATTACAAAAGTGATTGCATGCAGGTACATTTAATATTGAATAATTTATTTATTATATGTCTGAAACATTTCAGAATTATTGTTTCCATTTATTCGTAGCATGAAGTGCAAATTCTTAATTGAAATGTATATATTATTACAAAAATTTCATTTAACGAGGAATGTTAAACTAAAATGAACGAGATGTTCGCACCTCACAATACACTCGTGTCTTTTTAGGAACACATCAGCTCTAAAAATGGGTATATTTGAAAAATAATTCGCCGTGCAATGTAGGTACAAGATATTCAATTCAAAGACGAGTATATTACTCAACAATTGATGCGCAAATATTTGACTTGAATTATCCGACACATATTTTATGAACTTGTCGTTTACCGTTGAATTCACTCCTGAATGATGGCTAATGAAGAAGTTTATCAAATTCTGGACTTGCCTGGGCAGTTGTTGAAGCTATAATATTTGTTTTCGTTGATGACTTGGCTGGACCAGTTGGCTGAGCAGGACTTGACTTGGCTGGACCAGTTGGCTGAGCGGGAGTTGACTTTGTGGACCCAGTTGGCTGAGCTGGACTTGACTTGGCTGGACCAGCTGTTTGAGCAGGACTTGGCTTGGCTGGACCAGCTGGCTGAGCAGGACTTGATTTGGCTGTGGCAGCCGACTGAGCTGGAGTTGGCTTGGCTGCTGCGGTTGCCTGAGCTTGAGTCGGTTTGGCTGTGGCAGCCGACTGAGCTGGAGTTGACTTAGCCGGTGGGCCTTTAGCTACTGGCTGAGAAATGCTGGCTTGGAGTGGCTTTGAAGCCTGACTTTCCATGCCAACAGAACCGAGTTTCGCAAGTGGTGGTTTAGCGGCTTGAGCCGGTTTGACTAATTGAGTTGCACCTACATTAGCAGGTTGAATTGGTCGAGTAGCTCCCGTTTGAATGGGTTTGGCCGCTTGAATTGCCTTTGTTGAATCCGTTTTCACCGCTTGTTGTGCTCCCGGAGCGCGGGTTTTTGCTTGATCTTGCCGGACAGCAGAAGCGGTTAACTCCTTATCTCCGTCACTCAATTTAGCAAGCACAGTCTTAACCCCGGAAGATGGAATTAAACGCTCACTTTTTTCAAGATCCAACGACCCGTCGAGTGACTTATTCGAAGTTTCTTCTATTCTGGAAAGAAGATTTTTCCTTTTCTGGAGCCCTGACGTAAGTGGACTTTCTGGCAATCTCTGTGCGGTTCTTCTCATCGGTTCCAAATTTGATGACTCCTGAACCAATCCAGGAACCGGTTGTGTTGTTTGACTTGTATTTCTGAACGTTTGGGTCAGTTGCTTCATTTTTGCGGCCGACTGAGAAGCATTTGAAATTGATTCTCGTAAATGATCCTGAAAGAATAATGCGTTGACTTAGCACAAGTGCCTAAAGAGTTAACCAACCAAAGTATATATTTTCTAATGACTACAGTATTTGTAAATACATCTTTTGTGTCGATAGGATGCAGCCAGAAATACGTGCGTTCTTCCACGAGATTTAGTATGAAATAACCAGAACTTATTTATTAAAATTGCCTGTTTTACCTCGTGTGTTTGAGATTCGTCGTCGTCCGAAGTTTCATAGACGGTGTTGGCCATCAGATCTAACCCCGGCCTCAGCAAGTCTTCCAATGGGGCTCGTTGCCTGGCAGCTGAAAATTCGGGAAACAAAGCTTGGCGTCCGATTTAAAAAAACTAAATTTCATTTAAATAAAATTGAATAAAAACTGATTTCAAAAAAACGTAGCTCAGTACTCACTGCAGTGAGTGACAGAGAGCGCATTTTCTCGTCGACGAAAACTTGAGATCACGGACAGACGGACGGACAGACGGACAGACATGGCGAGCACAATAGTGCATTTTTTCCATAAATGAAAAAATGCGCTAAAAATGAATACTAAATTTGGAAAAAGAGGATGGATTCTTTAAATGCAATAAAAGTTCGTGTGTAAGGTATATTATGGTAAAGACAGAAATGGTTAAAACCAATAATACAGAATTATTGTTATTATAGAAATATCACGTGTAATCCTCAAAAGATTAAAAATACAATTATAAGCATAGGAAGAGGGGCAATGGGAACTGTTTGCCTAAAAGGCTTAGATCGCAGGTCTACCCACATTAGATCAATCATTTAGATCAAGCTTAGCTTAGATTAGCTTGATTATCTAAGATTAGCTTAGATCAATCATTTACCCACAATCTTACTTCGAATCTCTGGTACATAAATTTGGTTGAGCTCTGTTCCACACTCGAAACCTTACCAAACGCTCACAATATTTTTAAATCACCGTTGTTAGTAAAGTTTGTAACTTATTCGCTACTAAAATCCAGGACTTGACCTAGAGCGAGTGTCACGACGGAAGATATTTCTTTAGAATATATAATTGATTTAATTTTTTGAAATACTTCCAAGAACCTGGGTGCTCATCTTTAATTAATCAACACAAAGCAATAAGGTACTTTATACATTTCATTACACAATTCTTGAAACTCTGCAAAGGGCATATCACAAGCAATGTAATCACTGTGAATATTCTTCACATCGACGAAAGTTAATTCGAAAAAATTTTTCTAATAAACTTGAATTCGTTATAGTGGTTTATCTTGGTAACATGTGATAGTTAGTTTTGGGATAAGTAAATTGAACTACATTGAGCTACAAAAATTTCTGCAGGAATAGAATGATTATCTCTTCAATATAGTAACATTTATTGACCGTATTTCATGAATTTTTAACATGGAAACTTTCCACATCGACTGAAATATTCCAATAATTGCATAGTATGATGAATGTATAAAATTTAATATGCTATATTCTATCTATTTTTTTCAATTATTTGCATTAAAATAGTCGTTCATGTGGTAGCATATGGAAAATTCATATTAAATTGTGTTTTTATTCGTTCATTCTCTTCATATTTTAAAACATAATTACGATTATCTCTTCTTATATAGTCACTTTAACGCATGACGCTCATGTACGACCAGCTTAACAATATTTACATGTTGTTGACGATTCTTGAAAACGTGTATTTTTAGTTTTGACCCTTTAAAAGCCAGCGCAGCCCTAGATAAGGACTTTGAAAGATTGAAAGAGACCGCGAAGTGGGGAGGGGAGGAGGAATGTTTATCTTGAACCACAGATGATTTATTTCCCTAGGAAAACCTGCGCTTATATGAAAGTACAACAACGGTATGTCCGGTCTTGTTTTAATCTACGGAAGTTTCCTTACCTTTTGGGCTTTAATTATTTATATCTAATACCAGAAGAATGATTCAGAAGTGCTTGGTGTAGCAATCAATGAAGAATAAATAGTTAAACATCCTAGTATTGCGAAAATGTTAGAAAGGCTGTGCGTTTTAGGATCCTCATGGTTCAAAAATTTCGTTTGCAATAACAGTGGTAATACTAAGTTTACATAATTTATCTTAATGTCCATTAATTGAAAATAATTAGCTAGGATAGCATTCCAAATTTCAGACTTGTATCTTATTTAAGAGACGAGTTATTTGTCGAACGCATAGTTAAGAAACGCCATTGGCGACTTCAGCGGCTGACTGCCTTGATGTTTGCTCTTAATTGAAGCTGTTATGGGCAACAATTCTGCTTACCCAGGTTAATTGCCAGGTTTTTAGTTACAAATACTTCACAAACTTTGCTAACGACGGTGATTTAGAAATATAGGGGGCACTCGTCTGGTCTCGATTGTGGAACAGAGCTCAACCAAATTTTGCTGACCAATATTCGAAATAAGATTGTCGATAAATGATCGGTGTCCTGTGATTTAAGCCATTTATGAAAACTGTGCCATTTCGGCAATTCCTTTGATTTAAGCCGTTTTTTTAACTCTGCCCATTGCCCCTTTTTCCATACTACTATTATTGTTAAATGATAAATATATTTTCATCTACCTGCGATTGGTGCCGTTTTCTTCACCGAAGCAGCAGACTGGTCGCCAGGGGGCGGGAAAGGATCAAGCGCGTTCTGTGACGTCAGTTTCATTCGTTGTGTCGCGTCTCCAGGCGCTTGTAACGTCGCTAGAGATGATTTTTGCGTCAAAGCTGTATTGAAAATGCAGAGAGCATGTTTTTACAGAAAAAATCTCTAAAAGATCAATCACTTGTCGCATATATCGTATAATACACACTTTTTATTATCTTAAATAAAAATTAAAAATGCATGAGCATTCATGATTATAACGTCGCTAGAGATAATTTTTGCGTCAAAGCTGTATTGTAAAAGCAGATAGTATGTTTTTACAGTGAAAATCTCAAAAAGATCAATCACTTTTCGCTTATATCGTATAATACACATTTTTCATTATCTTGAATAAAAAAGAATAATGCATGAGCATTCAAGCTTGCATATATCATACTGGAGTTTACAATTTCCGGTTGTATTCATTCAAGATAATATAAATCGCTTTTATTGAAAATAAACTTGTTATTTTTATGAAATATTTTTTATTATAAACTGAATATTCACCTGGGGCTGATGTAAGCACTCCGCTCCCGCGCTCCTGTGTAGAAATAATCTACGATGACGTATTTTAACGACACAATAGATATCTATTTTATAGATACATTCATTTTTCCCACTCAATCGCAGCGTGCCAGGATATTTCTCAAAAATTTTTAGGTTAAATTAAGTATTTCAATTAATTAATTTGATAAAACGTAATTTATAAACATATGTCACATGTGGTTTAAGGGGGATGGTTCTTATGACTGTAATTATTTCTTATAACTGAGAGGCCTATAAGAATCTAATATAATAATCTTAAGGAAAAAACTCAGTTTATGATTTGTGAAATCTAAAATAAAACTGAGTTTTATTGAACGTCGTCCTGGGGTGCGTAATCTGAAGCGTTATAATAGCAAAATTAATTTCAGGCATTTTAGTGAGATAATTGAAACCAGTATATTACTCAATTACTTATAAAGATATGCTCACAAATTCTCGTATTTAATGGATGGGAGTTGGAATGCACCTGAGAGTATTTAAAATAAAAGATGATTATTCGCATATTAATTAATTATTTTGATCATGACTATTTTAGACATGTATGAGACATTTGCAGATCTGGGTTTAGAGTTTTCATGAAGCCATTTCGAAGTCACACATTTTATCATTATACTTTTGTGATTGTGCATATTTGGCAAAAATCGCAAAGATTAACACACCTAATTATTTAAATAGTTATCCCAGAGTGCATAGCTTGAAGTGCACACATTTTCATAATTTATTTTTTTTTATTGTGCATATTTGGCACAAATCGCAAGATTTACACATTTATTATTTAGATTAGTTATCCCAGAGACCTGCATAGCTTGAAGTGTTGCCCCAAGTCGCCTTTGCCCGAGTGGCGTAAGCAAAGCAGGCGCCCCTCGTCTGTTCCCAGCGATGGGCTCGAGTGGTGCCAGTTTCTTCATCTCGGTGGTTTCGATGCAGCTTATCAAGGATGAATTCAATGGTTTTTCAAGTGAATGCTCTTGAAATTCTTCCTCTATTGATGTTTTTGTAGCACGATTACTTGGTTCGATTGTTCTTTTTTCAAGTGAAGCCTCTTGATCGTCTATTGAGGTTTTCGTGGTACGATCACTTGGTTCGATTGTGCTTCGAAAAACGTTGTTTGGATCAGTATCTGTGTTGACAATCAATTTCGGTGCGAAGGAAAGTCGACTGTCTTCTTCAGAACTATTCTTTGTGAATGTACTCGATTTAGTAGTATTTTCTATTTTGTTTTGTAACGATGCAGTTGAGTTTGATTCAAACGATCGTCCATGCGACTTTTCTTCACCTATCGGTTTCTTTGGGAGAAAGTTTTCTTTAGGTATCTTTATCTCTTCTATGTTTGGATGGACATTTGATTCTTTTTCTCTTTCATGCGCTTCCTTTTCAGGTGTTCTGTTTATTAACGTTTCTAATTGAACTTCGTTTTCCAGCTCATAATTTTCGTCATTAATTAAATTGGAAAATGTAGTCAATTTTTCCCCACGCTGCTTTTCACTTTGTTTCAAACTGGACTCATAAAATGTTGATGTTTGACCGCACGTTCTCGAAGCAACAGGGAGTGGAGATAAACATCGTCTTGAGTTTCTTTCAGTTTCTAAAACAGATGAACATTCAAAAGAATTAGGGTAGCTTTCACCGTCAGGCTCTGCTCTCTTAATGTGAGGTTTAAATGAACCGTTGCAGTTATGCTCCGATACGTCAACTTCGTCTTTTGCGGTGACTTGTTTGTCTTCTACAAATTCGAATTGATTTTCATCATTTTCAAAGGTTTTATTTTGGGTCAATGCACGTGATTGCAAGTTCAACTTTTCGCATGGAACTGCTTCAGTAGTGTGGTCATCCCTAAAATTTAATACCGACGAATTTCCAAGACGATGTTCACTTGTGTCGCTTTTGGTTGTTGATGGAGGTTGAAACGTACAGCTGGTCCTCGTCTCGCCTAAAGAACATAAATATGTAATTTTTAACGAATATTTTTCTCAATGATGTTCTCTGTATGAACACTTCCGTATTAAAGGATGAATAAATTTCTAATCAATTTTCGCTCATGCTAGGTAAGTGTAGTACATTAATTTAGAATAGTTTTTCACCAGAGTATCTGAAACTCGCATATAGTAAAGTATTGAATTATTATTTACATATGTCTGCCGTGAAACAATTAGATTTTTAGGATTTGATTACAAATTGATGTTGATATTCAAGGGACATGACTCAGAGCTACTATAGAACATTTAACTACTAGAAGACCTCTTGCATGTCAGCTTCTAAAAATGGTATTTGAACCTTTAGTGTTATAATGCTATTCCTACCTGAGCAGTTACAGTGATTCTTACCTGAGTAGTTCCAGTGCTATTCCTACCTGAGTAGTTTCAGTGCTATTAATACCTAAGCCGTTACAGTGTTATCTTTACCTATGCAGTTACAGTGCTATTCCTACCTGAATAATTGCAGTGATATTCCTCCTATATAATAAAAGTGCCATTCGCCCCTGAATAGTCACAGTGTAGTAACTGTAGTTGCTACCCGGGCCGTTCGACCATAACCCGCGTATAACTCGCCTATAACTCGCCTCTGTCACGGCCACGCCTGACGGCCTCCCTGAGGTCTGCGTCCAGGGGGTGCAACCACGAGCTGTGGTCCGTGGTAGGGTTGTGGTAGTACACTGCCTGCGCGCCTTCGTCAAATCTGATCAGACATTAATATAACTTTATATTTAGTTATAATGGCAAGAATTAAATTCTTTACATTCTTATATGACACACATTTTCCGATGCCAATGGTTAATGCCGAAAATGTTCACTTCAATTTTTCGTTCATCCTTTCATGCAAAAGTGATCGCAAGGCGAAATTTCATCCGTATAGACATGGCACATTACGAACTTCTTATAAACTTGAATTAATGAATCGACAATTTTAGGATAAGATTATTTGAAATAATGTAAATGTTTGAGGTAACTTATACTTACACAGCTTGCCAAGGTGGAGGCAGCGGCGTGAGAAGAACAGTTCGAGCGGCTGCGACGAGCTCAGGTTCTTCTACAGGACAGATCCCATGTAGCTTGGCGAACTCCAGCACCTCTAAGACCACAAATACCACGGTCAAAAATATATTCGAAAAGCTGTAAACAATATAATAAAGTGTCAGGTAACCTTAGCATGTTGAGCAACATCATTGTAATGTTGTTTACAAAACAATAAAATTGACATATAGCCGTAAAGGTTGAGTAAGATCATTGTAATGTTATTTACAATACAATAAAGGGACAGGTAACCGTAAAAGGTTGAGTAACATCTTTGTAATGTTGTTTACAATATTCACCAAAACTGACGTAAGTTGGTAATGAGTAGAAGAAGAGGTATCTATACCAGTAATCATATTGCAATTGAAAATAAATACTGGTTGTCGTTATTGATTTTGCGTCAGTGTATTCTAGCCTGTACTTAAGTAAAATTTCTCAAGTCAACAAATGGAACCACAGTAAGAAAATCCATAGCAATACGAATTTGCAACAACTTTTTGCGCTCTTAAGAAATTACTAAATTAACTTTATTCTTAATCATTTCGACATGATAATGCAGCCGCTTTTCATGTACTGTATCCCTGCGAATTCAAGTAATTTAAAGCATTTATTAAATTTGTTATTTATACAAATACAGTAATACTGACAGCCGCTATTTTTTCTTGGCCTTCTGCTAGCGTGCATCGCGAGTGGTGATTCATGTGAACAATGTCATTGAAAATTTTTCTGAAATTACACTAAATGTAAACACCTGCAAACTGCTATGCAATTTATTTCATTCTTAATATATATTTGCGTATTCGTTTATAGGGCACTTTCCCGTTGGATATAATTCATGGATTTCTCGATCTCAATTCTATGTTGTTCATTATTAGAAACGCGAACAAACAATTTAATTAATTTAACTTGTTACTTTACTGCGTGTGAATGACTACGAAATTTTGTTACATTTTCTAAACTTACCTTCCTCAGTCACTCCATACGTTGGATCGAATATCTCCTCTAAAACTGTCTGTCTCCTGCTATTTTTTTCAGGTTTTGGAGTCTTACTACTATACTCAGCACACACGTCCTCGATCTCAGTGATACATGACAATGTGTTGCAACCTCTAGGCGACTTGTGTTTGGATTTAGATTTTTCTTGTGGTAAAACCGGCTCTTCAGTTGACTGGCTAGAATTATTGGTATCCGGACACTTCGTCGGTGCTTTGGGATCTGAATGTGAGTTAGATTCTATAAAGTTTTCGCCGTCAGATTCGGATGATGTTTTTTCTCGATAGTTTGTCGAAAATAAATTGGTTGTAGACGGGATTTTTGTTCTTCTGTTTACTTGAGCTGTCAGAGTAGAGTCACATGATGTACTAAATTTGTTGCTATTATCCATCACATAACTTTGAATCTTCTCTTCAAATAAACTTATCGAAGAAACATTTTCAAGCCTTAACCATTACCACAAGAAATCCTATAAATAAATTTTCCATGAACATTAGGATTATATATTATGAGCAAAATGCTTAAAACGTGTGCAAAGAAGTATTGTTTCAGACTCGAATACGTACACTGAAAAATACAACTGGATGCATCACAACAGTCTGTAACCATGACAACAGAATATATAGCGTTTTACAGAAAATTAAATAAATGTAAAAAAATATTGGTAAATGTAAATAACAAAAAATATGTTACCGAATTTGAATCCATAAAAAGTATAAACAAGAAGTTTGATAGATGAAATCCAATGTGCGATTTCTGTTTTCTTTAGACGAGGCAGAAAGTTTGGAAATTTCCGGTTAAACGGATAGAGCTCTCAGTTAGCAACAGGCATTCGCTAAGTCTCGGTAGATCCAAGAATTTTCGGTGAAGAACGATAAACTTTTATTATTTAGGTTGAAACTTGGTTTTATTTAGTATTGTACAAATTATATTTTCGGGAAGCAGTGCAGGCCATTATAATGATCAATCATGTTGGTAATATAGTCTTTGATTTATTTATACACAATTATACCGACGTATAACGAATTGAATAGAAATTCGTTTTCTGATTTTGTTTTCTAATGATTGAGATCTTACGTAAATGATGGCTACTACCAGCAACACCGTGTTGGAAAAGAAAGGTGCCGACACAAAGTCGTCGGAAGTGGTTATATCTCCTCTCAACTCGAACCAGCCTTCTCGAGAGAACAGCGGGACTGGAGCTGCCATATTAGCTGGCCTTGAAGAACTTTTAGACAATGCTGGTGCTTCACATATCACTGAGATTTTTATGTTGACTTATCGGGGCAGCTCTGAAGTTGATCGACACTATACAAAAGCAATGCTGCCATGGATAATAGCAGAGATTAAAAATCAAAAGAAATATGAAAAGGTAAGTTACCTATATATATAAAATATAATCTGTTGAAGTTATTGAATTTTAAGCACATATTTTAAAGAACATTTTTATGTATTCTAGGATCAAAAATTTCCTTTATATTAAGAAAATCTTGCAGCTCCAAAGTAACAAATTTTCCCTGAATTTATTATATAGAATCTCTTTGCCCTATTGTGCACTTATACCTATTAACAATTAGATAGGAGCTAATTTTGTAATTCATCTAGTGGGGATCTCGTGGTTCCTAATGTGGCGGGAAAGCTCTAGTTGGCTTGCAGCTCAAAACTTTAATAGGTATATTCCTTGCTGTCAGGCAGTTCAGGCTGGAATTCTAAGAATGGAAGTTCACTTATAAAAAAGCTTTCCACGGTTCCACCCAAGGTGAAAAGCTTTCCTTGGATACAGTGCTCTGCCAGCCTGTCAGGAGACTGATTATAAATGAAAAGGAGTATCAAAAGTGGACAAAATGTTTCAATTGTATAGTACATTAGATTTGTAATAGAAATATTTGGATGTCTCTTGTTTGATAGATATTTTTTATTTGTCTGTTATTTAATGGATTTTTAAAAAAATTTCTAGGCCTTTTGTTTGTAATAAGGCTAATCAAGTTTCAGTTGAGTATTTAGTTAACCAGTACTGTAGTACATATACCATACTTGGGGGCGGGGCTTATGGGCACAACCAATCACAGCATCCCCATCAACCAATCACAGCTTGAAAGCATCCACATCAACCAATCACAGCTTGAAAGCATCCACATCAACCAATCACAGCTTGAAAGCATTTCCATCAACCAATCACAGCTAGAAAGCAGATAACATTACAATTCCACTATCCAATCACAGCTGGAAAGCTGAAAGTGGCTAATATCACAAACCAATCACAGATGGAATTCTGGAAAGTGATAGGATATGTAAATAATGGACTGAAAGTGTAAAGTTCCTGGCCTTTCCAAGCTTTCAGGTCCTGCTTTCCAATATGCTATGTGTACTGGTTAATTTATTATCCCTCTAGAATTCCACACTGCTTGCTGTAACTATGCCTGATTTATTCCATGGCTAAAGCCCACAGGAGTTATAGGGTAAACGCGGTATATTCCGACACTTTAAGGACGCATCGAGAAATGAAAAACTATAAAAAAACCGTATGCGTTACGTAAGTTCTGTTGCCTTCACATGACTCTCAAAACACTTCACTACGCGTCAGCAACGATAAAACGTCACAAAATGTTGCCATATTTATTAAAAAGCCTTTAGAATGGAAACCTACCAAATCCCTATATTCCGTCATTTTGTGTGGCAACATCCGACACGTGGTGAGTCGTATTGCGTCAGCGCTTCAAATTTAACTGATACGTATTGCCGACATCCACGTGTTCGAATTCCGTTTGCTGTGTGAGCTGTATTGGGATACAACACGGCTTTGAATTAGAACACTAACGAATATTGAACGCTACTTAATTACGTTTTAATTAACAGCTATTAGGCTTTTAATTAAGCAAATTTCAATTTTTGTACAAAGCTTTGAACGATCTGTGTGTGTCCAATTCAAGTTGTGTCGGAATTAGTTTTCATGTGTCGAAATCCAACATCTCAACTTAATCATCTATTAATTTATTTGCGACTTGAAATCAGCGAATACAAGTATATTTAAAGGATTCCTAATATATTCACAGACGTATTTAAAAGTCTCAAACCATAATATTCTTCCTATAAAAACAGTTATTCACTATTTGGTAGAGCCATGTCAACTGTCAAATTTGACACATTTTTCGATGATCTCACCACGTGGCATGCATTGTCTCTCTTTGGATCTCAATATTTTCCTGCTAGATGGCCAAGACCTAGTGTTTTTGCAGTATTTCGACACGCAAATGTATGACGTCACCATTTCAACCATCAATGAACGCATGGAACTAAAACAAAGCTTAATATAAAGGAAAAACTAGAGAAGTGACGGAATTACCTACGATGTCGGAATATACCGCATTTACCCTACAAAATTAAAAATTTCCAAGTAATTTTTAAAATTTTGTGGCTCCTGATTGATAAATTTTAGATAAAATTAGAATTTTGTAATGTAATCATGTACTTTTTTCAACAATTGCCATTAATGCTACTAACTTTGTCGCAGAAATTATGTTGCTGGCCTTTAAAATATAAAATCTATTTTGTTAGCAAAACTGAGCCATAACTTTCTGGCCCAATTGAATCAACTATTTTTTGTTATTACGGTATGTCGCAACCAAACCCTACAAATTGTACATCTAATAAACATAATATATATGGCTTTTATTGATAATGACAAGTAGGGAGTATGCTGAGTGGTAACTGTCAGTGTCAACTTGTATGGCCTTGACAATATATAGAAGGTATATAATTAATCTGGCAGGAATCTAATAGCTCCAAAAATGGTGGGAAAGCTTTAAGCACTGCCCAAAAAGTAGATATATAATGTATACATTCCATGCCTGCTTAGGCTGCCAAGGGGATAATATATTTATTGACTACATCATAAATTTGCAAACAACTTCAAAATTTATTAGTTTCTCATTTGCGTCTAGGCATTCATTCTAGCCTTTAATATTTTCTTGAAATTTTCTTTAAAATTTCAAAGTAAATTTAAATGAATAACTAATATTTTTAATTTTGTTTCAGGTGAAAGTTGAAATCAGCCAAGGAATGGTGACTGTTCTGAGTGTATCTCCAGAGTCGGAAATGCCGCTCTTTGCACATTCTGTGAAGCAGATCCACCAATGTGTTATGGAGCAAGCTGATCACACTCATTTCTTGTATACCTTGAAGCCCATGCCAGTATGTATATTGGGTTTAATAGTATTAACCTTAAATCAGTGCAAAACATGAAAGGGTGTCTATAGTGTACTGCATATATGTGTTGAGAAATTATATTTGCATAACATGAAGTCTTATTTGACTGAGATGATGATGTCAACATCTACAGGATATAAAATATTTATCTAATTTTCCCTGAAACAGATCTTTCTAGCAATGATGTCTTTTAGGATAATTATAACCCCTGCATGGAACTTAGAATAAAAAACATTCAAATTGGACTTGAACTATAGTATACGGTACTTTATTTGTGTTCAAATATCTCAGTTTGTTGGTTCTTCCAGGACAAAGAGAACAGGAAACAAGAGCATGGAAATGAAGCCCTTCAGGTGACGCCTGTGTTCACCAATGCATCAGCAGGAACTGACCATCAATGTCATCTTTTCAAGGCTGAATCTGAAGAATATGTGAGTGCTGGTTGCAAAGTTATCCTCTTTTTGTATATTTTTTTAAAAGGCCTTGGTAGGATTCAGAATAAAATGTAATGTAGGTTCTTAGAAAAAAAATAAACGACATTTCTGAAAATTTAGTTGAAATTTTAATGAATGAGCTTATATTTAGCTTAAATTAGCTACCATTGTATAGGAAACATTTTTTATTGGATTGCAATTGAAACTTTTGCAACTGCATTTACATGTACAGTAACTCCTTTGGGTCAGAGAGAACCATTAGACTGTGTCAAGTCAAGTATATATGAATATATATATATAGGTATTGAATTTTGATGCCTTGATAAGAGCCATTATTCAATCTACCTCTGAAAAGACCTCCATTAATATTAGTTTGAATTTATATACATTTTCCATTATGAACATTTTTACAGATTTAATGAGACTTTTTCATCTTTATCAAACATTGTTGCATGATTCCCTGAATTTTGCATTGTTTCAGTTAAACTTTCTGTTTGAGTTATTTTTATCAAGCACAATACTTTTAATAACTTGACAAAACTGTTCCTATTCCCAATGTACTGTATTCATGTAGCTCAAACAGCATATTAATAAAATACATAAAAAAACTTTTTAAAAACCACGTTTTTCTTGTGGACTAAAAAGTAGAAAATAAATTATGGCTTGCCCCAAAAAACGTGTGTCGGGAAGATTTATGATTAAAGCGAAAAGCACACAACACACGAATTTTGAAATTTGATGGTGAACGTACAGCCCGACACACGTTTTTTATCGATGATACGCAGCGTCAGCGCCTGTTCGTCTATTATAACGTCAGCGCCCGCACGTCATACTATATATATACTATATATATAAAATATATATATACTTTACTCAATTAAACTAATTTAGGTCTCTAATTATTAGTTTTTATGATTGTATCTGAAATTGTTAGGCGAAAATAGACTGCATGCCGAATTTCAGATCTCTAGAACAATCAGAAGTGGGCTAATTTTCGTTGTCAATGTTAACAACAAACAAACAAACAAACAAACAAATAAACAAACAAACAAACAAACGCGAAGCTAAGCTAAGAAAAACGTGTTAAAAATATAACTCAGTAGTCAGTACTCACTGCAGTGAGTGACAGAGTGTGCATTTTCTCATCAACAAAAACGTGAAGTCACGGACAGACGAACGGACGGACAGACAGACAGATATGGCGAGCACAATACCTTGTGCATTTTTCCATAAATGAGAAAATGCGCTAAAAAGAAGTGTGTGGACAATAAAATTTTTTTTTCAGTAATTATTATTTTACAGAAAAATGACTTTTAATGTCATTTCACAGTTTTATTGTACATAATTTGCTTAATGCATTGATGTATCCATTTCTCAGGTTCGTAGTTTCTTCAAATGTCTTCGTCAGCAGCCCAAGGACTCCCACCAAGTCTTCCGCACAAGATCGCAGCTCTCAGTGCAGGCTCTCCCAGAAACTTTTTTGCATGGAGAAACTCAGTTTTATGAGGTTACTTTTGCTATGTGTTCAATTTTTTGTTTCAATGTAGCAATCTGTCTTTTGTTTCTTTTATGGAGTACGGTATTAGGAAATTTTGATTGTTACTAAGGAGCTATTTTTTTCCAGTCCTGCAGTTTTCCTTTTTATTGGCCAAATATATATTTAACTTGAATATGACTTGAGGTATAGTAGTTGTCTCTAGAAATTTTGTGTTAGGTTTTTATGCCCAAATTTAAAATCAAATTTGTAGTACCCCCAATCCTCTCAAAAGTCTCAATAGTCATTGATTTTTTCATACTTACCGGTATATCATACCTTGCATGCCAATAAGTTTTGGCAACAAGATTTTTAAGTCCAGGGAATTTTTTCATTTTTAAACTGTACAAAATAAACAGCACTCGGATATCACTGTTATGTAATGTCACTGTTATGTACAAGTATGCAATGTACTCCAGGCTGTTATCAATGATGGAATTGTTAACTATTTACTGTGCTACAGGTGCTGTTTGTTGGGCGAGTCAAAGTCTCTCACTGCAAAGTGCCAGCTTCTTTCATAGACGAGGCGTGTGAGGCATTCAAACATAAAAAAAATTCTGACTCCAGGAACAGTTTAAATTCTGATGTAAGTTCCAATTTTTCTTTCCTAGAAGTATTCAGTTAATAAATTATCAAGGTATTTTTATAGGTTAAATAATTATTTATAGCAGGAGTTTTAGCTTGAAGGTTGGTAATTGTGAAAATATATATTCATACCTACACATATGCATTAAAATATTTGCAGAATAGTTGCATCTGGTTAATGAAATTATGGAAACATTTTTTTTCCACAATGGTAACGAATTTTTAAATTTATATCACAATATCAGTTGAAGACAATTTTAATTACTATAATAATTAATGATTAGATTGAAACATTTGAAATCATTATTAATATACCTTTTCCTGATTAGTTTAGAAAAGGTTATGACTTTGTTTTCGTTTTTGGATCATCATGTATAGGTACATTGTAACTTTGTTGTTAATTGATTTAGATAATTTATATCATGATATCTATTTTAACTTGATTAAATCTGGGTGTAGATACTCTTTTAAATTATATTTATAACTTATATACGTATAACTTGTTTGCATATAGGTTAAGGTCCTCTATTAATGGTACGTATCTATTTTAACTTGATTTAATATGGGTGTAGATACTTCTTAAATACCTAGTATCTATGGTAACTTGTTTGCATGTAGGTTAAGGTGGTTTATTTAATGATATCTATTTTAACTTGATTGAATCTGGGTGTTGATACTTTATTTAATAGTATCATGTTATCTATCGTAACTTATTTTCAAATAGGTTAGGGTCCTTTATATGATATCTATTTTAATTTCGGTAAATCTGGGTGTAGATACTTTTTTTAATAGTATCTATGATAACTTTTTTTCATATAGGTTTATGTCCTTTATTTAGGAGTATATATGGTAGCTTGATTGCTTACCAGGGCCTATACTTTCAAAAAAAGTTAAGAGATCATAAGTTCATCAGCCAATCATTGACGGCCTTTCAAGCAAAATCCACCAATCATAGATAAGAAAATAGAGCGTAAGTACTTACGTTCACTTAGCCACTTTTGAAAGTATGGCCCCTGTTCATTATGGTCAACAGAGCGTGGCCAGCGGTCTGGACGACTATCAGAAGGTTGGCAGCGGATACTCGGTACCAAACATCAACTTCTCTACAGACCAGCCCGCAGTCCGGTCCAACTTCAGGGTGCGTTACTCATTGTGTTTAGTTACTCTTTTGGGCTTGGGTGTCACTCTTGATCTTCATTCCGGAATGAAATCAATTTATTGTCATTGTTTTCTTGTATTATATTTTATTCTTAAATGTTTTAATGCATTATTCTCTTTGATATTAATGGATATTTTCTCATTAGAGCACATTATTTTACTGCAAGTTCTGCTAACATTATTATATAATTTCATGGATAATTAATATTTGTTATTCTAGCACTTACTTTATATATGGCAGGATCAGAAGGGTGAGTCACGCAAGAAACATTTGATCCAGCAGCAGAGTTGTGGTGATGCTCCTCCATCTCAGCATCGTGTTAGGTTTACCCTCGACACAGACATCGATCAATACCTTGACCAAGTAAATGAACCTAATGACGATACAACAAAAGGAAATAAAAGCATTAGTCTCCCATCCGGTCCTGTATTTAGTTCAAATACGAGCTCTCCTCTTGGATCGAGGCTACCTTCGAGCTCCAGCAGCTTGGGCAGCACCAAGGAGTTCACTCCAATACAAGAGATTATTGCTGATGGAGAAAGCGTTGTTGTTGAAGAGGAGGAGAGTGGACAACTTGTACGCTCTTTCTCAATACGCGTGCCAGAAAAAGTCAACTGGTACTTGCCATCTGAAGAAGAAAAAACTACGGTTTCTTCTGAACAAATACAATCAGTGCTGAAAACTAATATCGGTGAAAAAGTTAGTGAACAAGAAGGTGATGGAATCCATGCAAATCAAAGTGCAATTGGTGGGCGAGATGGAGATCATGAACTGAAGATCACTGAAGGTTTGCCTTTGTACTGCTGTATCTTCAAATGGATTGCGTTCGTGAATGTTAACAAATCTACGGCTGTTAAATCTACAGCTGGCGTTGTAGTTTCGTTTGCTCCCTGCATTCTTTTCTTACCTTAATTTTATTTTGTACCAACTCCTTAATTTCTCAATCTTTTACCCGAATCATAATATGACTGGTCTCACTGATAAATTGAAAATACTATCGTCTCTCTTTAGCTAATTACCTTATTATTTATGTATTACCCTCTTTATTACCAGTTTTGATTGCTGTATTCTGCACACCGTTAAATGTGACATGACGTGAATGTTAATAAATTTTCCGCATTAAGCAGGGTTGCATGAATAATGCATTGCCCGATCTTTAGTTATAAAGCAACTCCTATTCTCAGTTGTTTGCAGTATCTCGACTTCGTTGATCTCACGACTGTTCTTACAGGTTCTATATTTCCCCAGCATTTATGTGTGACCGTTTGAGGCTTTTGAGCCGCAATTTTGTGACCCTTGATATTCTTGTTCCTAAAATATTATATCTCAACCTTATTTATTTGATAAATCAGAGATAAATTGATCATTATATCTCCCAACTATTTCTTTTAGCTTGTCTCTCTTAATCATCAAATTAAGCTTGTTGTTTAGTTAGTGTGCCTATTAATAATCTCAGTGTCTAAAGTGTAAAAAAACGAATGTAGATGTATTTAATGAATTATTTCTCTATATAACATAGAATAAATAATTAGTAGTTGAGACGGAAAGTTTCACAGCAACTGATTGGAAATTTATTTAATTTTTCTCTTCTTGTTTTCTGTGTTAATCATGAAACAAACCAACTTATTAATTCGCTGGTTTCACGAAGTTAATTATTATCAACAAATTTCTTTAATATAAAATTTATTATTTCTCAGCATGAGTGCCTTGTTTTTGCCATATGTTAAATTTCTATTGTTAATTTATTATTGAATGATTTAAAAAAATGTTTGAAATTAAAATTAAATTTTTTGAAATCAAAATCTTAAAAATTTTTGTTTTACCAGATTGAAATGATATTCATGTTTAGGAAATTAGTTTACTTGTTACTTGTGTCTCGTAATCAAATCTTTATGAAATTTTCCTGCAAAATTAAAACTTGAAGTAAATATCTAATGAGATGATCCTTACTTTCCCCTTCTCAGCTCCCCAAAAGCCTATATCACCTCTCGCTCTCCCCTCGAAACAACCCTTCTTCGTCTTCCCCACTCCTGCAGCTGCCACTCCTGCAGCTGCCACTCCTGCAGCTGCCACTCCTGCCACTCCTGCAGCTGCCACTCCTGCAGCCGAAGTTCCTACAGCTTCCTCCGCTGTCGCATCGCTGCGCCCTTTGCAGAGCAGCGTCAGTAGCGCGGACTTACCGAGCTCTCCCCCGCCAGGTACGTCTGTACGGCCACAGCCTGGTACGTCTGTACATTGCTGCATCGGTTTGAAACATCAGCTCAATCTAAATAATTCTTTTTTGTATCATAAGACCGTTTGAAACATGACCATTAAAACTTTTTTAGTCTTTGATCCCTTTAAACTTCTGTCATCTTAAAACCGCTTAAACTTTCTTAAAACTGAACCCATTTAACATTTTTTCTTCTTACACAGGAACGGACGACGACTTAGATCGCCCGTCGTTCAAGCAGCTGATCAAGCGTCGCTATTCCGAGCAGCTCGCAGGCCCAGACAGCGAGGAGGTCTCGGCGAAGAATTTATTCACAGCGTACGGCCGATCTTCTGCCGCGGCGATTGCCGATGACGATACTGACGAAGGCGAGCCTCCCTACCGCCCACGACTTAGGACCATCAGTGGCAATAGTTCTGCTAAACTCAAGTGGGTGCTACGACTTTTTGATGATAGAAATATATTGATTGTTTTTTGTCCTTGTATTGATCCTTAGTGGTCCATGTATTGATCGTTTGTGGTCAACGTATTGATTGTTTGTGGTCTATGTATTGATCGTTTGTGGTCCATGTATTGATCGTTTGTGGTCATGTTTGTGGTCCATGTATTGATTGTTTGTGGTCCATGTATTGATCGTTTGTGGTCCATGTCATCGTGGGGTTAATGGTGATTAAGGTAATGTCATCGTTATGTTGATGCCAGCGTGAGATTGATGATAGTTATGGTTGATGTTTAATCAAGATGTGATTATTTTATTTAATAGTCCATTGATCTAATTGACTAACCTACTTTGTATGATCTTGTACATCTGCATGAGATTCTTTGATTTTTAATTTATCATTATCAAGTTTGAAATATATTTCCTCTTACTGAATCTCTACAGTTTCCCTACACAATTAAGAGTTATTCACATGAATGTCAACTACAATATTTAATAATATGAATTTCTCAACTACAATTGACGGCGAAAAATTATTTTCTGGGGGATTTTTTGCGTGCAGGCGATCGCAGTTCACGGAGATAAGGGAGCGGACAGGGTCTATGGGGAGTGCCTCGACCCGACCCAGACCCTCGAGACCTATGAGTGATGCAGACCCCAGGGTGGGATGTGGGGTGTGGTGATGTGGTGTGGTGTGGGGGTAATGGGGTGTGAGGAGGGGGGTTTGGGTGATGTGGTGTGGTGTGGTATGGTGGGGTGTGATGTGGTGTGGGGTGATGTGGTGTGGGGTGAAGTGGTGTGGGGTGATGTGGTGTGGGGTGATGTGGTGTGGGGTGATGTGGTGTGGTGTGGGGGTAATGGGGTGTGTGGGTTTGGGTGATGTGGTGTGGTGTGGTATGGTGTGGGGTGAAGTGGTGTGGGGTGATGTGGTGTGGGGTGATGTGGTGTGGGGTGATGTGGTGTGGGGTGATGTGGTGTGGGGCGATGTGGTGTGGTGTGGGGGTAATGGGGTGTGAGGAGGGGGGTTTGGGTGATGTGGTGTGGTGTGGTATGGTGGGGTGTGATGTGGTGTGGGGTAATGTGGTGTGGGGTGATGTGGTGTGGGGTGATGTGGTGTGGGGTGATGTGGTGTGGGGTGATGTGGTGTGGGGTGATGTGGTGTGAAGGGTAATGTGGTATGAAGGGTAATGTGGTGTGGGGGGGGGGGAATAAGGTGGCGTGAGAAGGAGGGATTGGGGTGTGATGTGGGGAGCATTAGCTTGGTTTAGATCTTCATAAATTTCCGCACTATGCACATTATTTTTAGGTTCATGTATTGCAAGGAATGTGTCTTCTATTCTAATGAGTTCTTTTTATCACTCTCATTGTATGTGTAATGAATATTTTTGTCCAACCCGATAAGGTAAAGTATAGAAGTTTGGGGAAAAACTTGGTTTACGTACATTCCAAATGATGGGATATCAAGTATGCGCAATTTGGATGGAGGATGCGCAATTTGTAACATAGACGTGACACTGGAGTATGTGAAAAGGACTTTATACTAATTCACGTTTCATACATTTTTAAACAGCTTTACGTGGCAAAATTAGCAGGATTTAGTGTGTTGAATATTTCCTATTGTGATTTTGTATGTGTTGTTCTAAGTCTGGCATATATTAGTTGTATAATAGGAGCTATTCACAATAACAATTGATATGCTTTATTGATTTTAATTTAATCATAATTATGTGTTTAAATTTATTTGTACATCATAAGCCATGCCGCATTGTGTAACAGGCAGAATGGAAGGAGAAAAAAATAAGGAACTGAAATATATTTTTGAATTTAAATCATATAAAATTTTATAAAACCTAATAAATCTAATTTTTCAACTGATGTTCCATACGCGTTCTATGTATTTTAAATTTTGGTGCGCACTGTTATTTTTTTGCATTATTATTACTTTGCTTGGAAGTTATTTTAGGGATAATAATAAATATAAATTATCAACCCTTATTTATTATTTGTCATCAACAGCGACTTGGAGTTTGTGTTTTATAAAAGTGATGATGTCAACAGGTGTCTGGCGGCAACAGGTCCCTGTTGTTCCATGTTGGGCGGGAGGAATTGCAGCTCATCAACCCTGAGCTGAAAACCATCCAGCTGAGGAAGAGCTTCAAGGATATACCTCAGCGCTGCCAGGTCAGCTCAGGGATATACCTCAGCGTTGTCAGGTCAGCTCAGGGATATACCTCGTATTATTATATTACAGTTTTGCTGTATTATTTCAAAGATTAAATTCTATCTCCATTATAAGTTTTAGATATTGATTGGTGAACTTTTTTTGACCAAATTGTTCGAAGGGAAATAGAATTTCTCAATTATTATTTATTATTTAGCTATTTGAGGATTCCATGTAAGAAAAAATCATATAAATCAACGGAAACTTTCAGTTTACTGGTTCGATGAAAAAAACTTGTTGGTCAAAAAAATTTTTTATTGGGAATTCCGCAGTATTTGTTGTTTAGGCTGAAAAAAATATGGAAATTGCCTTCGAATCGTCGCGTCTCACCTTTGTTTATGATTATTTTCCCAATTGCTGCTTGCTTGAAGGAAGTCGCCTGGTGAGTTTTCAACTTTTTCCTTGCTTATAAAAAAATTATTTGCATCTATAGCTGTCATCTGAACTAGTTAAGGATTATGCATAATACTACTTAGTTGAAATTTACTTCAACTATCAACCAGAATGCGCATCAATGTTCTTTCAGAGCGCAATAAAATGTAATATAAATGAAAGCGTTGATTACACTATGTGCTCCTACATCACGTCTTATCAATTTTACGCGATCATGTTGCACCTAACATTGCTTTAAAAACTATTTGTGAGGAAATTTGGGAACTTCAACTATTGTTGTTAAAGAATTTTCAGTACAAACGTTTTTTACCTCGGCTAATATCAGATCTATTTATCTTAACTTTTCATGGACATTAAAGCGGCTATTTTATATAGGTTGAAAAATTTCTTGTTAAAGCATTTTGATCCTGAAATTTTATTTGATTTCCTCCACGAAACATTACTATAACACACAAATAAGAAACATTACCTTGTATTCATACAAAACTATGCTATACATCAAAAGAAAAATTCTCTAAAAATTATTACAAAATTTAACAACTCATTAATACGATACTTAACAGCACACTGATATGAAACAATGAAACACGCTTATACAATGAAACAATGAAACACGCTGATGAACTGACGATCTCTTAACTTTTTTTGAAAGTATGGGCCCTAGGCTACTAATTGTTTGTACCTGTGGTCTAGGTTTTGAACTGACGTTGGAGCTGGACTCCGAAACGTTAACAGAAGCCCAGTTTAAATACCGCATTCAGTTCCTATCCTCTACAAATTGTAAACCCTTTTTTGCGAACGAAACTCGAAGAATGTATTCAAACCTTAACAACACATTATTACGAAATTTAACAGCGCATTTATAAAAAACTAACCACACATCAAAACAGAATATTATATACATTAGTATATATTATGTTAATAATAAATATTAATATTATTTATATTAATGTTAACATTAATCAAAATTAATTATTAATATATTAATGTAATAATATAATATAAAATTCAACAAAATTAATATAGGAATAAAACATTACTTTCATATAATAATATTAACAATAATATTAAAACACATCAATATATGTCACAAGTGTTACAATAATCTTTCGCCCCCAGGGTATCCTGAACAACGACCACTTCGGCTTCATATGTCGCGAAGTTGCGGCCGACCAGCCCGTCTACGTCGGCTACATCTTCCGCTGTGACAACCCTGACGTTACCAAGGAAATTGTGCTTAGTGCGTCACTTACTAATTAAATCTAATATTTATAACTATAATTATTAATGTGACTGAATTAAATAAATTATATTGTAATGAATGAATCTGGTAGGAAAATTGAATCTTCCGCTGTAACAACCCCAATGTTACCAAGGAAATTGTGCTTAGTGCGTCACTGACTAATTTAATCGAATATTTATAAGTATTAAAGTTACTAAATTCAATAAATTATATTGTAATGAATGAATCTTGAATGAAAATTGAATCTTCCGCTGTGACAACCCAGATGTTACCAAGGAAATTGTAGTTAGTGCGTGAACGACTAATTTAATTGAAAGTTATTTATAACTATTGTAAATTGAAGTGACTAAATTTAAGAAATTATATTGTAATGAATGAATCATGAAGGAAAATTGAATCTTCCGCTGTGACAACCCTGACGTTACCAAGGAAATTGTGCTTAGTGCGTCACTTACTAATTTAATTGAATATTCAAAACTATAATAATACCATTATTATTAAAAAAGTATTAATAAAATGAATACAAATCAATAAAGTAAATACCATAATAAATTTTTTATGGTAAATGCAATCAGAGAGCGGATGTAGAAATGTTACTCCCATTTATCGGGCAAAACTGTGTCAGGATAACTCACTCAGGAGCAAAAAGTGCATAGCAAGTTAGAAAAAGTTGCGACTTAGAACTTCCAATTGCGGGACTTAGAACTAAGAACCAACTAAGCGGTACTAATATCTTATGATATTTCTTGTATTGCTTGTTTGCCCAGGTTTGAACCACTCATTTTGACCATAATTTTTTTCGTACGATGACAATTCTTCATGAACTTCCAATATTTATTATACCGCTTCTTTGCCGAGTTTTGAACCGCTCACTTTGACCATAGATTTCTTTTTACGGTGACCATTTTCCATGAACTTCCAATATTTATTACACTGCTTGTCACCCCAGGTTTGAGCCGCTCATGTTGACCATAATTTTCTTCATACGGTGATAATTTTATATGAAATTCCAACATTTATTATACCACTTTTGGCCAGGTTTGAACCGCGCGTTCGAAGCGGTCGCGTCTGCTCACCAGAAGGAGAAACAAGCCGCCACGCTCTGCGAGTCCTGCCCCATGCGCTGGCTTAGCGCCCTCTGCACCGAACTTGAAGGTCTTTATATACATAAATAGGAGATATTATCTATTATTATTGTATTGTTATAATGTTCTTTTGTAATCAATTACAGGGAAAAATGTCTCGAATGATTGAAGGTATTGAAATTTTCATTGAAATAATGAATGGGTTATCGTATTGTCCAAATAATGACGTACTTTTTGCGTGTAGCCGTGCGTAAAAATGTGCATTGCTATTTGGAGAAAGTTTCACTCATTTCTCTGAGTGTGGTTGTATCTGTTATTATTATTAATTATTCGGCTGTAACTATTATCTCCGTGTACGGTTTGCTGTTCATCAAAAGCTCTTTGTCATATTTCATCAAACAAAATCGGAATATAAATAAATGAAGAAATGATCATAAAAAAGTCTAAAAATGCAATTTAATTCCTATGAACGCATCCTGAATAATATTTTACAGTGAATTTTGGATCGTCTGTTGTCCTGCAATAAATTTAAAGAATTTTATAATATGTTAATTTCGTGACGTAGTGATATCATTTTTTAATTTTATTTAATATGTTAGTTAATTCTGGGACACAATTAATTGCTTTATTCAATCAATGTTAGTGACTGAAGAAAGTTGAACAATTCTCGAATTCATTATTGAATATTATGAATTATTATCATTATTTTAATAATTTATTGATTATTATTCTAAATATTATTATTGTCTGATAAATGAATTGCTTAATAATTGGGTTGTCACCGGACGTATGCCTCAACCTTTAAACTTGTCAGAATGCTCAGAACTCCACGACCAAATGCCATGCCGGCAACTATCTTGTAAAAACTTCAAGTGCACTTTATTGCACTGGGATGTCTTCCATTAAAACTTCGGTTACACGGATAAAACGTAATTTTATTTCTGCAAAGCACCGTTTAAAACAGGCACGGTTAAAAGTTAAACTAGAGTGACATCAGGTTCATGATCGAGGAGCAGTTTACTAAATCTTTCACGGCTCAGCCACGACTCCAGCTTTAAGGCAAAGAATGCTGAGAGTTGATAGAGCGGAGTGAGTACAGGTATGAACCTCACTGTAAGGCTGGCGGGACACGACTGACTAACCGACTCACAGCCGCTCAGACCTGAGGCCATACTTTCTAAACTCGCTAAGTGAACATAAGTACTTACGCTATATTTTCTTGTCTATGATTGGTGGATTTTGCTTGAAAGGCCGTCAATGATTGGTTGATGAACTTACGATCACTTAACTTTTTTGAAAGTATGGGCCCAGACCTTGTACTACGTCGTTCCAACGGCTGTAAGGTCTGACTCTAATGTTACTGACGCAGCTTCGCCAGACGCAACAGAATAATTTCGTGACAAAAATGCACATGAGAGTAAGTGTTAGGATTAATCGAGCAATAAATATACGTGAACGATGTTCATCGTTCACAGGGTTTTTCGGTGACACTGTTTTTAAAATCATGAATTTAATCCAAAATCTAATTATTATGTGCATGACAGGTTTTAAAAACAAATTTCTCGGGCAACACGCACTAATTATACCATTAATTCTAAAACATCTTAATTATTTAACTGCTGAACAGGCTATTTTTATTATATAACTGATGAATTAACGTAATTAACAGGCCTGCCAGCTACACTCGCACACTAATTATATCATTACTTCTAAAATATCTTCATCTTTTAACTGAGGAACAGGTTATTTTTATTATATAACTGATAAATTAACGTAATTAACAGGCCTACCAGCTACACTCGCATACTAATTATATCATTACTTCTAAAATATCTCCATCTTTTAACCGATGAACAGGCTATTTTTATTATGCAACTGATGACTAAAGTAATTAACATAATTACCAGGCCTACCTGCTACACGCGCCCACGCTCTCATCCTGCGCCGCGTGCAGCAGCTGCCGGAGGGCGACCGTGACCTGCTGCTGGCTAAATACGAGGGCGCCGAGGCTCCTGAGGTCCAGCACAAGAATAATGTCCTCATGATGCTCCTGAGGGCGCATATGGAGTCCCAGCAGCAGACCCATGTCCACATATGGCCCGCCTCTACTGGCCCTAAGTAATTACATGAATTATTTCTTTGTATTCGCTAATCTTGATGCCTACATTAACCGCGCTGCATCTTGTATATTCACAAAATGATATGCGTTTAAAAATTACTTTTTTAAAGACAACACTTCTAAAGAATCCAGTGTCTCCGATGTTGCACATCTACAGAGAATTTCTAATTTTATTTTCAAATTTATTTATCTTGTCAATTGATCCATGCATTGCCTCTGACTTTACGCAAGTGTGGAAAATTTTAAACCGATTGGAAAGTTAGAAGCGTGTTAAATATCAATTATAAGATTTGTAGCGGACAAACATCAAGAAGTGAAGTTAAAGAGAAGTGTTGTAAAAATTAACGGGGTCTATTGTTCAAATAGTGCCACACTTTCTTCCGCACAACACAGACAGCGGTTGTAGCATTAATACGCCATTTTGCAGGGTCAAAATCAGGTTGATTCACACGATAACGGGAAGTGTATCATTAATTGAACAAAGTTTCATTAATTCTTTTGAGTGTAGGCAGACTTTTTGACGCAAATAAATTGTGATCAGAGCAAACCGACAGGATGATAGTAGTGACGGATGATGTTATTAACAAAATAATGATTGGTAAATTGTGTAATAGCTCAATATTGTTGTTATTTTCGCGCATTACTCTTAGTAATTATAGAAATGTGACATTAGTCATTGTCATGGTCACTACACGCTCGTCACGAGCTGTGTAGTGACCATGACAATGACCACATGGTCATTGTACTCGCACATCACACGTGTGTTATGACCATGACACTCACCACACTCCTCACCACGACATGTTGGGCTCACCACACACCCCACACGCTCACCCCACACACCCACCACACGCTCACCACTCACCCCACATACACCCCACGACGTGCTGTACTCACCCCACACGCTCACCACAACGTGCTGTGCTCACCCCACACGCTCACCACAACGTGCTGTGCTCACCCCACACGCTCACCACAACGTACTGTACACCCCACACTCCCCACACACACCCCACACACTCCCGACGTGTACAGGGGCGTGGAGGCATCCCTGCACCGCGTCAGGAAGTCGCTGGCCACGTCCTTCCACTCGATGCTCAAGCGCGACCCTGCCAGCGCTGACCGCGACCTCCCGCCCCGACCTCCTGCTGAGGTCTGGCTTGTGTTCCATGTATCTTTAATGTGTTCGTGTATATTTAGTGTGTTAGTGTATCTATAATGTATACGAGGTATCTATAAGCGCGACCCTGCCAGCGCCGACCGCGACCTCCCGCCCCGACCTCCTGCTGAGGTCTGGCTAGTGTTCCATGCCTGTACCTATCTTTAGTGTATCTTTAGTGTGTTCGTGTATCTTTAGTGTGTCCTTGTATCTTAAGTGTGTCTGTGTATCTTGAGTGTGTCCGTGTATCTTAAGTGTGTCAGTGTATCTTGAGTGTGTCTGTGTATCTTCAATGTATCCGTGTATCTTTAATGTACCCTTGTATCTTTAATGGATTTGAGGTATCTTTAATGTACCCTTGTATCTTTAATGTATTTGAGGTATCTTTGATGTAACTTTGTATCTTTAATGTATCAGTGTTTCCTTAATGTATCCGGGGTGCGTGTTGTGATGTATGCTATCTACTTAGAAGTCTCAAATAATGTATTATTTTCTTGCAAACTTTTGCATTTTTTTCATTTATCTCATCAGCAAGTGCGAGTTGAGAATGCCAGCGACCAATAATTATTATTTTGTTGCAAACTTTTGCATTATTTTTATTTATCTTATCAGCAAGTGCGAGTTGAGAGTGTCAGCGACCAATAATTATTATTTTCTTGCAAACTTTTACATTATTTTTATTTATTTCATCAGCAAGTGCGAGTCGAGAATGTCAGCGACCAATAATTATTATTTTCTTGCAAACGTTTACATTGTTTTTATTTATCTCATCAGCAAGTACGAGTCGAGAATGTCAGCGAACAATAATTATTATTTTCGTCGTAACTTTTGTATTATTTTTATTTATCTCATCAGCAAGTACGAGTCGAGAATGTCAGCGACTCGCCACTAGGCAAGACCTCATCGTCGCTGACCATGAGCTCTCATCGTCCTCGATCTCTGACGGTCTCTGCTGTCGGTGGGGATACCATGAGGAGGGAATTCCTGGCACGACAGCAGAAACCTGTTCCCCATACCCGAGGGGTTCTCACCCCCAACCAACTCAGCGTTAGCGATATCCCCACGCCTGGAAATATCCCTTTTCCTGTGGGAAAATCACCCGTGGGAAATTCATCCGTGGGAAAGTCTTCCGTGGGAAATTCATCCGTGGGAAAATCATCCGTAGGAAATTCACCCGTGGGAAAATCGACGCTTGGGGAAGAAAAATCTTTGTCGGGGAAATCAACTGTCGCTGCTGAGGGGAAACAAGTTTCATCTGGATTAAAAATTTCCCCAAATGCTACACCAGCCCCAACTGGAAATATGAAGCCGCCCCAAGTTCCCTCTCCAAGAATCTCGGTGTCTCCAGAAAGCTCCAAGGATTACCAGCTCAGGAGTTTGTCCCCAGAAATGGAGGCTCTGGAGTCGCTCCATGGGGCTAAGAAAGAACCCATCAAGATGTCCAGGTTAGCAAATTGTAATTAGTGAATAAAAATGTAACTGATATGAATGTTAAATAAATTGTAAAGAGTGAATTAAGTAAAGCTTATAGGAATATTAAATAAATTGCTATTTTTTAAATTAATTAGAACTAATATGAATATTAAATGCCTGTAATGAGGATGATGGGAATGAAACAATGAGCTTTGACATGAAAATTAATTTTTTTTCGTATGTAAGAAGTGAATTAAGTAAAGCTAATATGAATATTAAATAATTTGTACGGAATGAATTAAATAAAGCTAGTATGAAGTTTAAATGAATTATAAGGAGTAAATTGAGTAAAGATAATAAATAAATTGTAAGGAGTGAATTAAATAGAACTAATGAGAACATTGCATAACAGGAGAGTGGCTAAGGAAGTGTACGGAGGTTCAGCACCACACCAAGAAGACGAGGAGAAAGAAAACATTCCTGAGAACCGCATGACCAGGCCTAAGATGAACATGTCAGTAACATGTTTACTTTAGATTAAATTATGTAATTTAATTTTGATTATGTAACTTGGTATCTTCAATTATGATGTAATTCTGTCTAACAAGATTTTATGTTTACTTTCTTTAGATCAAATTATGTAATTTAATATTCATTAGTTTAGATTAAATTATGTGATTTAATATTCATTATGTAACTTGGTATCTTCAATTATGATGTAATTCTGCCTACCCGTTATAGTGTCACTCATTTAAGTAGTAGATATTTTACTAATTGCTAAAGTTTAATATGGAATAGAAATACTATTGATTTAAATGATGTGTTTTTGCATTGGTTTAAATAAGATCGCTTCGTCGCCCAAAAACAAAAGCAAAATTAACGTTGTTTGAATTGATTAATTGATGCATAAAAAACGTTGTTTGAATTAACTAATTAACGCACAATTAACGTTGTTTGAATTAACTAATTGACCCACCAATTAACGCTTAAATTAGCATATTGACTCACAATTAACGTTTGAATTACCCAATTAACGCACAATTAACGTTGATTGAATTATGTAAATTACGTTTAAATTAATAAATTAACGCTGTTTTTTCCGCAGTTTCCTGAAGGTGGGGTCGCCCACAGGGGGGCGGGTGACCCCTGACGAGGCTGCAAGTGGTGATGATGACGATGATGATGGCGGTGACGATGGTGGTGGTGGTGATGGTGCCCTCAAGCCTCCTTCATCACCCTCCTTCAGACACGCCATCCTGCAGCGGGTTATAACCCCACTCAAACCTGGTGGGTTTTGTCCCACTTTATGTGATGGTTTTTATCTTCAATTAAACATTTTATTTTCCCACATGCAATGACATTTTTATTTTTTGTTCAATTTCTCTCATATTGTATGAATTTTCTCTGAACTTGACTGTAGAAGACGTTGTTACTGTTGTTATACTCTACATTTATACATAAACAGTGAGAGGATTTATACATAATCAGCAGAATTAAGGGGGGCGTCTACCCTAAAGTTTTCGGATTTGGCTTTTCCGGTTTTTAGTCTCGTCTTAAAGCTGACATTCTGCCCTATCCAACGGTACCATTACCATCTCTGTACGTTGATTTATGCGTTCACGACAGATCATGAAAGGGGGGCGGGGAGGAAGAGTTCTTTCAGTAATTACATAGGAGCTAATTCGCTGCCCAGCACTACAAATACAGTGTTTTTGTGAGGTGTAGCTCAGTGTGCCTTCGGGCGTTGTACGGGGAGGTGCGCATGTAGTCTCTCCCACCATCCTTGAGTGGAATCAAGTTCCAGAAAAGTTTAGTTTGGTATCTATGCTACATTGAGCGCATATTGCAGTGCGCGCGGGACTTTGTCGCGCTCTCCTGAACATTCACACTTATTGTCACGGAAAACCTATCTCCTCCTAGAGTTTTGAAGCTACAGCGATGAGACATATACCGTTCGATTCGTAATTCATTGTCCAGACGAAGAGGTCGCCGACGACGACGACGACGAGGACGTGGCGGCGACGAAGGGCGCGCCGGTGCGCAGGACGTGGCAGGAGCTGCGCGTCGTCTGGATGAGGGCCGTGTTCCGGCAGATGCTGCTGACGAGGCTGGAGCAGGAGATACGAACACGTCGGGGTGAGTGGGGCGAGTGGGTACACCTTGGGGAGTGGGCATGTAAGCACCTTTCGTTAACCTGTAAGCACCTCTCATTAACCAGTCAAGGAATACTCATTAACCTGTAATCACCTCATCACTAATCCTAATCACCTGGAGCAGAGCTGGAGGAAGAGCTGGAGCTGCAGCGCGTGTGTCTGAGCTACGACGAGGAGCCGCTGGAGGAGGAGGCCGTCCACACCTGGCGCCTCGTGCTGTCCCGTCCACACGCCAGGCTCGACCAGTCCATACTCAGGGCCGGCGTCAGGCAGGGTCAGAGACTGGGGGGTCAGGGACTTGGGGGTCAGACCAGTCCATTCTCAGGGCCGGCGTCAGGCAGGGTCAGAGACTGATGATTTACAGGGTCAGAGACTGGAGGGGGGGTTCAGGGACTTGCGGGGTCAGACCCGTCTATACTCAGGGCGGGCGTCAGGCAGGGTTAGGGCCGGGGTCATAGACTGAGGCGGTCAGGGTCGGGGTCAGAGGGTCAGAGACTGGCGGGGTCAGGGCTGGGGTCAGAGACTGATGGGGTCAGAGACTGGTGGGATCAGGGCCGGGGTCAGAGACTGGCGGGGTCAGAGACTGGTGGGGTCAGGGCTGGGGTCAGAGACTGGTGGGGTCAGGGCCTGGGTCAGAGACTGGTGGGGTCAGGGCCGGGGTCAGAGACTGAGGCGGTCAGGGCCGGGGTCAGAGACTGAGGCGGCCAGGGCCGGGGTCAGAGACTGAGGCGGTCAGGGCCGGGGTCAGAGACTGGTGGGGTCAGGGCCGGGGTCAGAGACTGGTGGGGTCAGGGCCGGGGTCAGAGACTGAGGCGGTCAGGGCCGGGGTTAGAGACTGGTGGGGTCAATTCCGTGCATACTCAAGGCGAGCGTCAGGCAGGGTCAGAGACTGATGATTGACAGGGTCAGAAATTGGCAGCTCAGACTCTCACAACTGCATGTCATATTGTAACATCGCAGTCAACTCTTATTATTCGCTCAACTAAAACTCACTAGCAAACATCTCAGTATACTTCTCTTGTTCTCACCACTGTAAGTCTCTAAACATCTCAGTCAAAGCCTATGTCAACATCTCAGTTAATGGTCCCTCAACTGAAACTCTCGAGTTAAGATCTCAGTTGACTCAATAAAATTCGCCTTATCTTTTACTCGTATTACCATAGAGAAGTTTTAACGTGCTCCGTCTACGTTCTAGCCCGTTTTTACGTACGTTTCCAAAAGCCCAAATTCTCAGTGAAATGTTTGAACCCCATTATAACTCACGCATTGAATTTGCTATTGAACCATTTCAAAGTTCACGATTCCTCAATGTTCACTTGGTTTTATTGAAGAAGAAACAAATTGTTATCCTATTGCGTTATTGAGCTAAAATTGATCTGTATATTTTTATTGTTCTGTAGGGTTTGAAAACAATAAGCATTCAGACCAATTTACCTATTACACGGTTAGCCTGTGCCCATATAAACTAAAATTTACATTATTTCCCCACTGTACCAAAGTACCTAAATGCTAAAAATAACACTAATTTATATCGTGTGCTTTACATTCAACATTTTTACATTTACAGTCTACATTCACATTGTGCAGGAGTACCGATTTTCCTGACTGTACAGAAGTACCTAAATGCTTAAAATAACAGTAATATATATCATGTGCTTTACATTTACATTCAATATTTTTACATTTACATTTAGATTGTACATGTGCAGGAGTACCGAAGGCTCTGCGTGGCGACATCTGGCATCTGATGATGCTGCAGCCCCGCCCCTCGCTCCGCCTCCCCGTGGTGCCGCACTGTTTCCACAAGCCTTACCAGCACATGATACAGGGACTAACTTCCCAGCAACATGCCATACTCATCGACCTCGGTACATGGCCCAATACTTAGCATTGTTATCTGCTTATATGTTTAGGATCATAAAATACTTTAGCAGCACTGTTTCCACAAGCCTTACCAGCACATGATCCAGGGACTAACTTCCCAGCAGCACGCCATACTCATCGACCTCGGTACATGGCTCAGTACTTTGCATTGTTATTTGCTTCTGCGTTTAGGAACACGAAATACTTCATTTACGTTTCTTTAAAGTGCTTCATTTATGTCATTTGTTCTGTATATTTTTGTTTATTGTTATCAAATACTTCATTTGTGCTGCTTATTCTGTTTCTCTACAGTTGTTGTTAAGGAATACTTGATTCAGCCTGTGTCTATACACGAGGCCAATAGTACGGTATAAATTACTATGAGTAGCTCCTATAATAAGTTCTACGCCTTATTCACATTAACACATTAGCAGATGTATTAAAAGAGAGATGACACAAAATTTCACCATATTTATATAAAACGAAAACGCTTCGTAGTCAAGCTCCATCGTTATTTCGACAATCGTAGAATATAAGTACACTCAATTTGTAATCTAATAAGCAGATATTAAAACCTATACCATCAAATTAGAGTATCCGTAGTAATATGCATATATACCATTATGATATTTACGAATTTTATTCGTAACATAATAATGTGAATATTTATTAATAATGCAGATTTTAATAAAAAAAACACTTGTCGTAACATTATAATATTTATGAATGTTATTCATTACCTAATAATATGAATAATATCAATGATTCATTTGTGGTATGCAGGTCGCACGTTCCCCCAGCATCCGTACTTCACCCGCACACTGGGGCCAGGCCAGCTAGGCCTATTTAACCTCCTGAAGGCCTACTCTCTGCTGGACGAGGACGTAGGATACTGCCAGGGACTTAGCTTCGTCGCCGGCATCCTTCTTATGCACGTCAGTCCCTGCCTTCACACGTCATTGTTACACTCAGAGTAATACGCGGGTCTACACCCAGAATAATAAGTGGGCAGAGCTGGGCAGCGCTACTTTGAAATGTAGCGGCCGCTACCGCTACATCACTTTAAATGTAGCGCCGCTACCGCTACTGAAAATGTAGCGGCCGCTACATGTAGCGCACTACTGCCCACCTCTGTAAGTGGAGTCTACACCCAGAATAATAAGTGGGGTCTACACCCAGAATAATAAGTGGGTCTACACCCAGAATAATAAGTGGGGTCTACACCCAGAATAATAAGTGGGGTCTACACCCAGAATAATAAGTGGGGTCTACACCAAGAGGGTGTAGACCCAGAATAATACGTGGGTCTACACCCAGAGTAATAAGTGGGTCTACACACACCCAGAATAATACGAGGGTCTACACACAGAATAATACGAGGGTCTACACCCAGAATAATGAGTGGGTCTACACCCAGAATAATAAGTAGGTCTACACACACCCAGAATAATACGAGGGTCTACACACAGAATAATACGTGGGTCTACACCCAGAATAATAAGAGGGTCTACACATTCTCCAAAACACTATACAGAATTCATCGCTTAGGCTTGTCGAACCTCTGATAGGCTGTTTTTTAATTTTTAAAATGGCTAATTAAGAGTCGTTTAATGCATTAAAAGTTTTCCATGCAATTGAACTGTAAATATATTAACTGTAATTGCAGTATAATTATGTATATCAATGATTATAAATGAAACATCTAGCCTTATTCTCTTAAACCTTTTCTAGAATGTACTGTGTTTGCGTGTTAAGTGAATATATTTATAGGACAATTATAACTTAGAATAAAAATTTGTCCGTGAAAGCTCCTTAGTGCAATTGGATACTTTAATTGTAATTTAGTCTGCCGCCGTGTAGTCTTTATTAGAAGTACAGCAAGCATAAAGCTTTTTATATCTCATTATTTTATTCCTAGCATTTCTTTTCTTATTAGTTCTCATAATATTGTCTCTTTGTTTTTGCATCGCACCCCAAATTTTGTTCTTATTAGTTTGCATAGTAAATTACTACTCCTCTAGCCCATATTTACTCTATTAGTTCAAAGTAACTCCATTTACTCCACATTACTAACTCATTTAATCCATATTACTAACTCATTTACCCCCATATTACTAACTCATTTACTCCATCATTGTACTCATATAATTCATATTTACTCTATTAGTTCAAATTAACTCCATTTACTCCACATTACTAACTCATTTACTCCATATTAATAATTCATTTACCCCCATATTACTAACTCTTTTACTCCATCATAGTACTCATCTAACTCATATTTTAATTGAATTATATTGTGTCTGTACTAACTGCCAGGTTAACGAGGAGACGGCGTACGAGTTGCTCAAGCATCTCATGTACGTGGCGGGCGTACGGCGGCAGTTCAGGCAGGATCTCGACGGTCTTCAGGTGATTTATTACTTATATCTTTCGTCATATTATCCTTCCTAGTTGTAATTTTTACAGATTTTCTTCATATTTCATAACTCATCATAATTTATTACGCATTTTCTTCATATTTCCTTATGGTACTCTGATTATATGTTCCTGCTACATGTCTGACATTGTTACTTGTACTGCGATGGTAGATTTGCATACTCATCATAATTTATTTTACATTTTCTTCATATTTCCTTACTCATCATAATTTATTACACATTGTCTTCAGATTTCCTTACTCATTATAATTTATTACACACTTTCTTCATATTTCCTTACTAATCATAAATTATTATACATTTTCTTCATATTACCTTACTTATTAGAATTATTACTCATATCCCCAAACATAAATTATTACTCACTTTTATATTTAGCAGCTCTTAAATTTTTGCTATTTTTGCCACTTTTCATTTCTTCATATATCGGTCATCTTTAATTTCCTGATATTTCGTTCATTTTCAATATCCTACCAACTTTTAATTAATCGAAATTTTGCTGATATTTCTATGTATTAATACTTGGCTCACTCATAAAAGGCATTATATGCGAAACATGGCAGTTTTTTAATGGAGATTTTTTATGTGCACTGAATAAGTGAATATTGGCTAAATCGTCTTTGGCAGTTTTCATTGATAGTTTCTAGGGCGATTTTTCTTTAATTGTTAGAGTTTGATTGTTAATACTATTGACTGTGAGAAACTATAGAAAATTAGTGACTATTATGAATTAGTCCCTTCATTCCTGGTGCTGATGTACTAGCTGCCACATCACCATTGTACCCACATTTCTGGTACAAATGTACCAGATGACATTATACGTCACATTTCTGGCACAAATGTAAATTTCAGGTACAAATGTACCAGTTGTCGCGGTTGGTACACGACAAGTTAGTACGAGTGTACAACCACTTCGAGAGTAACGAGATCAGTCCTCAGCTGTACGCTGCGCCGTGGTTCCTCACTTTGTTCGCCTCAACCTTCCCGCTGCATTTTGTCGTGCGGCTCTACGGTGAGAAATATTATTATCTAATTCATTATAAATTAAAGAGATAAAGATATAATATAGAGATAAATATAGATATAATATAATGGTGTTCTTTGGCACGTTCACTAATCACCTCTGCCCCCCACAGATCTGCTGTTCCTGGAAAGCCTGCAGGCAGTGTCCCGCGTGATTTTTGTGCTCACTGCCATTTTCTTAATACTTTATTAGACGTTATACTTTAAAAGTTCATATGGTGTTAATGGAATGCCTTATATCTTCCTATTGTGTTAATGGAATAATTAATATATTCACATGGTGTTCATGGCCCTCACTAAGCCCCGCTGCCCCGTACTGTAAGATATTGCTTTTCTATGCACCTCTTATATGAATGGTAAATTAGTATGACCTGAGGGTGGTTCTATTGTAGCGGGATCCGAGGATATAGAGGAACAGCGTAAACTATTATATAATATACTTGTAGGATTATAGTTCGGCTTACAGTTTAGGATAATCTAAGCTCATAAGTTGGAGCTTTAACATTGATGTCTTCGGCGTCCAGTTAAAATGAATAAGTATAGACTGTATCTTCCACTCAAACGTTTAGCTAGCGTTACTGTCCTGTTTGACATGGACAGGAGCAAAGGTTATTCCGACGGCGGTCCTCGCCCAAGACTGATTATTATTTATTATTTATAATCGCTCGAGACCGAAGTTTATCGCTTGAGACAGAGCTTATATAGCTTCGCTATCCGACGTCACCAAGGGCGTGACTTGATGAACAGGGAAGGGCTAATAAGGAAATGTTTATGAACATATCGAAGTGAAGGAGATTATCTTTCAACAAGAAAGATATCAATGAGGAAATATCCAGGGACGAATGGTATCAACATTGTCACCTGATAGTACATGTTCATACGGTGTTCCCGCCCCCAGACCTGCTGTTCCTGGAGGGCCTGGAGGCAGTGTTCCGCGTCAGTTTAGTGCTCCATTGACTGACTTTGCACCGCTGTTCTCCAGACCTGCTGTTCCTGGAGGGTCTGGAGGCGGTGTTCCGCGTCAGTTTGGTTCTCCTGCGTCAGCACGAGGAGATGTTGCTGGCTTGTGACGGGTTCGAGGACATCATGCGCTACCTCAAGCAGGAGCTGCCGCGCGTCCCGCTAGAGAGCCTCCCGCTAATATTCGATCAAGTTAGTTGCTTAATATAAATATAATCTTTGTTAAGGGGAGCGTCTACCCAAATTTTATCTTGGTAATTTACTGATGGATCACTTTGAAACTTGGTACGTATATATAAAACAGAATTCTAAGACCTTTTTGTTCATGTGAATTTTTCGAAAAAATGAAAGAAAACGTGAAATTCTTAGAAAAGACCAAAAACGAGGTACCGTAGAAATCTATCTCCTCCTAGGATTTTCAAGTTACAACATCGAGACACATTTCATTTGATGCGTAAAGACCATATCTATAATTCATTGTACGCGTTTTTTAAATTATTTTTGTGGGTGTGGGACATTTTTCATAAATTTTTGGAAATTATTCGATTTTACCCCTCTACCACTCCCCTTTTTGCGCAATAAAATCCGAACTATTACGAAATTAGAAAAACGCGTAGCACGAACTGTAGATCTTTCTTTTGCGAATCGAATGGTATATCTATGTCTCATTGTTGTAGCTTTAAAATTATAGGAGGAGATAGGACAATAAGTTAACTTTTCGGTAGAGCCCGACAAAGTCGCGCGCGCCTCGAAATAGACTTTCAAGGGTGCAAGGTTGCAAGACTAGATGATACTGGAGCTCAATTTCTGTCAATAATGGTGCGAAAGACGGCATAAGAACCATCCCGTTATATACGACTGCAGGCGGATAACTGAAGCACAGCATGTTAAGATTAGCTATTTAATTGGACTCTTATTTAATTTTTTTCCGTATATTCGAGGGGAATTTATATGATAGGAGCTTTTTACGAGAGGGATCTTGATGCACGTTTTCAGCCCTAGTTTTCATTCCCGTGTGCGTTATTGCACAGCTGTTAAAAGGTTAAGTTGTTATGTAGGCTCTACCGATTCTATTTTATTTACATTATTTGACCTCAGCTCACTCTGCAATAACATGATAATTATAGCTCTAAATATTATAATAGTCTACCCGCCAGGCAAGTGAGAACAATAACGTTGATTACTAGTTAATTTTTTATTGCAACAACTTTTTTCAACGTTAGAAGCCTGGTTTAGATAACTTTATTTCAACAATAATTCCTGGTGAGGAACTTTCTACACATAAATTTAGTAATTATTTTCTCCAGGCAATTGATCTGAACCTGAGTGAAAAAATATAATATTTTCCCCAGGCATTCGAGCTGAACCTGAGTGAAGAATACTTTAAATTACAAAAATAAATTCTCCGTGAGGAACTTTCTACACATAAATAAGTAATTATTTTCTCCAGGCATTTGAGCTGAACTTGAGTGAAGAACTATCAGCGTACGAAGTAGAGTACCAAGTGCTGAGAGAGGAGCTGAGCGTGACGCCCCAGCGTCAGCACCACAGCGTCACCAAACTCAAGCAGGAGCGCCGCGCCCTTAAGAGGCAGAACCTCGACCTGGCCGAGCAGCTGCAGCAGGCGCAGGCGCAGAAACGGGCGCTCGAGTCGTCCAATCAGGTGCCAATTAAGTTTAGTGATCCAATCAGGTGCCTGCGTTATTAATTCGAGTTATCCAATCAGGTGCCTGCGTTATTTATTCGATTTATCCAATCAGGTGCCTGTGTTTATAGACTAAAGTCGTCCAATCAGGTGCCAATTAAGTCTAGTGATCCAATCAGGTGCCTGCGTTATTAATTCGAGTTATCCAATCAGGTGCCTGTGTTTATAGACTAAAGTCGTCCAATCAGGTGCCTGCTTTTATAGATTTTGGCGCGGTTTCCAGCAAAGTTTGCTTATCTTATAGAAAAGTTGGTTGGCTTTTCATTTTCGGGATGAAAATCGAGGTGTTTGGTGATGGTGATTATTAGTAACTTCGTATATACGCCTTTTTAATAAATACTTACTGAAACAAGTGTGTTTGAAAAAATTTCATATATTTATATATGAAAACAGAATATAATATAAGGATAATCCATATATTAAACTATAAATAATTCTGATATTTAACAACACACTACGCATGGAAAGGCAGCTATTACGACGAAAAAAATAATTCACATATTCTAATATTATTTATACTGATATAAATAATATTTACTATAAATCTGATATAAATAACATTTACTGTAAATATGATACAAATAATATATACTATAAATCTGATATAAATAACATTTACTAAAAATTGATATAAACAATATTTACTATAAATCTGATATAAATAACATTTACTATAAATACGATATAAATAACATTAACTATAAATACGATATAAATAACATTTATTATAAATCTGAAAAAATAATATATACTATAAATATGATATATATACATTAACATAAATACGATATAAATAGTGATATTTACCAACTTTAACCGTTGTTGCAGCTGCTGCAGCAGAGCCAGCACCACCTGGAGGTTCGTGTTCGCTTCCTGGAGGTGGAGCGCGGCAACCTGAAGCAGCTGGTGGAGCAGCTGTGGCGTAGTGGCGTCGCCACAAACCCTGACTTCGGCTCCGCTGTGGCACCTGGTCTCCAGCGCTACCTTCCTTGCCACTCAAACTCGCCACAGGTGACCAGTAGTGGCGGTCATTAGCCGCAGGTGACCAATAGTGGCGGCCATTAGCCACAGGTGACCACTAGTGGCGGCCAATAGCCGCAGGGGGCCACTAGTGGCGGCCAATAGCCGCAGGGGGCCACTAGTGGCGGTCATTAGCCACAGGTGACCACTAGTGGCGGCCATTAACCTTAGGTGACCACTAGTGGTGGTCATTAGCCACAGGTGACAACTAGTGGCAGCCATTAGCTACAGGTGACCGCTAGTGGCGGTCATTAGCTACAAGTGACCGTTAGTGGCGGCCATTAGCCATAGGTGACCACTAGTGGCGGCCATTAGCCACAGGTGACCACTAGTAGCGGCCATTAGCCACAGGTGTCACCGGCCAGAGCTACTACAAGCCAATCTAAACGTTAGGCTTGTAATTCACAATCAGGATCGAATGCTCACCGCTCATAGGCCAGGACAATATATGAATAAATTCCAGGCAACTGTGCTCATTCATCTAAATTCTAACCTACAATGCCGTTCACATCTCCTAGTCATCGTCAGTTAAAGCCGGTTCAGTGGCTGTGGTATATAATCACGACAAAGCACACTTAAAATAGTTTATTGAATCACTTTGTTTAAAATCAGTAAAACATGGTAAAGGGAAGCAGAAATTCCGACTAAAATGACTATTCTAAGAGACGTTCAAATTGGTTCAATTCCATTTACTATTGCACAGCATTAATGCCCGTAGTTAAGGTTAAAGTAATTCGCATAGGCGAACGATAGCAGGTTAGACTAAATAGTCACGGCACAACCACAGCTCCAGCGTTAAGCAAAGAATGCTTAGTTAACAGAGCTGAGCGGGTTCAGGTATGAACCTCACTGTAGGGCTGGCAGAACACGACTGACTACCTGACGCACAGACGCTCAGACCTGACCTGGTACTAGACAGTTCCAACTGCTATAGGTCTGACTCACATGTCACTGGCGCGGCTTCGCCAGACGTAATAAAATAATTTCGCCAGAATGAACAAAAATGCATATGAGAACACATGATCGCATCAATCGAATAAGGCACATTAGTGAACGATGTTCATCGTTCACACAGGTATTACCAGAGTCTATCACATAACCCATATAAACACACATATTTTTTTGCTCACATGACCTGTGTAAACCTAAATGCATTATAATTGAATTGCCCCGTGAATAATTAAATGCAATTATCCCTGCCGCCGCTAATTTAATATTTAATTTAATATTTTAATTTTAATATTTAAGTTTAATATATAATATTTAATTTTAATATTTTAATTTTAATATTTTATTTTAATATTTAATTACATTTCCCTGCAGCCGCTGGGTCGCAAGGAGCTCGCTAAGATCGAGTCTGAGAGCTGCAAGCCTCGCCCCGCCTCCGCCTCCGCCTGTGACCAGACGACGAGGTCGCCTGAGACGAGCGTGCACGTCAACGCTGCTACGCTGCTTGGCAGTAATGTTGCTAGTAAACCAGGTGAATGGTCATACTAGGTGGTATGTGACACTAGGTGGTATGTAAAACTAGGCATGTGAAACTAGGTGGTATGTGAAACTAGGTGTAGTCAGTGTAATAGTGACAGTAGATGATGAAACCAGGCAGGCCAGTGGGTCAATGATGACACTAGAAAATGGAAGTAGGCAATCCGGTTAATAGTGACACTAGAAATTAAAAGCAGGCGACCAGGTTAATAGTGAAAGTAGGATATAAAACCAGGCAATCTGGTTGATAGTGACACTGAGTGGTAATACCAGGCCATCAGAAGCTATTAAACTGAGTGTGGTATTATCAGCATCATCTTGAAACCAGGTACCACTCGGAATACGAAACATAAAAGTGGAAAAAAATTATTTAACTGAAATATGCTATTTTTAAAACTTTGTTTCAAAAAATCATAACCGTTGCCCAAGTCAGTCCTACTTTTCAGAAACGAACAATATAAAGCAATGACTGTTCATTATCTCAAGATATAAGTATTAAAATCACTTGGCTGCTTAAGTCGCAAATTTACCAGGAATTTAAAAGCAAAGAAAATAGTCAGAAATTTCACCACTTCTTATAAGAGAAAACGTTTCGGAGTCCAGCTCCATCGTCAGTTCAAAACCTAGAACACAGGTACAAGCAATTAGTAACCTAAAATTCACATTCAAACAATTCACCTAAACTTGAGGACATTAGAACTAAAATCGAAGATAACAGAAATAAAAATGAGATGACATGTAGAGAAAGTACTATCTATTTACAATTTATAGATCTCAAAATTTTATTGCTTGACTTAAACACGTAGATCATTACGGGGGGACTGACATTACAGGTAGATCATATCAGTCGCCCCCTCTGACAAAAAATATAACTTGGTACTCACTGCAGTGAGTGATAGAGCACGCCATTTCTCGTCGACGAAAACGTGAAGTCACGGACGGACAGACAGACAGACGGACGGACGGACGGACATGGCGAGCACAATAGCGCCTTTTTCCCCTAAAAGAGAAAATGCGCTAAAAAGAACAACGGTTATTGTTAATCATTTTAATTATTATCTATTATCTAATTATAATAATCGTTTTCAATAATTATTATTAATTATTTTCTTTTTTATCGGTAATACTGATAACATAACATAACATAGTGATCTCGGCGCTGCAGTGTAGGCCTGATGTGACCTGTTGCCGAATCTTTTCCTTTTCGTGCCTTGTTCACAGAAGATCTAATATCGTTTCATTTGACCGGATCTTTTCATGACTGACGATAGTTTGAAGTAGCTACTAGACTTCCACCGGGTTCGATATGATGCTAGGCATCTCAAATCTGAACATATATTTTTCCATAGCTTTATCTAGTCTGTTCTTGAACGCGTTCATACTTGGAGCGCCAACGATGTCATCGGGGAGGCTGTTCCACATGTCGGTGATTCGAAGCGAGAAGTCGGTGACTTCCACATGTCGGTGACTCGAAGCGAGAAGAAATGTTGGCGCGTGGAGAAGTTGCAGCGCAGTTTTTTTAGTCGATAATACTCATATATAATACTTAATATTATTATTATAAATTATCTCTGTTCAGGTGACCGACTTGCCTCCTCGGCCGCCAAACCATCAGAGACTCGCCAAAGTTCCTCGTCTCACCACAAATCCCTTTCACCAGACGCCGGTCCGCTCAGGTCCCACACTTCTCTCTCACCAACCAAGGCTAAAGGGGAGACCGACTCCATCTTTCCACCTTTCAACATCCACTCATACTTCACACGGGACAGTAACACCTCAACCACACGGGACAGTAACACCTCGACCACACGGGACAGTAACACGTCGACATCCACGGAGGATACAGGTCGTACCGCACCCCACAGACCTCGATCCTCAACCATGGATCACGGATCCATGCAGCGATTTGTGCGTGGTCTTACGCGCAACAACTGATGCAGTGATTTTGATCTTGACTTAGCTAATTCCAAGCAGTGGTTTCTGTCTCGGCTGTTGTGAAAGGGAGTTTTGTGGTTTTGGTTCATGGTGATAGTGAGGAAAAACTGGTGAGGTTTCTACCGTTTGCGAATTTCGCGAAAAGACGACATGGATTACGGTGGCTCTGGATTTTAAATAATTTTAAAAGCAAATTTATTAGGAATAATCAGTTTATTAGTACTAGTCTCGAGTTTAATTTAACACCAGAACTTTTTGACTCTGAATATGCCTTTTAGTCACATATTATGAAGGCTTTTTTAAGGCAGCAAAACTTGAAATTGTTAGGCAGCCAATAGTTATTTTCTATAGCAATATCAAAGAAATATAGTGCTGGGCCACAATCTAATCTTGTAGTATAAGAGAAAAACTATAACTTGAATAAAAAATATAAGCTATTCAGAATTAATACATAAAATGAGCTGAAAAGTTGAAGAAAAATCTCGTTAGTAGGCAGTAAATATGTCGAAAAGATTTACAATATTATGCACAAATTAGTAAATATGAGAATGAAATTTACGGGAATATTCATCTGTGGTAATTAGTCAAGTATACATTATAATATTGTTGATGTTGATTATGAAAAGTGTATTATTGTCAACTACAGATCTGATTTCTATGTATTATATTGATATTTTGTTCTCAAACGAATAATGCTCAGTTTGTTGTGGATCGTTGATCGATGTAATAATTGTTATGACTTTTTGGTAATGTGTGAAGCATAAAAATGTCCCAACAAAATATTATTTACTGGAACTTGAATAGAACAAATATAATGACGTGCCTTATACCTTTTACATGTACCTGCTCTGAGAGAATTGAAAGGAAGTATATTCTCGGTATCAATCACTACATGAAAAATGATCATAAGTTGCAATGCTTTGAACTTGATACGGAAATCGATGATAAGATATTCATACTCATGTAAATAAATCATAATTATACTCCAATTATTGCCACTTCGCTAGTCATTATATGGGAAAGATTACTTAAATCTTATCACAAGATAGCATCGAAATTATCTTGATGTGTGTTACAAAACTTAGCGTCAAAGTAGGATTAAAGTGCCCATTACAGATCGACTGGGACTTGTTTCTGTCTCAAATGAATTGTTGAAGTTTTTGATAAGGTAATTGTAGATAATAATAAAGTATAGATATATTTATCGTATAAAATGATTGGATATTAATTGACGAGAGAACGTAACGATATTGAGGAGAGGTTTACTAGAGAAAAGACAATCAGGCTGGAACTCTGTGCTTAGCGGCCATGAATATTATTCTTAACATTAATAAATATTTTCTTAGGTTTAATAAATATTATTCTGAATTTCAATTGAGGCGCTGTTTTTTTTTCAGTTGCTATGTACTAGCTCAGTCACAACCTGCTCAATTTCGTTGATATTTTTTAGAGGAATTTTTTTTTCGTCACTTTGGAAATGAATCTAAGAAGTCAGCGCACTTTGAGAACATTTTTCATCCTCTAATTTGAATTTATTAAATCTATACCAAGCAGCAAAATGCCTTAATTGCTAATTTCTTCCCATACTAGATTTCTTGTTCCGATCTATATTATAGTATATAAAAATATAATCACAAAAGATCTGCTCAGATGTTGTGTGATGAACCTCATTGTCCAGACACATTTCAAGTATATTGTCTACTTATTTCGACGTGATATCAGTTGTATTTCAATGAAGTGTGTTTAGTCTCTATAATTGCCAATGATGATTATTGTGAGAGAAGTATCACTTACTTTAAAATAATATTACCTCCATATTCGAAAGCTGTATTTACAGTACATATATGGATGCCGTATAAAAATGCATAATTCATAATAAGTTCTTCATTTTCTGGGGCTTTTTCTGTATCTTCAACCCGTTTGTTCAACAGCATTCATTGTCTCAAAGGAGTCGGTGTTACTATATCGTAATCGTATAGTGTAATATGTAATAATATGTATCATATCAGCACTCCTTTTATGTTTCGTAATGGCAGCCTTGTAATTAATTCATATGCTGCTCTCCTGGGAATCGTATAATATCAGATGGTTTTGTTGATAATGTGTAATATTTAATCGTTTTGTTGATGAATCTTAGTTTCGGTGTATTGGACTGATTTTTATACCACTAAAGAACGTCCCTCTAGTTAAATTTTCAGACGAAATTTCTTACTATCTGTTGAATTGTTTTTTCGTTTTCGTCTCTTTTTGGCCTGATTATGTTTGACGATTATTTCAGAATCTGGTTAATGTTATTGTCAGGATAGATTAAATGTAAGTCACTATTGTTATTTATGGGCGATTCATTAATCACCCATAATAATTATAATTATTGTCATTTTATAGTATCTTCATTGGATTGTTAACCAAATGAATGGTGCCTGTGAAAAACTGGACAGATGTTGAATGAACTCTTCAAATACGAAGCCTAAATTATCTTCATTTTATTGGTTATTAATATGCATTGTTATTATTATTATATTAATTATTAGCGATTTATTCTTCCAAAAGAAGTTCTTCTGATGCGTAATTTGGTGTTAAGTTGTTGTGGTGGCAGGTCAGTTGTAGTGGTGGCAAGTCAGTTGTAGTGGTGGCAGGTCAGTTGTGGTGGTGGCAGGTCTAGTGGTGGCATGTCAGTTGTGGTGGTGGCAGGTCATTTGTGGTGGTGGCAGGTCATTTGTAGTGGTGGCATGTCAGTTGTGGTGGTGGCAGGTCAGTTGTTGTGGTGGCAGATCGTAATGAATAACATCAGTCATATAAATAAAGACACATTTATATCAAACTATTTCGTAAGAGATCGGCAACTTTAATACGTTGTTCGCTTTCACGTGAAAGTACACCCAGAGAAATAAATGAAACTTGTCTAAATTGCGATGCACTTTTGCTCTTGAATATGTCATTCTGACTGAGTTTGCCCCGGCAAGAGATCGCCGTATAATTTGGACAATTACCCCTCAGTTTTTCTGAGTGTTGTAGTGAATGTGCTCTTAGATTGCCTTAGTTATTTTAACCACTGATTTTACCGTCTATATTTACTCATAATGACCAGTTTAGTTAATTTTTCCCTCTGTAGCGTGTAGATAGAATAGATTCTTAGCAGTAAAATTCGTTAATACGTACAGCTGCTTCCGATCAATGTGCCTAATTGTAATATTATAAGTTCAAATCTTTCTTCTGAATCTATTGTAGATCTGAACTCGCTTCTTGTAGATGATTAGTTGTTAATATATTGCAATACTTCAAAACAATTTCTGCCGTGAAAAAAAAAGAAATGTTATTTTATAATAAATGATTGATTTTGAATTTTATTTGTAAATTTTATTATTTATTTTCGAAAAGTTGTAACCAAAAGTTTGCATTGATGTGATGATATTTCAAGAGTTGCCATAAACGAAATATTTCATCGCACATATTTCATTTTATGCTAAGATATTTCGTTACTATTTTTCGGTGGTGTCTTTTTATTTCAGCTGCTTCTGGGCGTCTTGTTTCAGCTTAATAGCTTACATATGCTATATGTTGAGGTTTTTCATTATTTATTGTGAAATTTTGGTGCTCGGCATTTCTCTGCATTGTTGTACTTTTTGCCCGTCATTTGTTGTTCAGTTTCGTGTGGGTCGCTTCCCAATCTCATTTAGAACAGCCGTTATCTTGTCTTCTTATCTGGCCAATTAGCACAGCCGTTATCTTGTCTTCTTATCGGGCCAATTAGCACAGCCGTTATCTTGTCACAGCCGACATCTTGCCTCCCGTTAAAAGTAGAATCAATAACAAATATCTTTAAAACCGATTGCCACTTCACGTCTATCATCATGTGTTGACAAAACTCGGATTTGTAATTCGTTTGCTAAGCATTATTATCGCGGACAAGCTCTTTGTTTGCATTGTATTTTTTTTAGGTATGTCTTACCTTAGCCACATCGCGCACCAGATTCATATGATAAATACAGGTACGAGGCATGCCAGACATTATTTTTTTACAACAAACGAGTCTTTTGAAATTTTTATTTGTTCATAACAATGACTGCATAAAAAACGGCATATTAACGGCCTTGGAAAAAAGACACATCGAACTTGAAACGATTATTCTCTGCTTGCCTGCGTAGAATTTTATGACAAATTTTTTCGACTTGCGTAGAGAGTTTGTTTTAGTTTTAAACAGGCATTGTGTAAATGTGTAATGCTGTGTATTTACATGCAGACTTAAATGGGAAGACGGGTGTCTCAGTGTTTCAGGTAACTATTTGCAACAGACTTCGAAATTACATTTCATTTGATATTCTACATCATTGAAAGACTTTGTTTAAGAAACTATTATTGACTTTTTACGTAATATTATTATAGGTTCAGAATAGATTCACTCACATTATATCAAATTATAAATTAATTGGCCATAACTTTGTCTCTTATCTGAAACCTTGACGAATTTTTCACAATTTAATAAATTTTCAATCATGAATTCCGAACGCACAGCTTTTCATGTAGATATGTTGCCGATGTTACATTTTGTTCAGTTTGAGGTTTGAAAGGTCAGTTTTTCTAAGCTAAGATGATAGTTTTAGTTCATATAAATATGCTAGTAGCATTGTTCAAGGACTACATGATTGCTGTGAACCTACTTTGTATGATTTTCCGACTGATATAAAATCTACTATTCGCAGCCGTATTCAAATCGTACACTTTGAATAATGAAAGAATTTGTGATAGTAAATGCATGAAAAAAATTAGTATTGATGATTATATATATACACTGAAATAATAATATGACGAATTAATAATTCGATATGACACATTCACGTGTTGATTATGAACATTTAAACTGAACTTTCCACTCTACAAGTTCAATATTCACAAATGGCGTAAGAAAATTATAACTTCCTTCAATATTTATTTGGATAGCTAATCAAGTTACAGAGCATTTTAGCGTCTAAAATTATAATATATTTACATATTAACCATACAAATTGTTCGAGCAGCGCATTTCTCACGAAACTTTCTAAGTTGAACGAAGACTTATAATATAATCTACAGGAGACGCTCTCATGATATTGGCATTACAAAACGTCAAGTAAATACAATGTCAACTATACGAATTGTCCAGCAATTAAAAGACTTCACATAACAGCATTGCAAGCTAAGCTTTCTTAGTCAGTAAATGGCTATTTATTTTTAGCCAATTATTACAAATAAAGCTGCGCTAGTCCAAGTCCATGTCATCATCTTGAGCACATAAATATTCTCGCCATATTTCCACTGCGAATCAAATCAGAAAACACAGATTTAAGAAAAATATTAATTTATGTACACGGTAACAACGATCGAGTTTTTTTTCCCTCATTTGTAACAAAAAAGTCATGCAGCGCGTAAAAAGTTCCATCATTTGTTACAACCATCAACTTCCACGATTCCTCGCTCGTCAAGATTATTATAAATGCACCTTAAAACCTTGAGATACTTTCTGCCAATATGCAAGTCATATAAAAATGAACGTTTCCAATACCGCTGTAGTTTATCACAGTCAGCAAAAAATGTTTATATCAAGGGCTATGCCAAATAACCTTAAATATTGTTTTTATAAATATAAACCTAAAATAAAACCTCTCAAAATTCTCGATGGAGCTTCAATATTAAATCGTTAATTTGTCATCATAGTTCAAAACTAACGCAAAATTTGCTAATTAACGAAGTAAATACAGGAAAAAAATAGAGAACCGGCAAATAAAAAAATGACATGTTATTATTCGGTAGGATTGCATTAATGTGCTGGGTATCCAACATAGTATTTATTGATCTCGCACATTCACTGAGTTGTAGCATTAATAGTTGCGGTTGTAACAGTAATACTCATGGTCGCACCCTTGTGTCGACTGACCCGTAATTGTCATCAGATTTAACTCAATAAATACAACATTTAAGTACAATTTGTGAGGTTAATGGCGTCACAATAGATAATTATAAGCAAGGAATGAGACATAAATGAAGGGAATTTATCTAAGTAACTCATTTGAAGATCATATGGTATTTTATTTGATCGATTGTCAGCATGGTTTCCACGTTATTTTTCTGCCTTTGTTCGAAGCAACATTAAATATAAATGTTCAAATTATAGAAATGTTTGAGAAGGTTGCTTTTTATCAGGGCACAAACGTTGCCATTATTTCCTTGTTTCAAATCCCTTAGTACAAACCTTGTGATTTTTTAAGCACCGATGAAACGCGTGATTGAAGATATCAATCGTAAGAGTGGAGTTCAACTACACACATCAACTCGTCACTCTGAAAAATGATTAGGTAATATTGTCCAAATTAAGTCCCACTTAATTTTCGAGTGTTCTAGTAGATCATCAAATGCACGAAACGGAAAAATGGAACCTGAATGAAATTTGTCGATGTTGATTTTCATTACAAATTCCAACATTCTTATTACCTACGTTCAGTGAGTGGCCCGAAACGTTACATTGATATCAAGAATATTCATCGTATTGGCTTCGGAGGTTCAACAAATTTCTCGGTACATGAAAACTTTTTCGCTTGTTTCCACAAAATTATTAGGACTACGAACTAAGTTCACTTGTGAACACAACATTTCTGGCCGCATTCACGGACATAGAACCAGCAACCAGTAGACGTAAGTAATAACCAGCAGCCGTAAGTATTAACCAGCACATGTAAAAAGTGATCAGCAGGTTTAAGTAGTAACCAGCAGACGTAAGTAATAACCAACCGACGTAAGAAGTAACTATCATGCGCAAAAATTTACCATCATACGCTTAAAGTAACCGGCTGGCGTAAGCTTCCAGAAGAACGCGCGTATATTAACGACGCTTAAAACAAATCAAGATTACGACAACGTTTCATAGGCGTCAATGAATTGCACTTCGTTGGTACCGCGGGCTGAGGGTGGAGGTCATAATTAAAGTACTTAAAGTGCACGCTGAAATAAATAGCCTAACTAGGAGACTAGGACTTCAAAGTGTTCAGTGTAGAAAACATCGAACTAATACTCAAAGAAGCTGATAATCGAAAGACAAAACAAACTCCTAAACAAATAGAATAAAGGGCACTCTCGACGCTCGTTCAAACGCGAGAAAATTATACAGTTTCAAATGGCCTAAAAGCTTTACAAATTCGATTTAGAAGTGATGAAGTTGCTTGAAATTCGTCAAAAATAGAGTAAATAACCTGAAAAATTCTAACAACTACAGGAAGGAACACAGAAATCCTAAACTTAGAATAGAAATAATTTAATTTTCAAAAGCGCACGCGCTTCAAAAACACAATTTACTGACGGTTTAATCTTTATATTTGTAGCTGAAAATAGAATAATTGCCGACAATTTCAGCACTTAAAGTTAAATAATACTTACTGAATGGAAGGAAGAGTTTAACTAGAATTTTAAAACGTATCAACATGGTGTGAATTTCAAAATACGAAAGTCCAAAATTCTACAGTTCCAAAGTTTCCAACTTCGTATAACTTATTTCAGAACGAGGAACATCATCTTAATAAGAATAACAAAAAGTCGTTATATTCACACGTTTAGAAAGATAATTGTAAAATTATTTACGAGTATCACATTTCATTCATCTACTGGCAGGCGGTTCAAGCTGGAGATGAGAGTATATCAAATACCAAATACTTTACCCACGCCGGCGTGGCATAGTTAAACCAAAATAATTAAGAAACATGTCCTGCTCGTAGACAAAATACATCGAAGACAGGCTTAACATAACAATAATCAGTAGATTATAATTTAAGAGATCCAAAAGAAGCCTCATCCAGTGAACAAAACATTCGTAGGCATCTTGCTTTCCTACCTATAGTTTCAGTCACGCTAGCACTTCTCTTCTAGTTCAGTCCTAGTAATAGAACCATACTTGTAGTTCTGCACTGTGAAAATATAAATAGAAGAATGAAAAAATATAGCACATTTGTGGTTCTGCAATATAAATACAAATAAAAATAATGAGAAAATGGTAGATGTTACTTGTGGTTCATTACTATAAATAAGGAAAAAAAACAATAGGAAGTCTGAATTTCGCGATGAAGTCATGACTAGTCGCTTGGAATTATTTGGTTAGGTTACACAATTCAGAAATCAATCATCGCTATTCCCCGACATTTTGCTCGGCGCCCAAAAAGTACAAAAAAAAACAGGATTGCATATACGTTGGCACATGTTTAACATGAATGTCCATTCATTATGTACAACAAATAATTCACCAGAAACGCCAAGAAGAATAATTGGTCATATCCATACGTCACAATTTCCATTAAAAAACTTCCCCGCGCATTTTTTTAATCCAATCCAAGATTCAAGTGAATACAATACATCCAATACAAGATTTGAAAAAGGCGTATTTAGAGGAATTCGATTGCTGTGACCCACTTTCAGATCACATTAATTCAAGCAAAAGTTTTTTTTATGGAATCCAATCGTTCCAAGTCGCAATGTAAAATATTCAACACAAAATAAATTTATTATCATTTATTTATAAAACCCAGTTATTGGATTATATTAATTCAAGCAAAAGCTTTTTTATGGAATCCAATCGTTCCTAGTCGCAATGTGAAACATTAAAAAAAAAATAAATTTATTCCACTCAAATCTCTCTTCCTCTACATCGTTCGTTGGACAGAACCAACGCTCGAGAAGAAGAAAGTTTGAGGGCAAGCAATTAGCAGTTAAATTGAACAAAAAATATCCTCAGAAATTTAAATCATAAAAATCACACTTGCTGGGCATAAAAGTGCAAAGATTACTTGATTGCAACTTTACAATGAACTTGAAGACAAAAAAAGATGACATAGGAATTACTGTGCATAATTTAAGTCAACTTCTCTTCGAACATCACTAAAAAAATTGCTGGTCTTGCAATTCGAGTCTTCCAAGTTTTTTCCATTAGCATTTTTGTACAGAAAAACCTGCCTCTGACGAAATTGGACCCAATTGAGCTCTGCAGATTAAATGTAAAAAATATAAAATCAACAGAATAACGTCAGACTTCAGATAAATAAAAGCTTAGTACATTTGTTCGAGTAATTTGTTTTGAAAAATAAAGAAACTCTACTAGCTAAATTTCTCATTAGTTCAGAATTAAATTAATTCTAGTACAATACTTTAGGTACAATGAGTTATAAAGCATAGAATAAATATACAATAAAATATATACTTTTCCCCAGAGAGGAATATTGAAGAGGTACAAGTTTATCTTCCTCATCTTCGTCAGCAGAATATTCACTAATTTCATGATAAATGTTAGTTGTAATCATAGTTCTGCTCTCCTTCCCACTGACTTCCATAATAAATAGTTCCCCCTAAAATATATCACCGCACTTCAAAACTTCCTATAAGCCTGAGAATCTTTCCTCAGCAATTAACTTTATGAACATTAAGCAAGGACTACTACACACAGGACATGCATAGCCTATGTCCAGCCTCTGCTAGCAGAGGCGATCGCCTACACTATGAAAATGCTGTTGTTTTAGTGGCATCAACAAATGATATGCCCATAATTGTTTCATACAATAGTATTACAATGTGTGTAGTAGTCCTTGTCATTGTAATACTATTGTATGAAACAATTATGGGCATATCATTTGTTGATGCCACTAAAACACCAGCATTTTCATAGTGTAGGCGATCGCCTCTGCTAGCAGAGGCTGGACATAGGCTATGCATGTCCTGTGTGTAGTAGTCCTTGACATTAAGCTAACATGATTCCAGTAATTCAATATACGTTCACTTTCACATGAAAACAATAAAGTTAGGAACTCTTATCCAAACCTAATGAGTGCGTCTCTATAAAAAGTCGAAGAATGAGAAAATGTTCATATAAAAATTATATATGCGCTAAAAAAATGTTTGCGTATGAGCCGTTATAAGCGATGATATCTTAGCAGAATAGAAGCCAGCGGCTGGTACAGGCCGTGAGATCTGCAGCACAAAAGCTTCTCAAACAATTTACAAATACATTCAACCTTACACCGCTACCAATGACTTCAGTAAAGCAGTCGACGTACAGAAATTACCTAGAACATTTTTTATCAAATTCTATTTCCGCCCACCAAAGAACTTCGTACTCCGCAACACATCTACTGCAAGCGCAAGCAACGCCGCTGATTTATCTCACAGAGCATCGATATATTTATCAGCAAGTCTATTACTTAAGAGTAATTCTATTATTGAGTAACGTAGTATGTTGATACCGCACCAACACGCACATTTATCATTATTGTAGGCGGTGAGCAAAAAGAACTACATCGGTCACTGGCAAGCGGCCGACGCGGTCCACTTATTTGGGAGGACTAGATTTCAACTGGTGTCAGAGGGCCGTCTCCATGGACTCCTCTGGAGAAGAGTTTGTGCCATTATCAGCCTTCACTCCGTTCTTAGATGGAGGAGTTTCTCCCCCTACATCTCTAATGCGGGATACATCGGCTAATGACGGGGGAGGTACGGAACCCGTCTTACTCGGGTTGGGTGTGGAGTGTGGTACGTTACTGCGAATTTTGCTGGGTGAAGAGCTAGGGGTACCCAAAGAACCTATTAATCCGCTGTCAGATTCACTAAGTGTACGGGTTATCGGACCTCGCAGTCCTCGTTTCCCAGCTCCACAAACGCTGCTCTCCTCCTCATCGTCATCTTCTTCCTCTTCTGATTCCTCCATGTCTGCTTCTTCGGAGATCTCACCGCCATGGTCCTCAAGAATGGTAGTACTAATGATCTCTGTTTTAGAGGCGCGATATCGGCGGCCGCTTCCAAATCGGCTTTGGAAGAGCAAAGCTCGAGCTGTGTTCCTGGAAGTAGGCGGCATTATCACCCCCTCGATGGTGGTTTTGCTTTGTGATTTACTGGAAGCCATGTTCTGCTGGAAGTCTTTGTGCTGAGGAAGCTTGATGATCGGAGCGGGAGGGGGAGCGTAACCATAAATACTTGGTCGTGAGGCTTTAAGCATTTCTACTGCTGAGATCCTCTCCTTGCCACCAGCTGTGTTCATGCTCTGCTGCAAAATCATCTTCTTGAAGTCAAATAGCGTCGTCTGCTTAGAGAACGGTTTTGAACTTGACTGTGCAGAGGTCGTGGTGGCGGTAGAGCTGGAAGAGGTACCGTTCTCCTGGTCGTTATCCTCACAATCAGAAGATAAAGATCCGAGATCTGATGCTCCATAGCCTTCCGGGGGATCAACTTTACAAAACTTGAGGTCTTCGAAGCCATTCTCTTTAAAAATAAACGGAATTGGAGTGTCTTGTGACTCTCTACCAACGTAATCGTCGTGATGGCCTACCCTCTCCCGGACCTGAGGTCTCACCGTATTAGAGGGCAAGGGACTAATGCCAAAAACAGCAGGAGAAGTACTACGGCTTGACGACGGATTATTGTTGCTATTGTTATTGGCTTCGTCTGCTGCTGAAGCCTGTGTGGCCGAACCAGCATACGAGTGCCGGTTATAATTGTAATACTGTGGATGCCGCATCGCAGAATACATTTGGTCGCGGCTCATATACTGCCGAGATCTCGACATGTCAGTTGTGAGATCAGTGACGTCAGAATTCATCGTGAGGGGTGATGAGCTCACAAAAGAACCTTGAGCGTCTGGGGAAGAAACCGGCGTCGTTGGAAGAGACCTAAGATTACCAGTAGCACCCAACTGCTGCTGCTGCTGCTGCTGATGCTGGAGAAGCTGATGTTGATGCTGGGCTTGCATCTGCTGCTGCAACAACTGTTGGTGCTGTTGGTGTTGCAGCTGCAGCAGATGTTGTTGGTGAGCTTGCTGCTGCTGGTGCAGGTACTGCGCGCGTTGGCTGTAATAATTAACTTCGGAAGAAGGGCTGCTGCGGTAGCTACTGTGCTCTATGGAGGACATGTCGCTGGAGTGCGACGAGTTGAGATCGGAAGAAGCGGTGTCGGGTGAAGGGTAGCGCATGAAACTCGAGTTCTGGGGAGGAACAAGCTTGCGAGTCCCTTTTTCGGACGCAGCTTTGAATCCGCCATCATCATCCTCATTATTATCATCTTTGTTCTTCTTTTTCCGACGAAGCGGTAAAGTCCAAAACCATTTCTTCTTTGGGCTCTTCTCAGACTTTCCGGTATCTTTATTCTCTTTCTCTTTATCCTTACAGTCTTTCTTCTTCTTATCCTTTTCCTTCTTCGTTTTCTTTTCTTTCTCAAGTAACTTTTCGGGAGTTGATGGATTTGAAGCAACAGATCCTCGTCCTCCTCTGCTGCCCGCGTCCCCGGCAACACTGGCCCGGCGGGATACACCTTTTCCGTTGGTCCCATCGGGTCCTCTTCCTTCATCGGCCCCCGGCAACTGCATATGGCCTCGTCTACTGGGAGGTAAGGAAGTATACCCTCTTTGATGGCGGCCGAAACCCGAGGGGAGTGTGCCTCCAACTTGCACTTGTCGAGTCATGCCAATTCGTCCGTAAATATCACTGTCGGTGAGGGGTTGGGTTGGGTACCCAGGTGGGGCCGTGGTGGGGAGACGTGGGTGCTGGATCATACCCTGGCTGGGTAAGGGGAAGCCGCTCGCTGTGTCGTTGACAACGCCGAAGTTCTGAAGGCTGCGTTGCGAACCGTACATGGCGCCTGCACAGCATTCATTTGTTAGTCACAAATCCAGATAATTAAAATGTAAATGAAATTCAACAAGTTCGGATTAAACTTCGGTTCATCATTAGACACCCGGACAATTTTTAAACGAGAATTTTGAATGACTAAGATACATTTTGTAAGAACTAAACTATCACTGAACGGTACAGAAAATTTCACTCTATTTAAAAAATTTTACAGAAACCATCTTCTATATAGAATCGATGAGAAATAATGTAGAGCTCCAGAAACGCATATTTAGACGATAATATTTCTCAAAAACACAGTTAAGACCGCAAACACAACTAACTCCTGAAAAAATGTGTACGTGGTTTGCATTTGATATTCGAAAAGAAAACACGTTTTAAAGTGGGCAACAATTACATGTACATGAGAAGCTTATGCCTCATTTAAAAGCCTGCCACGAAATCGAAATTAAGGGAGCGATCCTATTCGTGTAAACGAGTATACACATTATCTACCAATGCCGCTCTACTTAGGTAAGGAAATCTTACACGCATTTCACAGGATTTCATCAAGTACGGTAATCTTAAATAAGCACCCGTAGCATAAGACTGAAGAATAAAGTTGATGTAGGAGAAAATCATGAACTGGAAATTTACCAGGTTTCTCACGTTTCACACTTTTTCGCTAGCAACCTGTACAAAATTCGCCTCGGTTTCTGTAAGATACCGCCTATAACAGCACAAATACGAACTCGGAGATTATTAGATAAGATTTCGAGGAATATAATAGCATAAACTGGAAATCAAGCGTTACTGGTCGTGAATTAAACATGCCTCAAGCAAGGAACTGTTAAGCAAAGTATAAATGCAACAACATTCAAAAGCCATTCAGCAATTCCATGCAAAATTAAAAAGCAGATGAACAAACGGTTTGGAAGTCAGGACAAACGAAATCATGTAAAAGCGATGCACACTTAGGTCTTTCTTTTCATCCAGATTTGAGATCTAAAATCTACATTTTATTCTGTAATATTTCTATAAATTTGCTTGTGTTTGCCCCTGGCAAACGATTTAGTAATTGTCAACTATCCGCACCTTAGATACCGTGGATGTCATTGGTCATTGACTCATTGTAACAACGAGCAATGAATCTCAAATTATGATAAAGTAATGAACCATAATCCCATGAATTTAATGTACTGAACATCGTAGATTTATAATCTTATATACTCACCAAGACCGTAGACTTGTTCAGACTTCATTGACTATTGCAGCAGATCCAAAATAGTTAGCACGGCGACCGATAGTTTGAGACAATACGCGACGGTATTGCAGTTTAAGTAAAATTTTGAAGCAGAAAAATCATTTAATTTGTTTTAAGATGCATCGTTCACGCCAGATTGGGATTGATGACTTCTGTTTTTAGTAAATTTGACATATGACGTCACTGCAGGTTAGTCATTAAATTCCTACATTACATTAAATGTAGAAATTAAATTGTTTATTCCACCAACACTAAGGCGCTGCGGAAAGTTAGTGACATAGACAATTTGAGAACAAATTCTGTTCTATACAACTTTAACTAATCTTGTAATTTCAGTCATCGGTCAAGAAATCATAACGAGAACAATAAAAAAATATTCATGACAATACGTGCAAAATTAAATAAAAATTTGACTATTTTGTACGGAATGAACCGAACTTCTAAACTAAAAACTCATAGAGAATGAATGCAACAAAGAATAGGTAATAGAAACAACGAAAATGATTGCGCTCAGAAACCTTATTGTATTGTGGGCACTTTGTACAGACACCGGAGTGAACAACCTGAGGCCGAGGAGAGGAAGACAGAAATCCCAGCAAACTTTTCCAGATTTCCGAAAATTAACGAAAAATATTTTCTAATAAGTAAAAAAACTGAAGAAATCGTGACGATGTAAAAAAATAATTAAGTGCAAATCCAGAGGAAAGTATCGATTGAAACAGGATAAAAAAATCTTGTTTATGCAAGTAAAGTCAATTGAAAACGAGTGTTGATTTACTGATTCAATATTGAAATAATTTTGAGAATTATATTTATTTGGAAGTGGCAAGACAAATGTTCGTAAATTAGAATAATTTTGAAATCTACCAAAGCCAAAGCGTCACAAAGATTTCATCAAGCGCAGTGAAGGGCAAATTGAAGGGACCAGAAATCTGAAGGATGTTCTAAGAATTAATTTGAATAAGATGCACATTTTAGGCCAAGAATAAACCAAGAGTTTACAATAAAAAATGTACCATTGAAGGTGTATAAAAATCTGGACTACCCTCCCAGAACAAGCAAAAATGAAGGGTAATGCATTAGGAAAAGGGCTAAGAATGAAAATGAAAATTTTCGGGTAAGAAAAAAGACTGAAAGGAAACGAGATCTTATGTGCAATATTGGATTCTCTTCCTCTCCTCGGACCCCATTTAACAAAACACAAAAATTTGGAAATGTATCGACATGAATTAAAAAAAACTAGTAGCGGCCATACATTCATGGCTGTCTTAAGATCTAAAAAAGACTCGGTAATTAATAAACTTAAATTAATGCAGAAAGACAAAAAGAAAGTTCTCCCACCAAAGCGGCCATTGCCTAACGCAAACTTAGACACATATAACACTAGGAACATATGTTCCCTATTGAACGTGAGCAAGATAAAAATTTTATTTGTTAAAATAGCTTCGAATTAGGTGAACTAAAAACGTGAGGGTACTTTCTATCGTTTTCAGCCTTTTCAGCTCTTTAGCGTAAGCCATGGGAAATGCAATAAATTTTTTTGCTTTAAAGGACGACATGAAAATTACATGCACTTAGTCGTACGTTCCATATTACTTGTATCATAGGATTTTTGAAATTATGATGGAACTGGCCTCCACATTTTCAAAGCAAATATGATAAACATACTCGAAAATTTATTCGCTTTTATACCCTAATGTTATCACGAATTTACTAAATTCTGGACAAATTGATCAAAGGAGATTGCGTATGATTATTGCAACATGAATTGTTAGGTTGCAGTTTAGTTATGGCATATGAAATGACCATTGATTTAATTGTTGCAATGGCTTTGAAGGGAGTACTTGCCTTCGTCTAAAACTTTGATTCAAGTGACGTCTTGTGAACACAAAAAAATTAGAGTGATGACTTAAATTTACATAATGACATATGAAAAAAAACATAACTAAATGGCATGGTCACGAGAGAGGGAGCAAATCAATATGTACACACAATGTAAAGATATAAAGATACAACATAAGCTCGACAGAGTCGAGAAGGTTTTTATTTTTTAAAAACGTGTCAAACTCTAAACTAACTCCAAATTAATCAACTCGTCCATGTTTTTTGTACAAATTATTTTTTAATCATCGACCAATTTATGTCTCAGAGCTCCAAATAATCGTACATTCTTCCGCAACATTGTTAAGTATAACATTTAAATTTGTTGCAATTACTCATGTTGTTAAATATAGCCAAGTCTAGTGGCGGGCGAGAAGAATTAAAATTTCAACGACCTAATTGCACGACTTGAATTTTAAAACTTTAAAAGATTTTACAATTTTCTCGACAAAAGCAAGTTAGAAGAACCCGCTAGAGATCTAGAACTTCTCATCAAAATCAAACAGGAGATGTCCAAAGTTCTCGTTATATATATAATTTCCAATTACATATGTCATACTAGAACAAAAAGGGCAGAATTTTTTTATAGCGTTCAACAATCAAGTGGTTAACAGAGAAACGTTGAAGGCTGAACAGAGTTGCAGATCACATCTCCTGTGCCATCAAATAACAATTGTGTTACGTACTAAGAGTGACGCAAGAACGAGTCACAAATACCTCTTGAAATGTGCACATTTTTTAGTGCACATTATTATTTTTAATTTACTGATAATACGTTCCATGTGCACACTATTATTTTTAATTTACTGATAAGACGTTCCTGATAATGAACGAGAATCGAGTGATACGGGGTGAGGGCAAAATAATGAGCAGAAAAATAAGCCCTACAGAAAAACACACAAAGCTAAAAATCAGAGACTAAAAAAACCCTAAGCAGCAAGGTAATAAATAAATAGATATAGGAGGTTGAAAATGAACACAGTTTGCATGCTCGTGCTCGAAGCTTGGCAGGTAAGCGGAAGGTTGTTCAGAAACACAAACGATAGACAAGCGAGATTTTCTTTGGTTTGGGTGGTCAAAAACGAGGCGGGAGTTACATTGGTAGGTGAAATGACTAAAAAACGCTCGGATTAAGCGTCATCGTTGTAAAATTACAGCACCAAGCAGTGGTTTCTGTCTGTGAAATTACGCATAAAACTGACGCTACGACTAACCACAAAAAAAAAACTTACTAATTCCGTATCAATAAATACGATCAAAAATAGTGGATCATAAAAACTGCAATTCAGCAGATTAAAAATGAGCAGATATCAACCAATTCATTTTATGAGCATTTTTATTTAGTTGATGAAAAAATATGAACGCAGTAGTTTTTTATTGTAAAAAAAATATCAAGTGGCAAAAAATATCTTCATGTCGTGAATAACGATAATATCGTTCAGTGAACACCATAATATCGCTCGGGTACATTTTAATATCGCCGCCGAAGAATTAAACTGCATGTAATTCAGCCATACGAGTATTTTCACCAAATCTCAGTCTCATCGTCAATGCGCTCAGGCAATTTAGGGACATAAGCCACCACTCGGGGCTTTCGTTGTTGTTCATCGACAGTTTTATTTTTGACACCGGCACCAGTCAATCTTTGCGAAGCAGTAGATCGTGATTTGGTCTCATCAGAAAAGCTGTTTTCCACTGGGAAATTTGCATTGGTATTATCAGAAGGGGTTTGATTTTGAATATGAGAAGAACGAGAGTGGTTTTCATTTCTTAGCAAAGGTAGTGACATAAGTTGTGGTTCGGTGTTTATATTCCCATTGAAAAAGCTAAACCTCGAGATATCTGAACTAGGAAGTATATCGTCGACTCGGGAAGCATTGCTAGGGTAACCGCTTTTGCTGCTCCGTGGCGGTGAAAAATTGGCATCCGATAGTACAGGTGTAACGCTATTTTTCATCAAATTGTTACGGTTGTTTGTACTTCGCTTGATGCTATTGTACATTCCATCATGGCGACTAAATGGCCGTGACTCGTTTTGGACTAGAATACGCGGGCCATGTAGCATCACGTTGTTGATCATAGGACGATTGAACGTCGGTGAAGTGCGTATAGAATTTTCATTAGCCTTCCCGCTAATTGAAACCTGGGATACCGGACGATTATTTGCACGATTCGTCTCCGCAAAAGCTTTTTCCGCAACCGTAGCCAAGCGATAGCTGTTATTGCGTTGAAAGTAAGACGGTGGGTTTTCTAACGTAGCTACGTTCGACTTTGCAAGGGGAATCGTGACGTTAGGTAATGTTGAATTTAAAGGGAGAAGACGATTTGAATTTTCCCTGGTACTTGACGAGCGGGGAAGGGACTTGGTATGGTACGCATTGGATGATATTCGAGCTTGAGCGAGGGCTTCGAATACTTTGTCGGCAGTGAGAGGTAAACTTGCAGGCAAAGGTATTTTATCAACCGGCGCTTCGGCATCGGAGGAAGAGAGTAGAGTGTTGGGTATGTCATCAACGCATGTACCCGCTTTATATGATTCAGAACCTATAGAAATATTGAGCGAATCGTCTGAATCTTTCGTGATGTTATGCAAGTCTGCAGAGATATTTGGGTTATTTTCGCTCTTGTTGGCGCGCTTGTGGAGCATTGGACTGCGAGACAACTTGATAATGTTTGATAGAAACGACTCGTTGCTCGAGGTGCTTTTATCACACGCCTTTAGCTGCTTTTCAGAAGTTTTGCTAGAGTTTGTATTTGATTTTAAAGATTTATGACTTCGGGTTTTAGAAGTAGATGACCCAAGAGGAGATCTAGACGACCGACTTGTTAGTTTTCCATCAGCGATGCTAGAACTAGGTGCGCGGTTTCGATCAACAGTTCCGATTTTACTAGTGGAATTTGAATCTTTTACACCGGATATTATGATTTGAGCTCTACCCAGGCTTTCCTTATGCTGTTTACCATCGACATGGCTTTCAGAAAGATGATTAGCATTACTACTTTTCTGAATAGGAGCGCGATTTGCTTCCACTCCTACACCGCGATTCTCACATTCAAGTGTGGAACGAACCGACATTTGACCACTGACTTTAGAAAGTGATCTTTCATTGTAAGAATTCGAGCTATTATGACGAGGTTGAGTACGGAAATTGTTTCTAACGGGACTAGATTCAAGATGCGAATTAACATAAGAACCATTCATGATATGGCAATCATTAGCACCGACTTGAATTTTAGGTTCGTTAGAGTTACGGCTAACTACGAGGGTTGGTAAACTGGTTTCACAAACTGAGGTAGAATTTCTACTTTCTACTACTGGAGAAGCAGACACAATTATACCTTGTGATCCATGCAGCTGCTGCAAGGCATATTGCTGCTGCTGCTGTTGCAGAAGTTGTTGCTGCAGTTGCTGAGGAGTGTTCGCAGGGATGAAAGGGGAGTGACGAGGCGAAGATGTTACCGCCCCTTGTATTGGGGTTGGCGCCCGAGATGTTGGACCTGGGGCTCCACTTCCCTGTTGTTGGGGAGAATACATCCCCTGGGCGCTGTGAGGTCGAGCTGGATACTGAGAGTTCTGTAGTTGGTTCACCTGTTCCCCACCTTGAACATGGACATAAGCCCCAGCTCTTTGGGTGCGTGGGGACATGGGTGCGCCCGTGGAAGGTAATATAACTCCCCCAAGAGCCCCAGAAGGCTGAGGAGGACCCATGACATCAGAGAGCTGACGGGGATCAGCAGGGGGAGGAGGAGGAACGATAGGGGGAATTTGAGACGGCGCGTTGTTTTGGGGCATTGAGGGGAAGAGGTAAGGGTCTTGCCTGGTACCGTAAATACCGTGCTGCTGCTGTTGTAGCTGATACTGTTGCTGCTGCTGTAGTATCTGCTGTTGCTGATACTGAAGCTGCTGCTGTTGCTGCTGCTTCTGTATCTGTAGCTGCTGTTGCTGTTCGGCTAACTGCTGTTGCTTCTGTTGTTCAATAATAAGCTGCTGCTGCGTTTGCTGTTGTTGCAGCTGTAAACGCTGCTGCTCCTGTTTTTGTTTTGCCTCTTTGCTACTTTGTTCTTTTTGCTGCTGCTTCGTCAATTTCTTATCTGGCTGAACAGCAGCCGTAGTTTTCGATGGAGTTTTGGACTGCAGATATGCCTGTCGCTCCCGCAGAGCCTGCAGCTTCTGCTGCTGCTCCTGCTGCTGCCGCTGCAGCTCGAGTCTCGTCTCGTGAAGCTGCTGCTGCAGTTCCTGATGCTGCTGTTTCAAAGCTGACTGCTGCTGTATCACCTCTTGTTTGCTTTGGTCGATCTGTTGCTGCACGGCCCGCTGCAGCAACAACTCTTCTTGCCGCTGACGTTGCAGTTTTTCATCCTGTTCTTGACGCATGACTTGCTGCTGTTGTTGAAGCAGCTGCTGCTGTATGTGCTGCTGGTGCTGCTGCAGGGCGGCTGCTGAGCTGTTCGTAGCGTTTGTGACCTGCGCAGGTAACTCCGGTATGGCAGGAGCATCCTCTAGTGGGGGTGGAGGTAATGGCATTTGTTGAATGCTGCTAATTGCAGATGTTAAGGTTCCTCCTCCCGCTCCTACACCAGCAGGTAATGTACCGTAACTCTCGGGTCCTGTATAGTGCTTCTGAGTTCTCGGTAAACTGTCTGAAGAGTAAACCACTTTACCTTCGGAGTCTAAAGTGACGTGGGCCCCAGCAGTCGCTTTCAGTCTCTTCCGTTCCAGTGAATTTGTTGGAGTGATGACTAGGTTTTGCTTGAGACTTGAAGGAACTGCGCTGAAGGGCTGGATTTCATCCGTATTTTTAGTGCTGGGCATGTGGATCTGCTGTTGTTGTTGTTGCAGAGCGTAGCGAGGTGACGCTGTTGGTGCCGTCGAAGTGGTGTCAGATGCAATTCTTCTGCCGCTCGAATTTTCAATTGAGTCTTCTCTAGGCGGAGGAGGTGGGGGAACTTTTTGTATCCGCTGCTGAGGAATCACAGGAGGAGGTTGAACGACCGGAATAGGGGCCATTTGTGCAACATCCCCTGACAAACGCCGTGTTAAATCAGACTGTTTTATGGCTGATGGTCGGACATTCACTGCGTAGTCAACAGACGCGGAATGGAACAAGGTTTTTACAGGTGCTTTATTTGATGCTGATGAAGACTGTGGAGTCCCGGCGGACTCAGAGGCCGACGTTTGCTGTGGGTCAGTTCTGGGAGATGCCTTGGACGTCTCAATACGGGGAACTTGCCGTACACTGCCGCTACCAGCACCCACCGCTCCGCCCTGGAAAAGCATCGCTTTAGCGGCCACCGACCCAAGAGCTGGGTCGTCCCCGTTAGAACTACCCGAGTCTTTGGACCCTGCCGCAGATCTAACGCTCTCGTCATCGCTAATAGGAGGCGTAATAACGCACATAGACGGAATACCGCTAGCGTTGATCGCAGTCTTGGACCTAAAGCTGTCTTTTCGGTCATCTCCAGTAGCAATATCCTCTGCCGGCCCTGCTGGGGAACTAGTGGAGGGTTCCGTTGCACTACTGGAAGTCTCTCGGCCACTGTCTGCAGCCTCAGACCCGCTGCTGGCAACCAAGTCCTCTCGAGAAGACCCCGCGGACCCATTCACGTGGATGACGGTAATGATGCTTTCTCTGTTGCTGGCAGAGCTGCTTTTTCTGTCCAGGGAGCTGACACGCTGTGGGGGTTTAGGGGGAGTTTTCTTCTCAGGGTTCCGCATGATGACGGTACCGAGACTCGCAGCGGAACTGTTGCTGATGCTACCGGCGATGCTACCGGACGCACTTCGACTGCCACCACCAGCACCTAAACCTCCCCCAGGCAGTTCAGATTCACTGCCGCTGTGCGCCAGCTTGTTAGTTTCTTCGTAACTACAGGCGTTGCGGAGGCCACTGTCTATGTGGAAGGAAGTGTAATAACCCTCGGTATCGCAGGAATAAGCCGAACTTGTGTCGTCATCAAAGAAAGGAATGTCCTGGATATCCTGAATATCCTGGGTCGGGGTCAGAGTGCCATCGCTGGTGAAGGAGGAGGTCGAGGGCAGGTCGTCGGTAGTACAAGAGGTGCTGCGTTGGTGGCTCGATGGAGAAGATTGCGGCGCAGTTGACCTGAAAAATTGTATGGAAGTCACTAACTGAATACATTCATCATTACTACATTAGTGAGGACATTCAATTAATCGAGTAGTGATATTCCTTACAATAATTTTAACATTAATAAAGCTCAACTATATTACTTATTAGACATTTCTGATAAAGTTGGCCTTCCTCCGACGTTTGATTCATCCTTCCTGAAGGTTTTTCATTTTCAGTGAGTAGTATATTTTCATTGCCGAATCATGAAAATTTCGAGTAAATTTCAGGCACCGTGTTCATTTTTTTAGGACCTATTGCGTAATTCGGTTACTTTGCCTTGTTTTCAACGGGAAATATAATAGTTCGAACTCTGATCAACGGGAGTTAGTTATTGTATTTTACCGATAGTGGATTGATATCAAGCATTTATAATGCACCTGGGTAGATCCTCATATAGTTTTTGTAATAAATTATCAACGGGTAAATTTGTTTCGATTTAAAACTTCCTCAGCGACGTTTGCGCCAATTTCAAACAATGATATGTTGAATTAATCGAATAAATAACATAATTTTACGTATGTTAATGAGTGCTAGAATCAATCCATGCAACTGATTAAACATAAGTTAAACACATATTAATTGTTAAAACACACACTAAACATATGGTAAAACACAAATATTGAATTTAAAATAAAAAGATTGCTGCAGAAAGCAAACTTATTTCTTCATTGTGCTCATTTCTGCAACAAAATACTCAAGAGAAAATCTGATAGGAAGCATTAGACCATGCAAGAGCTGGAGACGCCATGGTGCAATCAGGTTATAAATATGATTCGGAATAAGAAAAAGGTTAGATTGACAAGCGTTTTGATATTTTTGGCGTTGACAGATGAATGAACATAACTACATAGAAGCTCAAGAAATAAATAATTTTATTTTCAGCCATTTGTGAACAACAATGATCACAACAATGATCGTGTCAGAGTTGTCCGTTATAAATTATCGCGATTTAATGCAGTAATTTAGTAGCGGTGTAGAAATTTATAACAGAAAGTTAGTAGCGTTGTACAAATTTATAACAGAAAGTTAGTAGCGTTGTACAAATTTCTAACAGAAGGTTAATAGCGTTGTACAAGTTTTTAACAAGTATATAAGCCACACAAAATGAATTTAGGCAAAACTTACGAGAAAATACGAAGATGCCGATAAACCGGAGCGAAAAAATTTTTATTGGTGCCTTAGAAAAAGGTGAGAATGTTTGACGAAAATTACTATCACGAAACATGATTAAGAATAATAAAAGATTACAAAATGAACGACGGTAGAGCAAGTTGGAGGGAAAACCGGTAATAATAGCACTGTTTTTATTTTAGTTGAAAATACGCAATTGCAAAGCGGCTAAATGATCTCCATTGAAGGAAAAATCTTCAATATTAAATATAGCTAATCACGTCCCATGTTGAGGGAAAATAGACAAAAACTTTACCTGAAACCTGAATTTTCACCTCAACCCATATTCGCCTCTTCACCAGAAAAACAAATACGAAAAACTCATCCAAAATTATTATTTCGAAAAGTTAGGGTAAACCTAAGCAACACTCAGGACTTACTCGGAAGGATTCCCAGGCTCAGGATCAGAGGATGTCGAGGGAGAGTCCTTCCCTGGAGGCGTCAGGGAACGAGGGCTGCTCTCTCCATCAGGACCTGGCGCAGTGTCCTTTTGATCGAGTTTTGTGTTGTCGGTCGATTGGTCTTTTGGCGATCGGTCTTCTGGAAATTGGTCTTCAGAAGATTGACTTTCTTGTGATTGGTCTTCTGGTGATTGGTTTTCTGGTGATTGGTTTTCAGGTGATTGGTTTTCAGGTGATTGGTTTTCAGGCGGTTGGTTTTCTGGTGATTGGTTTTCTGGTGATTGGTTTTGCGTTTGAGTTGCGTCACAACTGTTTTCTTGTTGCGATACAGACACCCGAGAGTTCAATGCGGTTTCGTTATCTAATGCGTTATTTTCTAGCGAGACCGTAGGATTTTCGCTACAATCTTGCCTATCTAAAACATTCCCATTGTCATCATTAATTAAAAATTCTACCACATTTCGGTTGGTGTCCTCATGTTCCGAGATCAGCTGCAGACCGAGAACATCGAGACCCTCGGTTTCGAGACTACCGAGGTTTCTATAGGCCCAGTCAGCGGTCTCGAACAGAGACTGCTTCAGGTTTCTCTCGACGAGGCTCTCATGCACGTCGAGGTCGAGAGACGTGCGGGCGCTCGACGATGCAGACCAGTTACCGGAGGACGAACGCGCGCCTTCGTCTCTAGATCCACCGTCTCCGTCACTGGAAAATGGCAACAAATATTATAGTAATTAACTTGGAAAGTTAATAAACTTATCCAGCAACTGTTAGATCAGTAGTTAAGAAGTCACCGGATTGTTGTTGTTTACTTGTTTACTTGGCAATTTAAGATCGATCATTTCTCCCTTAATGAGATTACATAAACGTGGAATGAGCGAATAAAAGAGAAATAAACTTTCTGTTTCTAAAAGTTTACTCGATTACATAACATCCACAGTGAAGTCAGAGCAAACATACATTTTCATACTTAGAGAATTTCATTATTACCTAGGTTTCAAGTTTCCATTATTCAACTAGTTTAGTGCACGCATTCGTTCAAATTTAACGGATGATACTTTCAACCGAAATTTATATGAAACGTGATGGTTAATTTAAGTCAAATGCAGCAATTGAAACAGAACCAGAAAAAAACTGACGTAAAATCAGTTGGTTAAACAAACTTACAATGAACTATACATTCTTGATTTATACTTTTAAAACTTCTTCGATTCTAGAAGTTCTAATTTTCTACGAGAAGGGCCAGTTAAGGCCTATAAGAATTTGTTATCATATGCACAGACAAAATTTAACCAAAATGTCTCACCTAAATTTCGGCCGTTGCTTGGCTGCGTGAGCGCAGGTCTTGGATGCCTCAACCGCAAGAGCTTCAGTGCCGCCGCAGCGCCGGCCGGGGGAGGTGGTGGTGTGTGTCGCTCGTCGGTTGCGTCCAGGAGGAACGAGTTGGTCAGAGTGGGGCTCAGTTTGTGTGGCGGGTTGGGCATGTAAGACTACAGTCGTAATACCTTCATTGTCGTCGTTGTTGTCCCTAAAATATATTGATATTAAAATACATTGATTTCATATTCTATATAGATGAAAAAGTAATTAAATTTATAAAGTTCCATAAAACATGTCGACACCAGGTTGAATAATAATGATGCAGTGGTTTTAATGGCCTAATTTCACAGGTGATAATGAATGCTGAATTGATCTGCCCCGAATACACCACAACCTAACCCCACAACTGACCTAACGCACAATAACTTAGCCCAGAAACAAAAAATGATCTCAAGTTATTATTAGATAAAACAAAATGACAACTAGACACTGAGATATAGGCCAAGCATGTTAAGGGAAAATAAAAAGGGTACAACAACAATCATGACATCAGTAATGAATGGAATAAAATTGCAAAGCTGTACGTGAATTAATGAAGCGATAACTGATGAATGAAGCAACAACAAATGAATGGATTTGAATTAATTGAATCAATAGCTGCTGTATTAAAATGAATTAATGAAGTCATAACTGATGAATGGATGTGAGTAGACAATAAATAAATAAATGGATAAAACAGATAGTAGTATGTCTCAATTAAATTAATAATAAGGAATAAAGCAATCATCGGTATCAAGGAGGAGATTTATCGGCGGCCCATCGGCGGCCGTACCTGAAGGTGTTGCTGCGGGCGGGGAGGCGGCGGTGGGGGGTGAAGGCATGCTGGGGAGGAGGGGTGGGGAGTGCCACGGCCACACCCAGGGTCTGGGGGAGAGGTGGGGAGAGGGGTGAGGACCAGGGGGAGTAGGGTGAGATTTTAGGGGAAAATGAGGAGCAAAAGAAAGGCAAATGAGGGAAAAAAAGAATAAAAAAGAGGGAGGAGAGGGGAATACAATACAAGAGTGGAGGGAAATTGAAAGTGTGGTAGAAATATGGAAGAGTGGAGCGAAAAAGGAAGAAAGAAAAGTAAGAAGGATTGAATTTAAAGAAAGGAAACTGTAATGATAAGCAGAGAGCGCAGAGTAAAAACAGAAAAGCATGCATTTTAAATCATTATTGTACGACGAGGTAAAAACGAAAAAAATGGGAAATGACTGAAAGAACATGGAAGGGAATGCATGGCATTCAACAATGAATAACTGAAAAATAAAAACGAAAAATGAAGAAATCAGGCTTCGAAATAAATCAACTCTTGAAATTAGCCAGCAAAATAAACGTGTTGATTACTTTGGCCTCGGGACATTAATCTTTCGTGTCAGGAATTCATGATTATGATTGTTATTTTTTTTTTTGTTCGGTAATAAACTAACAGTCTAACATGATAAGTAGATAAACACTAATCACTATCACTATAATTTTTATTGGTTCTTCTGAAGCAGAGTTGCACCAAGTCAACTGATGGATGAGCTACATTGGTTGTTTCAGACTTCCTTCTCATCATAAATGATGCTTCTCACTTCAAGTATTTGCCAACAACGCCAACGATAGAATTAACTTTCTTAGTGATCTAAGATAAATATTGATCTAGTTTTCTTTCAATATATTGCAAAAAATAATGAATTTACGAGCTGGTAATTAAAAAATGTTTAGTTTATTTTCACGCGATGATTCAGCACATAATAATAATAATAAAATATATAGAAAATTTTACATATCTTTCGGTGTAAGTCATACAGGTCATTCTAGCGGTCGCTACCTACGATATTGGCTTCTCAATTAAGCCTCAACAAAATACATCCGTTTACTTTAATTGATACAATTTTGTATATACGAACGAAATAATCTGAAGATAAATGTTGCAAATACAATTAATGCATAAAATATACAACACTCAGAAATTGAACGGGTCATATAGTCCAAATACTAACACACTTTCTGCATGTAGCACTGATACGTCCTTATGCCGAGCAAAACTGGCTTATTATGGCCCATGCAAGGGCAAGAAGTGCATCGATATTTGGACAAAATCTGTTAAATTTCGCTGAGTTTAAATGAGGGTTTAAACCCACGTTTAAACCCTCTAAATCCCACGTTTAAACCCTGAGTTTAAACGAGGGTTTAAACCGACGTTTAAACCCTCAAAAACCCACGTTTAAACCCTGAGTTTAAACGAGGGTTTAAACCCAAGTTTAAACCCTCAAAAACCCACGTTTAAACCCTGAGATTAAACGTTTAAACCTACCAACGAGGGCTTGGTCGGTTTCTTGGCAGCAGGAACGCAATAGTCCGAAGGTTCCGAGGTGTCGTACGAGGGGTCAAAAGAGGGGCCGTCTGTTGAGTAGCAGCCCTCAGATGGCGAAGAGGAGGCCCCTCTACCACTCCTGGGGGATGAAGATTAGGTGAGGATATTTGATGATGTTAGAATGGGATATTATGGGGAGTATAAGGGACATTCTGGGAAGTGAAAAGGATATTCTAAGAAGTGAAAGGATATTGGGGGAATTAGAAGGGATTTTCTAATAAGTAAAAAAGGGATATTGGGATGTAAAGGGATATTCGGAGATGTAAAGGAATATTCGGAGATGTAAAGGGATATTCTAGGATGTAAAGGAATATTCTGAGAAGTGAAAGGGATATTCTAAAGGGGCATTCGTGGTCGAGAAAAAACTGAACACCGAAATGTGCTCAGGATTAAATTTGTAACCAGAAATTTAGACTGAAAAAAATGTAAACATGTGCTAGGACGATAACTATTAATTTTTAAATGCTCTTTAGCACGGGCGCGAGTCGCACACTCGATTAATATTTAAACGATCCTAGAAAAGTCTCGATTTTCTTATGAATAATTTTGAAATTAACACATCTAGCACTACATTCACTTGCTAGTTGCTATACACCTTCGTCATGTTCAAATTCCACATCAAAAACTTCTCCGGAATGCAGATTTTAGTGTTAGTATTACCCGAATGAATGACTTCAAAAACTTCTTCGTAATGTATATTTTCGTTATATTACCACCCAAAGTTAAAACATCGAAAAATTCCCCGTGATAATATGAAAGAAATGTCCGACAGTTAGTCGCCCAAATGACGAAAAAAACTAGGTATTTCGCGAATGATTCTGAACTAGTCAGGTCAGAATCGTCGACAGGCCTAATAATCTGCAAAACGCTTAAACTACTATCATCACATCATCATATCGTCATGCCATCATCTTCATCAACGCTGATACTGCAATCATATCATCATACCATCACCATCATCAACACTGATACTACTGCAATCATATCATCATACCATCACCATCATCAACACTGATACTACTGCAATCATATCATCATACCATCACCATCATCAACACTGATACTACTGCAATCATATCATCATCAATGTTGATATCATCATGATGAACGTACGCAGCAGAAGGCAGGTGCAGTGCAGTGAGTTTATCCTGCCTCGTGTCATCATATCATCATTATCAACGCTGAATACGGCAATCATATCATACCACCATCACCATCATCATCATCATACCACCATCATCAACGTTAATACTGCAATCATATGATGAACTTACGTAGCAGAAGGCAGGTGCAGTGCAGCAAGTTTATCCTGCCTGGTGGAGGCGCGCGTGCGGGTGGCGAGGCTGGAGCAGCGGGCCACGCGGGTGCCCGCGGTCGCTGCGCTGCCGCTGGGGCCGGCTAGCGACGCGGCGTCTCGCGCGTCGGCGATTGTGTTGCGCCGACGCAGCTGCTTACGGCGACGCCGTCGGGAGCTGCTTGCGCGGCTACGCACAAACTCAACCTGTCAACAAGAACATAAATGATAATGACTTGAATTAAGGCAATGCTAGAGCAAATGATCGAGTACCACGTAAAAAATCAATCCAATATATTAATTAATAAAAGATAAATGTAGCACTATTTGTATTCAAACTTCGTTTTGAAATATAACTGTTTGAATTTAATAAAGAGTGGGCCGCTGGGACCTGAGGGGTGAAGGGTAGCAAATCGCCTTCCAAATAGAGTTATTTCGAGGAAGACAGTAAAATTTTCTAGAAGTAAAAAAAAATATCTACCTCGCAGTGTTAAGCGTCACAGATTGGGAACCACTTGTCTATACACTTGACTTCCCGTACGTTACCGAATATTATCGCTTCTCTTAACCATGACGGGAAATAGGTCTTTTCTCTTTACTGTTTACGTCTCTTATAGTTGTTAAATAATTCAATGGTAACCAACCTCTATGAGTGGCTGCCGTTGTTGCTGCAAGCGGCGATACCCATTGCCCGAGACGTCGATGGGTACAACAACTGGCGGGTATCTGTTGCAGAGAGCGCGACACAACTGCTCCGGTCGTGGTAGCTTCCTACGCAACACCGGGGTTGCAACCGGGTCATTTGAATGATCTTCAACCCTGTCAACCGAAGTGTGGGTTGTGTCAACCTGGTCAGTGGCTAAACATTCAGGTTGAGCGGCTGTTGAGGGTTGATCGCTTGAAGATGGAGCATCGGTGATTGGTCCAGAAGGAGGTTCTAAAACTGACGATTCAGGTTGTGAAATGGGAGGTGGCTGAGAATTGGAAACGGGTTGTGAAGTAGATGAAGGTTGTGAAGTAGACGAAGCTTGTGAAGTTGAAGGTAACGGCGGTGAATTAGTGGGTGGTGAAGTTTTATTTAAGAATATGCGAGGCCGTGGAGGTGCAGAGGGAGACACAGGATAGAGTGAGAGGTCTTCGTGGCCTCCTAAGCTGTCGTCGTCGGAGCACCAGTCCCGCAGAGCATCGAAGCTGGCAGGCTGCAATGAAAACCATGCATTTCAGCCGTCAGGGTTACTGCTTTTACAACTCAAATTCAATATTACTCACTAACTCGTGATAACCACAATAGCCATTCATGTTCGCTTATCATACGCAACACGCGCACAAATTTAGAATATTAATCCAAAATCCTCCTTCATTTACCAACTGCCCCGTTTTGTTGAGAATTAACGCTAAGAAATGAAGCCTAGGGCAACAGACTGACCAGATGTCATATCTATTGTGCTGAGTTAGTTAGGTATACGCACATATTGGACTGCATCATCGGCTTGGCTGGCGCCTAATAATAATATGGTATTGACAATATAATATTTATTTTTAATCCTCCATGCACCGTTCATGTATCTATAAATCATTGGCTAATTAACCTCAGTCATCAGCAATCGCGTCTATTCACGTCCAATGCACATACCATATTCTCCAATAAATTATTTCTTTGGTACTCAGATAATAGTTTCAAAATGATCCTTGGGAGTATCCTCGATGCAGGAAATGCTTTTTACCGTGCAGGCAGGATACCGGTCTCGCACTGTAATACTGTGCAAGTAGGATACCGGTCCCACACTGCACTACCTAAGTAGGTAGGTACCTGCACGGTATTGTAGTGCTGGTCCGGACTCCTACTTACACGGCATTACAACGCGGGTTCGGGTATCCTACCGTGCATGTAGGATACCTGTCCCGCACTGCAATACCGTGCATGTAGGATACCTGTCCCGCACTGCACTGCAATACCGTGCATGTAGGATACCTGATACCTGTCCCGCACTGCAATACCGTGCAAGTAGGATACCTGTCCCGCACTGCAATACCGTGCATGTAGGATACCGGTCACGCACTGCACTGCAATACCGTGCAAGTAGGATACCTGTCCCGCACTGCACTGCAATACCGTGCATGTAGGATACCTGTCCCTCACTGCACTGCAATACCGTGCATGTAGGATACCTGTCCCTTACTGCACTGCAGTACCGTGCATGTAGGATACCTGTCACGCATCCTGCACGGCAGGAACTGCACTTGGCTGCTTGCGATGACAAGAGCGACTTCAGTGAAGCAGCGTAAGTAGGGTTCCTTTAACGGAGCTCTGCCATACATCGCTCGATCGTTCTCTGATGCTTCACAAAGATTTCATCCGTATGCGAGTGTTCTTTTACAGCTAATTAGTCAAACGTATGCTCAAATAATACAAAATTAATTTTTTCATAGAATCTATTGAGTCAAATTTGTGATCATGTGTTATAAAATTGGCAGACTACCGAGAAGGTCTAATTGGGGATATTGATATAATATTAAGCAAAGGTATTGAATTCAAAAGTAAGCAGAGATCATTTAATCCTGTTCATTTCATTGCAGATGCAACAAAATCTCAAATTTTTGAGTGTTGTTCCACTATTTCTTGTTTACTACTGAATTATCTTTCTCTAAGGTTAATCTGGATTACCAGAATCCGGGATGTTCTCTTGCCAATAATCATGCTATGCTTTGCACGTACGACGATTCCTGAATAGTGCTCCTAATTTTGCCAGTTGCATTGAAATGATTGGATTTTAGGAACTATCACTGAATCAATTTTCAATATACACATATACCAATACTCACCCAGGTCAACTCTGACGAAGTGTCCGCGTCAGGCCAGATAACATGAATTCAGTGCGCTACAATCTCGAGTTATATATAAAAGCTTATTTCGTCGAAATAAATTCACTCAAATCTCAACAGGACTTTGAATTTGAATTTTAATACCGATTTTAGGAATTTGCAGGCACAAACACTCCAATTCATTTCAGGCTTCGCCACAACAACATATTTTCACTCGGTTTCTTCTAGTGCGATGAACCATCATCTTTCAAAAATAATGCTCAATATGGCAGATGATGTTCTCAAAAAACGATCACGTCAATTTGAAAGTTTGAATGAAACAAATTTTCGACAATATAAAAATTTTCTAAGGTCACAGTTCTTGACCTTCAATTCCTATACAAAGCATGTTCATTTTCAACACTTATGGAAGCTTATAGTAAAATGTTCAGAATTCAACAGTGGTTGGTCACTCAAAAATGAACATAAAGTCACACTAGCACTCTAGAATTCTGGCTTTAGTACTTAGCTAATTACAAACATGTACAGAGCTACATAGAAGCTGCACAAAAAAAAACAAGAATAATTATCATGTTCCTGTCCCAGCGGAGAGTTTCCTAGCTAATTCACAATTGACTAACCCTAACCCCTACCTAGCTAATTCACAATTTCATTCATTTCATCCGATGCCAAGCTCATCCATTTCATCCGATGCCAAGCTCATCCATTTCATCCTATGCCAAGCTCATCCATTTCATCCTATGCCAAGCTCATCCATTTCATCCTATGCCAAGCTCATCCATTTCATTCGATGCCGAGCTCATCCATTTCATCCATATAAAATCAATGCACAATAATATGACAGTCCTACTCTCGCGGTGCACGTACGAGTTGACGGCAAGACAGAGAGAGCGTGAGTGAGAAATAGAGAGTGAAAAGATGGAAAGAGAGGAGAGAGAGAGAGGAGAGAGAAATGAAGAGAAGGAGAGGAAAAAGAAGAGAAGGAGAGGAGAGAGAAATGGAGAGAGGAAGAAGAGACGAAAGGTAGAGGACTTATAAATTGAGAGAGGGAGAGGGTAAAGAAGAGAAAAGGTGGAGAGAGAGAAATATAGCGAGAAAAAAAGAAGAGGAAAGAGGCAAGAGAGAAATAGGTAGAGGGAGAGAAAAAGAAGAGGAAAGAGGCAGGAGAGAAATGGGGACTTGTAGAGAAAAAAAGGGAGAGGAGAGAGAAATAAGAAAGAGGGAGATGAGAGAGAGAAGAGAATGAAATTGGGAAAGGGGAGGGGGTTAGAAATGGCGAGGAGAGAAATGGAAGGAAAAATACGAGGAAAATGAAGGAAAATTGTGAAAGAGCAGGAGGAGTGGATAAAGGTATAGATGAAATGAAGCAAAAAAAAATGCGAGATAGAAAATGGAAATAAATAGAGTGAAAGAGATAGAGGTAGAGAGAGAGGCATGTGAGGCGACGAGCGCATCATCTTTAAAAGCTCACAATGACGGCTAGGAGTACGTAGCCTTCTCGTACTCTCTTCCTCTCTCTACCTCTCTAAATGGTTCCCTTCACTTAAATTCATAATAATTTATATAACATTTACTTTGTGCTCATTATATAACACTACTTACATGTATATAACTTCATACTCTATGCGCGCAATCTATCTGCAGTTATTGTTATTCTATCCATTTTATCATTAGTCAGGTCGTCACCTTTTCATCTATACTTCTCTCTTCGCCAGTTATGTCCTACTGTCATACCTATGCTAATTATTTTGTGTTATGTCTTATTCCTGGGCTGGAATTTAGTTTCTTAATCGCTTTTCCTATTGCATTTTTATTAGCAAGTGAGATTTCCTCAGGACATTCCAAGAACCAAGCTGAAATTAGCCCCCATCACAACATTATAATTGCGTTCAATTTAAAGCAGAAACAACACGTATTGAGAAAATTAAGACGCATCCACGGGAAATATAATTCCAAAGTCATTCTCAAAAAGAAATATTTCTTCTTTGTCAGTTCTTAAATTTCACAAAATTAGTATTTTACCTCAGATTTTCAATTCGGTGTTGGTTGCGAAGCAAGAACAAAATTCGTAAACAAGCAAGAAACCTGCGACCAGAATCCTATCTTCGAAAACCATTTCCAAATAAACACTCATTTCAGTTAGCACTTCATAAACAAACGAATTCTTCATTAAAAACGTCCTTATGATTGGAAAGAAACCTGAATGAAAGTAAAACAAGCACGTAAATGTTTGTAGAAATGTTAAAGAATTCCAGGAACGACATCGACAGTGACGCTTCCCTCACGACCGCCCGAGGGCAACTAAAGAGGGACGTCTGGGACCGGCCTCGCCTTCCATGCCGAATAGCCTGGCGAATTTCCGCGTAAGTTTTTATATTGTCAAATAACAGTCGAAATAACTAACAATCTAATGTATGATAGTAGTTGCGAATTTCTGCGCAGTTTTTATAATATTGAATATCAGTCGATATAACTAGCAATCCAAAAGTATGATAGAAGTTATTTATTTCATTGCAGTTTCAACTCAGATTTCACATTGCAAACGCAGTAGTTTGTCATACTTTTCGAATACCACATTAAATATAGAAGTGCTAGTGAGAGAGTCAATTTACTTTTAATTTTTATTCCGAACCAGAATATTAGTCCAGAGTTAAAAATTACAAAATTGCGATCATATGGAAGTTGGTATCCTGTCGATATTTTCGATGATTTCTGCAAATTCTACGAGAATCATTCTGTGCACATCAAATGTGCGTCAAAATCTCTTGATGATAAACCTTTCAAAAGGCAGTATTCATGTCTATTTAAATTTAGCTTTAAAAATGAACGGGCGTAACTATAGACTACTGATTAATAATAAGCATCTACGAACGCGCCATGGTAAACATGAAGCAAGATTCTCTCAGAGAACCGATCTCTCGGTCAAACATCAGCATCTCTCAGAGAACCGATCTCTCAGTCAAACATCAGCATTTCTCGAAATACTGAACACTCGGTCATACTTTAACACCTTTGGGAGAACCGATCTCTCGGTCGGTTCTCGGTTATGAATGACACTCGGTCATACATAAACACCTTTGGGAGAACTGAAATCGGTTAAACATCGGTATCTATTCAGACATGTGAACTCAAGTTCAAATATTAGAATCTGCAACATGATACTCATACAGATTTGAAAGACGAAGAGAAAAGTTAAGCACAGTAAAACTTCGTCCCCAAGTTTCTGCAATAAACTTAGTAAGTTTCATGAGAGCGCGCCCTATCTGCCGGCGACAGCTGAGACCCACGGCAGCCATGTTCTCGCCTGCAAGCACAACCTCGTTCTTTCTGAAGAAATATAATGCCTCTGAAATATTGTTATGCCTCTAAAGGAATA